TGACGGTGAGTTAACAATTACCAGTTGACATTATGTCCACACCTGGTGACTATCCCTGTGACCATGTCCAGATACCCCCCCCACCCGGTAGTGTATGTATTTAAATACACATAGCTGAGGTACCTAGGATTACATACGTTATGCATTCATGATGGAATTGCTCTTAAACTTGAACTTCCCGTTTTCTTGGTTTCCTTTGATGAGGGACTGTCCAATGGGCGATGACGCGTGGGACGAGGTACATACCGATGACGTAGGGTAGGACCTTACATAAGGAGCGCTAAAGGGCGCTTAGGAGAACCCTTTACCTGGGACACCACTCGAATATTTGAACTACTAGGATAGATAATAAGGGAACTTTTATAAATCATTAGCAGGTATGAAAAAGGGGCATGTATATTAGCTATGAAAAAAAAAAGATGAAAAAAGAGGCAAGCCACAGTTAACTTGTAATACAGGTTACCAAGTACCTACTTCTTACCTAAATTTTAAAGAAGCTGGTAATTGGAACTCCACACTTCTAACGACCCAGTAAAATTTTAAAAGGTCTTTTTTTTTTCGGGGTCCGGGCTAAAATAATAGTAGGAAGGAAAGAGGTTGAGGTTAGCTGGTTAGGTAAGTTTAAGGGGAAGAGGGGGTCAACTAAATAGAAAATAGGAAATGGGAAAAAAATAATCATAATAATAATCATAAAAACATAAAATCGTCCATCATAACGAGATTGATCAGCCATGCACACTGCCCGAACCAACGACTTTTACTACAACGGAACCCACTACGCAACTGTGCACATCTGTAGTTTCCGGGGGTAATTCGTCCATCGACGTGACTCGTTTAATTCTCTCGACTCTCTTTTCTTAATTTTTTTTTAACTCTCTTCCTTCTTCCGCGCACACATACTGAACCCCTTCACTCTCTTATCCCTCTCATCCTCTCCCACAAACATCATTTCCCCATTATCGTCCTTTTTTCTCCCTTCTGTTTTATGTTGTTTCCTGTACACGACGCCTCTCCTCCATTCCCCCGGCATTGCGGCATTGGTATTGTGACGTCCTACTATTTGTAGTAGGCATCCATTTACAGTCCCGTTCGAGGTAGTGTGCCAGTGTGCTTGACGGACAGATAGCGAGAGTGTCAGAGAGGGATAGAGAAAGAGAAGATCGGACAGCTTGGGTTATCATTACTTATTGATCACCGACTACCCATCTTCCGCGTCTCACCAGTCTCGTATCTCGATTATTTATTTATTTATCTATTTTTCTTTTCTTTTCTTTCTCTACCTTCATCTCTTAATCGAACAACATTGGACCGTAACTGGGTCTCTCTCTAGTCGCTCGTTGCAACATCAGTTCGACTCGGTGACCGCCCTTGATTAACTTCCTCGATATTCTCGATTTTCTCGACTTTCTCGATATTGCCCGAGTTCATAAAAAGTTGGAGCTCCCATCAACCATCTACCATCACCGCAACTTGACAGGTATCTGTCTTAATATCTAGCCGAACCCGATCCTTGCCGAGTCTAACGATAGTACTTGTACCATACAACTGCCACATACTCGACATATCATTTTCTCATAGATCCAATATTCAATATCCAACAGCGAAACATCGTACCTCTTCCTCTCAAACCTCCCAAACTCCAACTCTCCAACACTCCAACACTCGCGATACGGTCTGTGGTTTTACTCACCATGGCGAGTCAACAAAGCCCTCCTCCCCATATCGATCGTTATGTGGTTATCCATGTTGCGACGACCTGCGATGAACATGGTGTCTATGTGACTAAGGATTCTGCGGAAGTCATCGAACTGGGTTGGATTCTTCTGGATGCCAAGTCCCTTGATGAGGTATGGATACGTCTAGTTCTTTTTTTGTTATTCATTTTTTTAATTTTTAATTTTGCTTTCTGTTTTATCGAATATGGAGCTATCTTGTACTGACAAATCTTTCATCTCTAGATTCATCGGGAGAGTGTGTTAGTCAAGCCCATCAATACACCAATTACTCCTTTATGTAGTAAGTTATTGATAGATGATCCCCCCCCTTTTTTCTCTCTTCTCTTTTTTAATTTTTTTTTTTTTTTTTAATTTTTACCATACCCCTTTCTGGAACTGTATATCGTATATGGTTATTGATTAAAAACACGATGATGCTAATACGTAAATGCTTCTAGCGAGTCTTACGACACTAACTTGGGAGCATGTTCGAAATGCCGGAACCTTCCGAGATGCCGTTAATCGGTTCGATGCTTTCGCTTCTGAACATTTGACGTCTCAGAATCTCGATTTTGTTTTCGTCACTCTGGATGCTTGGGACCTTCGAGTACAACTTCCCCGAGAAGCTCGTGATAAGGCAGTTGTATTGCCCCCATATCTCCAACACTCAAGAACTTTCGATCTACGCACCGAATACCAGCGATGGCAGCAGCACCACCCCGAGTCTCTTCCTTTTGGCCCCTCGATGCTATCTAACATATGCGCCGCCCTTGAGGTAGAACCTGTCCAATCTAGTGCTCCTATCAAGCATAATCTCCCATTTCACCTGCAGGCACTTGCTCCAGCATCTCCTCGACGCGCTATGGAGGAAGCTGTCACGCTCGCTAGGGTCCTTCGTGGGTTGATCCGAAAGTCTCAACCTCCTCAAGAACACCCCGATGTATTAACTCGCCCCATGGATGCGCGTGCTGACGTTCGCGCCTTTTTGTCGGAACGAAGCAAGGTTTTGCATATGTCTGGACTCCCTCATGATACTACCCAGTCGGAACTCGAGAGTTGGTTTACGCAGTTTGGTGGCCGTCCCATTGCTTTCTGGACCTTGCGTACTCCAGAGCAGCACAAACCAACGGGCACCGGATTTGCCGTCTTCTCGTCCCACGAAGAGGTATGTCACCTACCATATTTACCGCTTACTCTGTTGCGCTAACAATAATTACTCCAGGCGGCAGAAAGTCTATGTATGAACGGCCGCGCCTTGAACGAGAAGGCCATAGAAGTTTCTCCTTCCTCTAGCCGGGTGCTTGACCGCGCCGCAGAAATCCTTACGCCTTTCCCGCCTAGCAAGAATCGCCCTCGTCCCGGCGACTGGACCTGCCCTTCGTGCGGATTTTCCAACTTCCAAAGACGGACGGCATGCTTTCGCTGTTCTTTCCCGGCAGTCAGTGCAGGCCCGCAAGGCGACATGGGTTACGGCTACGGCTACGGTCCCCCGGCAATGATGGGACCACCGCCTCACCACGGAGGCCATCATGGCAATATGGGTCATGGAGGGGGGAGAATGGGTGGTAGTGGTGTTGTCCCGTTCCGAGCTGGAGATTGGAAATGTGGTAATGAGGTTTGTGGATACCACAACTTCGCTAAGAATGTGTGCTGTCTTCGATGCGGCGCTAGCCGTGCTGGTGCTGCCGTGGTGGCTGACTCGGGATATCCTTCGCCAATGGATAGCGGGTCTAGCTATGGGATGGGCTCCGGTTCGATGGCTGGAACGCCGGGCCCAGGTCCGTTCGCCTCGGCTACAGGTCCCTTTGCCGCGTCCGGTGGCTATGGTCATCATTTTGGAGGACCACCCAGTACCTACGCACTACCTTCGGGTATTGGCGGAGGTGCGGCCCCTTATCCGTCCCTGAATACGCATTTCGGTCCCGGTCCTGGTTCTCACTCCGCCGGTCCTTTTGACAGCCGAGCTGCCGAGGCTGCCTTCCAGTCAGCCAGCAACGGTCCGGCATCCGCAGGTCCGTCGAACAATTACTTCTCTTCTACGTCGGAAAATGACCCATTTGCGTTTCTCTCCTCTGGCATTGGTGGATTGTCTGTCAGCGGTGATGCGCGCCAGAACGGCGCTGGTGCACCTTCAAATAAGTCCCCTGCATAATTATGAATCGATTCCGTTTCATCAGCTTGAAAAGTGTCTGAAGACCGTCGGTTATACCAATCTTGGGAATACTCTTTCTCTCTGGACATGCGCCGACACTTTCGAGGGATGTTTGTTCACTTTGGAAGATCCGGGATAAGGGGAGATGACGCGAGATACCTAGGGTTAGCAGGGTGTTTGTAGGGAAACGTTTTGTTTTTTGAGAAGAAAAGTTTACACCGGTATATCAAGGGGCGGGGGGGCGGAACCAGGAAAGTGATAAAAAAAAGGCCAATTTTTCTAGAACGGACATCTAGGGCCTGGTCGGCTGGTTGTGGTGGGCTTGTTTAACTCTATGAACCTTCTCAACCTTGTCGCCTGATATACATTGAACGTTCTGGCCTTGATGGGCAGACGAACTTGTACAAATGGACGGATATGTGCGGCAGGGCAGGATCTGAACGGTGGTGCATAGCGCAAGGGAGTGTAAATGGTATACCTGGCCTCATTTGTCAAGCCCGAGATTTATTGTCAGAATTCGTTGTACCTCATCTTACTCTTGTCAACTCGCTTTTTTTTTCTCTTTTCTTCGAATTAAGTTTTCTTGTCTTTTCTGCGTCGATATATTTTCGTTCCTTCACTCGTATTCACCAATTATTTAAACCAACCATGGGAGACACGCACTTCGTCTCTACCTGTAGCCACTTGGACGGCACCTCAGGTGTCGATGAGGAATATGGTAATGTAGATGGTGTATTTGGCTTTTGGCCAGTCTGATGGGCTCAGAATTGGGCGCGAGATCTTCAGTGTGCCTAGCTCTTCTGACCACTACGGTTGACAGTACTAATGAAGCTGTCCTATATCTCTACGGTCCGTTAAGTGCTTCATAATTAGGTCCTACCTACACTATAACTAGTCTTTTTGGCTTCAATGATGCCCTCGTTGACTAAGGCCTTGATGGTGGTAAGACATACGTATGGTGAATAGTAACGTGATGGAATAACATCGATTATCCTACCTTAATGTAGAGCCTAGGATAACTACCGAGAACGGCATCATTTCATTCCATTTCCACGTCCACAATTTGTGCAAGCATATAGGTAATATAGACTCTGCCTACATATGCTATAGCACCTCTAATTTCGCAGATCTCAGATGTAGGTCATAGTCGAGGTAGCTGGTCCTGAACTGCTAATATGAGAAATAGGCGTGGCATCCACAGCCGATGGTATTAACGCGTCCAAGACTAAAAGCTGGCACGGCAATACGCTCACATTCTATAAGCATCTCGACACCTTGAGCATGATGAAGGGAAGGCAATCCTCAAAACCCGTTGCCCACGTATGACTTCCTGCACTCAGACCTTTCGTTCACAATGTCCACTGTTAATCTTTTATCAGTCTGAGTGGATTGGGGGAGAGTCCTAGCAGCTTATGTGGCTCAACTTGTCCCGAATCTTTAGCTCATTAGTCTTTACTTGCCACGCCTCGGGCCCCTCTTCCACGCAAGGCGCCACGGCCGCGTGCACGTCCGCGGCCACCGCCACGAACATCCAATCCGGATGGTGGTGGTACAGCATTGTACGCCTGGGTCTGAGACACTCCCGGTATACCTGATGCGCTCGGGTTACTGATCGTGTTAGTTGGGGCCGTCGATACTCCCCTCCCACCTCTACTTCCACGTCCACCCCTGTTCAAACCTCGACCGCGCGGAGGAAAGCTGCCACCATGTTGCGCTGCTCCTTGGAAATTTGCTTGCTGGTGCTGGTGGTTGTTGATCGCTGGCCGATAAACCATACTGCTGTGCTGTAAACGAGGGGGATCGTTAGGTGCCGAAGAACTCTGGACGTTTCGTCCCTGTGCCGACTGTTGATGGACGCCGTTCACGGCACCCCTCCAAGATCCCCGCAGGGGAGATGGTGCTGATGCATCCCGGAGTTGACCCCTAGGGTCGCCAGGTGTGCCGTATCCTCGGGACTGAAGAGGTAGTGTTGTTTGGATAGGTCGTTTTTCTAGGCTCATCTTGGAACTTGCAATAACTTGCCTATTTGTGACGTTAAGCACCGAATTAGCTGAGACAGTCTGGCCTCTGAAGGGCTCGCACCGGCCACCCAAAGTTGTGCCATTCATAAATGCATTGTCGCACAAGATGTCAAGCATGTGGTGGTTGCCTACTGTGCTTATACCGACAACCGTTCCCCTTGAAGCAATAGGTACTTTTCCGGAGGCTTGTACGTAAACCACTCGGTCGCCCAGGCTGAATTGCTGATTGCCTAGTCGTTGCTCAGCGTCCTTAGGGTTGAGCAGTGCTGACCGAGGAACGCCTTTGAGCTTTTTCCTATCATGTTTGTCGGTAGATTCTCTCAACTCATCTACTGTTTTCTGGAGTAGCATAACTACGTCAGAGTCCAGTTGTTCGGCATCAAGGGGGACTCGCTCGAACTTGCTTGTTTCCACAGTCTTCAGCCAAGCCCCGATCTCCTTGATCCTAGCGCTGGCGACGTCACCATCTGGCCAGAGTTGTGTCTCGTGCAATTCGTTCCCCGATGGATTCTTCATGATGGCAGCAAAGAAATCAGGAAAGCGAGTCATATACTCTACTAGTAGCTGTATTGCTGTAGGGCTAAATTCCCATCCCGAATTCGATTTCCTGGAATATCCGAGTACCTTTTGCTTCCTTGCCTCGAATTTGAGGTTTAGTCCAAGATTGACCTTCATACTGCCACCTATCGTGTGAACATAAAAGGAAGAAGTAATCTTGCTTAACACGAGAGGGTGTAGCCCTAGGTCCCTCGCCACAGCGTAAGACGGTCGATAACCACTGTGGTGCTCAGCACGGCGAATAATTGGATGTGCAAAGTCGGGCTCTTTTATGCGAGGTACAGACAACATGATCTCGGCTCGGTTATCGATGTGACCAGAGATCTCAAGAGGACGACCATAGGCGTAGTCACCTAGAAAGAAAATGCGAGATCCGATAGGGAACTCTTCTTCAAACGGTAGCGCGGGCCGTTCAATGAACCTCTCATCCTCACTAATGACTTCATCGACGATCACTTGCGCAGCGTAATCCGTCTCCATGCCGGGGATATGACCGTACTCTTTGATGGTAGCACCTTCATCAGTCTTGATGAGCCCCCTTAACATGTCAACATGGACCATCGACTCAATGGTACCAATGATGATGCCAAGTCGTTTACTATAGAAATTTTCAATGCGGAACGACTTCTTGTTCCACTCTTCAATTTCTCTGCCAGTGTGGTGAGTCTGGATCACTTGACCAGACCCATCGGTGGCAAGTGTGTAGTCGAATAATTCGTCAGACACACACATGATCTTAGCCTCTTGTAAAAAGGGGTATCCGACGTGGCATTTCTGCCCCAGTTTGACCTTTGCCAATTCAGCTCTGCTGCGGAGTTCTACGTCGGCCAGGGTTACGACCATACTTTCGTTGCGGCTCTCTTGCTGGAAAACGTTCACACCGTGAAAGCCAAGGGTGGCATTGTAAGGTAATGTAGCCAGACTTGGAAACCCTGCTAGGGCGTCGACCCCCAGTTTCGTGTCTCTCAGTAAGCCGACATACAGGTCTAACCCTTCTGTTGTAGGTAAGTCAAATATGTTCTCGACGCAATGGCAATGGGGTACATCTGGGAAGATTCCGACCATGGACGAGGTGTAAATGAAGTCGACGCTGGCATCATAGGTGAACTTCAGTGACACGCCAAAATCATTGCGCGCCCTTTCTTCTGGGGTAAGAAGCTGGTTTTTGGGTGCCATAGCAGATAGTAATCTCTGCTCGTCGATAAAAGGGATCTTAACAACAGCTTCCCATTCCATTTTCTTTCCGTTCATGTCGAGCTCAAAATCTCTAGGATAGAAATCGATAATTGGAGATTTTACATCTGTCATAAGTTCGTGATATATTGAAGGGACGATTTTCTTGCTTCGGTCCGGGAGTACTCCCATCAACTGCTCAAAAGGTCGGAAGGGCTGGCCCAATTTGAAGTTGAGATCAGCGCTCATGCCTTTGGTGATATCTGTATTGAACAGTTAGCGAAATCCTCGGCCTAAAAGTAAAATACATACCTGATGTCATGGGAGAGTAGTGGTAGCGGTAGAACCATGGCCAAGAAGCTACACCTTTGTAATAATAATATAGTACCCATTGCAGGCCCTGCACATAATTCTCGCAAAGCTTTGTTAGTTCCGTCTCCTTGGCTTCTGGAGCCCAATCAAATTTACTTGCGTAATACTTGTCTTTCCACTCTTGGAACTTGTCCTCATACATGGCTTGAGCGGTGGTCTGGGCTTCCTGGGGAGAAATGTCAACAACTTGAGCATTATCGTAGCGCTTCATAACGCGAAATAAGGCCATGTGCCCTTCTTCCTCTTCTTCTTCGTTGTCATCACCGTCTTCCCTTGCGGGGAACGCTAATGATAGGCTGCGTTGTCCATCGCCATCCTCAACAGTACGCCATTCGATATGAAGACTGTCGGCCGTGTCCTGAACGAATTTCCTATCGGCGGCGGCAAGTTCGTGGCCTAGGTCGAGTGGAGTAGGCGGCCGTTGGTTTATGAACTTCCGAATCTTCTTCCATATCTCCTTCTGGGAACTCGTCACGACAAGCTTTCCTTTCGGCTTGCTATGTTCATGGCCGTTAGTTTCCGCTAGGTGCTTGCCCTTTAGCCACTTAGAATCGGCGTGCTCGTTCTCAAAATATCGATCTTCTTCCTTCGAAAGCTCCTCGAGTAGTAATTTCAAGCGGGAGAGATTGATTACCCCCCCTTCATTGATGTAACCATCGCACTGGGGAAGAAGTTGCTTGTAGAGACGAAACATGGTTGCCAAAGCCCCCTCATTAATGTGAAGATTAGGTAGGTTGGGAAGAAAATCATTGCCAACGAAGAATGCCATGAGGATGAAATCATCAATGATTCTCTCCATATCAAAAGGCACCTTTATGCATCCTTCCTTTTTCAGCTCCTGAAATTCCAGCTCGAGATATTCTCGAACTATGCAGAGGTGCATGAGGTAGAAGTTTTGATGCTCAAGCTCCTTCGACTTTGTCTTCGAAGCCCGACCAAAAGTGACCTCTTCTCGAAGCAAGCAGAAATGGGGATCGTGGCTTAACAGCCCCAACATGATAAGATCAGCATCGAGACCGTATAAACAATGACGAACGTTGGGATGATAATCCGGCTGAGCCTTCGCGTTCCTGATGTACTCCATAATCTTGTGTTCTCCCTCGCCAGGGACTTCGTGGCCAGAGAGAACAATATCGCAAACTTGCCAATCAGAATCCTCGGAAATCTTTTTGTTGATGAAGTACTTGAGCTGCTGGGTTAGCTTGGCCATGAATTCCGTGCCCGGCGTAATACAGTTGCTGTCAAAGGGATCGTCCTTCGGAAGTTCCTCTCCTTCTCGTATGGCCTTCTCGCGAGCCTGTTCGGCATCTAACGCCGTCCGGAATCGACGGGCCCTCTGTTGGTTCATTTTGGCTCTTGGAGCAACGCCGTCGATAGCCATGAAGAATAGCTTCTTTGGCTTGATTTTCCCAAACAAGTGTTCAATGTAGTTAAATATGCGTATAAACATCTCATCTTCGCTGAGGCGGAATGAAGTATCGTGCGAGTCTTTGTGGGTGCAATTGTGGATGATGCCATTCATGTCCAACTGCGCAGGTTAGCGAGGACCAATAGTAGGTATATTTGCAGGATATCGCACGTAAAGGTTGTCGAATTCAGGGATTCGGTTCTCTGCAATGAGCTGAGATATCGCAGGATACCGCTCCGAGAGCCATCTGAAAAACTTGGGAACACTAGATAGAAGTTAACGAGGTGTAAATAGGATAACGTATCACGAATTGGGAACTCGCAACCTATACGTACCCCATGTTGACTCGATCGATCGACAGGAATCGAGATGAGACTGATATAAGATCCGGATAGCGCACGGGCGCCTTAGGGTTGAGGATTGAGGTGCGATGGCGAATGTGGTAAAATAATTTGGTGCGAGTAGGGACTCAGTTAAAAAGAAATATATCAAGATATTGCCTGCGATTTGAGGCCTTGAGCGTAATCTTTTGTGGAGATTTTAAACCCCAGAACAAAAAAAAAACAAAAACAAAACAAAACAAAAACAGAACACTATATGGAATAAATAATATGACGAGAAGAGTGCCGAGTCTCGACAGGGCAAGGCATCTGGGGCAGCGCAAAAGGCTGACGATGATGAACGGAATATTTGTGGGTGTGGTTAAACTTGAATGCGATGCGGATCTCCGTACGTACATACCTACCTAGGTATGTAGTGATTGATGTTTGGGTAGCTCTGGTTTTCGGCAACGGCAACGAGGAGTCATTGACCGGGACAGCACCAGTGCTATTGATGTAGGTACCCGGAGTGCCACTCAATACTTAGATACTTTCAATAAGGTTACTAACCTATTAGGTATGTACTTCTACATACAATGTAGCTAGATCACATTTATATCTTGCTCATGAAATCTTAGATAGATGTTGATATACATACCTAGTACTTACTCGCGCAGATAGGTATTTGTGTACCCCTGCGCCACAAAATTACAGTTAATACCTGAACGAGCCTCCCCCGCATTCATCTACGCAAAATAAAAATCATGTACATGTACAATACGTACAATACATAAATGTAGGACCTAGGTACTACATGGTAATCCTAGGGTAATTGAAAGCTGGGGTTAGAACATTAACTGAAGCTGCTGCACTTTACGCGCATCGCGTTTTGCCGCGTGAAATTCACTTCTCAAACTTATCTTTTTTTTCTCTTTTTTTCTTTTCGACTTTAACAACCACCCAATCGGTCCAATCGCACGATACGCAGAACTACAATCATCTCACATTTCATTTTGCGTAGAATACCAATTTGTCATGGCCCCAGGTCCCGTTGCCGAGGACGTCGACAGTTAGTCCCTCTTGGTACTTTTGAAGGTGCATACTAACATGATGATACAAGTGGAGATGGGTGCGCAGGATTATGACGAGGATGAAGAGCAGAGACTCATCAATGAAGGTATTTCATCTCGTAATTGATTTAGCATGCTCCTGGAATTTTTTTATTGATTTCTTCTGACCCTTGGCAGAGTATAAAACGTGGAAGAAGAATTCTCCTTTTCTCTATGATATGATCTTAAGGTAAGTTACTAATAATCAATAACGAGACACACTAGCTCTATGACTTAATACATCCATCGCAGCACTGCCCTGACATGGCCTACCCTGACAGTCCAGTGGTTCCCAGATGTCAAAGAACCAGAAGGCAAGAATTGTCGCATCCACCGAGTTCTGATCGGAACACATACCTCTGAAGGTAAACCGAATCACGTCCAAATCGCCGAGGTCGAGATTCCTAAGTCCGTCCACGCCCATTCAAATGATTATGACGATGAACGAGGTGAGGTTGGTGGTTATGGAAAATCTCCTGCTGGCGACATCGCGGCCATGAAGTGGAACATTGTCCAGAAGATCGACCACCCTGGCGAGGTCAATAAAGCTCGTTACTGTCCCCAAAATCCCGACCTCATTGCTACACTAGCGGTGGACGGCCGAATCCTTATCTTCGATCGAACCAAGCATAGTTTCGAACCCAATGGCAAGGTCAACCCCCAAATCAGTCTCGAAGGTCATAAACAAGAAGGATTCGGTCTTAATTGGAATCCCCATCTTGAGGGATCATTGGCCTCGGGAAGCGAGGACGAGACTGTCTGTCTTTGGTATGCTATTTATTGGTGCTCGTGAAAAAGCTCTATCTATGATTAGGCTAACACCACGAATTAGGGATCTCAAGGCATTGCCAAATGGTAGCAACACTTTAAGCCCTGCCCGTCGCTTCACTCACCACACCAACATTGTCAATGACGTTCAATATCACCCCATCTCGAAGAACTTCATCGGTAGCGTGTCTGATGACTTGACTCTACAAATCATGGATGTGCGACAAGCCTCAACTACGCAATCATCACTAGTTGCTAAAGACGGACATAGCGATGCTATCAACTCGTTGGCGTTCAATCCTTCCACCGAGGTCCTCGTAGCTACCGCTTCCGCCGATAAGACTATTGGAGTTTGGGATCTGCGCAATGTGAAAGAGAAGGTTCATACCCTAGAAGGCCATCAGGATGCAGTTACTTCGCTTTCCTGGCATCCCCACGAAGCCGGCATCCTTGGCAGCGCTAGCTACGATCGACGAATCATCTTTTGGGATCTTAGTAAAGTCGGCGAGGAACAACAGCCTGACGATCAGGAAGATGGACCCCCTGAACTGTGAGTTTTTCTCTTTCGCATCGTAGTAGAAACACCAACTAATCCTTTATAGATTGTTCATGCATGGTGGGCATACCAACCACCTGGCAGATTTCAGCTGGAACCAGAATGACCCATGGCTGGTAGCTAGCGCCGCCGAAGACAACATGCTTCAAGTTTGGAAAGTCGCCGACTCTATTGTTGGAAAAGACGAAGCAGACCTTCCATTAGACGAACTTGGCAGGTAAAGAGTTAGGCTTAGCAGGAGAGCAACAACTAGCAACTATGGCTTATAGCGCTAGTTGATGACCGGATGGGGATAAGGAAGGGCGGGTCCTTTGGCAATTGCAATGTCGACGAGAATACCAACAAGATTAGAAAGACTGCCGTATCAGCCCAGCAGAGAAAGCTATGCCGTATGCCTCTACTTGCTACCACCAGGATTGTCCATATAGCTAGCTACCTGCGTAATGACCGTTTTTTTTTAGAAAAGGAAAAAAAAAGCAACAAAACCAAAACACCTTACCGTGCATAGAAGATTAAATACTAGGTAAGAACCAAGTCTTTTATGCGTATAATTTTATACAGTATTTAAAACGATGCTCAAGGTATCCTAGGACCTAGGTCGATACATACCTAGGTAGCTACCTATTACCCAGTTCGATTATGGAGTGGGATTTACACATTAGAGGTGTGTTCCTATCGACCCACATCCATGTCCATTCATGTACTTAATACTTCCTAGGTAACGTAATGTACGTTCCTGCCACATGTACATGTAACTAATGTAACTACCTACATACCTGCAGGCAACCTTGAAACTTCAAGAGCCACCTTTAACCTTTTTGGAATATGGAAATCGAACATTTTGGCCGACTCTTCCTTTTACATGCAATTCTATGTAAAATTCCCTTCTGCCATATCTTCCCTTTTCCTCCTCTTGTCAAGATTTTACTTTCGTGTGTTCACTTTGCTGAGAGGTTCCATATGCCTGCGAGATAAAACGCTTATTACGCGTACTTAGTCCTTCAGAGTGGCTCTGCTACGTAGGCTGATACTTAGTCTATCTAGTATCTGAATGTTGAGCTTCTGTCGCCTCCCACCACAAACACTCACAAGCTTCCTAATCTGACCTCCTTATTGAGCAGCTCCTCTCTTTCTAGGAGCATGACTCCAATGCGGGAATGCCGCCATTAACCTCATATCGTCCGACCGAGCCTCTAGATTCTCCAGTAAACGATTCAGATTCAGATGTCGATCTAGACCTCGAGGAACTAGACCCGAGCACCTCCTCCCACGTCCAAGCATCTCGCCTTCTAGGACATAATCAAAGCCCTGAACAGCGAGTTCCACGGATCGCATTACGAAATATTCGCATGGGCGGTTTGAGGCGATCGGGAAATCGAGGTCGCGGCTATGGCGAACTTGGCCATGATAGGGATGGGATTAATGACGCCGTGGACGTGCTAGAGGACGACCCACAAGGACAGCGGTATTCGGGTGGAAGCCAGCATGCTGGCGACGAAGCGCCTCTCCTAGATGAATATGCCTCGCAATCTCGGAGATCTTTTGCCAGCGATAGGCTCCAGAGTCTCGCTCATATTAGCTCGTCCTTGAGACTGCCTAGCTTCATGTCCAGTACTACTACCAACCGACAAGACGAGGATGGAATTGCCGATTATAGAGAAGGCGATCCTTCGACCTCGAGAATTCTTGCTGTCGGCTCTCCTCAAGCTACTCGTTATCCGCCGAATCTTGTCTCAAATGCCAAGTACACGGCTTTTACTTTTCTCCCTATCACTTTATACAATGAATTTTCGTTCTTTTTTAATATGTACTTTCTCCTAGTCGCTCTGTCGCAGGCCATCCCACCCCTGAGGATAGGTTATCTATCCACCTATATTGCTCCGCTTGCATTCGTCCTTTTTATCACAATGGGGAAGGAGGCATACGATGATATAGAGCGACGTCGGAGAGATAACGAAGCGAACTCGGAGGAATATGTCGTTCTTCGTTTTAGGGAACCAGGACAAACCGGCACATCATCACGCGTTCTCAGGAATCTCAAGTCGACAGTCGCACGGAAAGCAGATCGACAATCGTTGACGAACAGGGACCGGTTGTCGGATATTCAGGAAGAAGAGGAGCAAACCGAAGGTCGAGGTAGGGGTCGTCCATCTTCCTTTGTCGAGGAAGTCAACAAGAAGTCCCGAGATCTTAAGGTTGGAGATGTTCTCAAACTAAGTAAAGGCCAGCGCGTCCCTGCGGACGTTGTCATCTTGAAGTGTTCCACCCCTGAAGGCGCACAAGCTCAAATACAGATCCCGGAAAGTTTAGAATCGGAAACATTGTTAGTCAGTCCTCTGGAGGGCGACGCCTACCAACCCAATTCCTCGCCCTCACTTGGGACGTCGAAGAATCCCGATCCAGACGACTCGCATACTTCCAACAGTAAGTCTTCCGGAGAAACTTTCATTAGAACCGATCAACTAGACGGCGAGACGGACTGGAAGCTTCGACTAGCGTCTGCCCTGACCCAGACTCTTCCTGTAGAGGAGTTCGTTCGTGTCAGGGTCACAGGTGGAAAGCCTGATAAGAAGGTTAATGAATTCGTTGGCAAGCTTGAGTTGATGACGACGCGAAACGACGCCTTAGACAGCCAATGTGATGAAAGCAGTATAGATAATGGCGGCCACACCGCCGCCCTGTCAATCGACAATACCGCTTGGGCAAATACTATCATTGCCTCCCAAGCGATTACCATGGCTGTCATCGTCTACACTGGTCCGCAAACGCGATCAGCACTTTCCACATCGTTGTCACGGTCTAAGACTGGTCTATTGGAATACGAGATCAATTCCCTTACCAAAATACTTTGCGCACTTACCTTAGCATTGTCGGTTGTTTTGGTCGCCCTAGAAGGATTTGGCGACACCGAGGGGAATATATGGTATGTGAAAATCATGCGCTTCCTCGTGCTCTTCTCTACCATTGTACCGATCAGCCTCCGAGTCAATCTTGATCTTGGGAAGAGTGTATATTCGTGGTTCATACAGCGGGATCCAGGTATTCCGGGTGCGGTGGTTCGGACTAGCACAATTCCGGAGGATCTTGGGCGTATCGAATATTTACTGAGCGACAAGACGGGCACTCTGACCCAAAATGAGATGGAGATGAAGAAAATCCACGTGGGCACTGTTTCTTATGCCAACGAGGCAATGGATGAGGTAGTGGGATATATTAGACATGGGTTTGTCGCGGCACCGAGCGACAAGGCATTGGTCACGCCTTCCTCTTCCTACAGTACAACTGCTGGCGTCACAGCAACCAGGACACGGCGAGAAATCGGGTCCAGAGTTCGTGACGTTGTTCTGGCCTTGGCTCTCTGTCATAATGTAACACCTACGGTGGAAGAGGAGGATGGCCAGACAACCACTTCTTACCAAGCCTCCTCTCCAGACGAGATAGCCATAGTCCGATGGACCGAGTCCGTCGGTCTTCGTCTTGCGTATCGAGACCGAAAGAAAATGGTCCTAGAGTCCACTGACACGGGAAAGGTAGTCGTGCAAGTTCAGATTCTGGATATCTTCCCTTTCACTTCCGACGGCAAGCGCATGGGAATAATTGTCCGGTTTCAAGAGCAAATGAATCCTTCTTCTCATGATTTAGATGGCGGTGATGTTTGGTTCTATCAAAAAGGTGCCGACACCGTCATGGGATCTATTGTAGCTGCAAATGACTGGCTGGATGAAGAAACCGCAAACATGGCCCGGGAAGGTCTAAGGACTCTGGTAGTCGGAAGGAAAAGGCTGCCCTCTGAAAAATACCGAGCTTTCTCAGCCAGCTACCAGGAAGCCTCGTTAGCGATCAGCGGTCGTGATGCTGGAATGCAACGCGTGGTGTCGGAATTCCTCGAGCACGATCTCGAGCTTCTTGGGGTTACTGGCGTCGAGGATAAACTTCAGAGGGATGTCAAACCATCCCTGGAGCTACTTCGCAACGCTGGTATCAAAATATGGATGCTGACAGGTGACAAAGTCGAGACAGCAAGGTGTGTTGCTGTCAGTTCGAAACTTGTTGCGCGAGGACAGTATATCTATACCGTTGCGAAGCTCAAGCATAAGGACAATGCTCAAGATCATCTGGACTTCCTCAGGAGCAAGCCGGACTCCTGTTTACTGATTGATGGCGAGAGCCTGGTGCTTTATCTAACACATTTTAGAGTTGATTTCATTTCGGTTGCTGTTCGACTACCAACGGTTGTCGCCTGCCGATGTTCACCCACACAGAAAGCCGACATCGCAAAACTAATCAAGGAATTTACTAAGAAGCGAGTATGCTGCATCGGTGATGGCGGGAATGATGTCTCGATGATACAAGCCGCGGATGTTGGTGTTGGTATCGTCGGCAAAGAAGGTCGGCAGGCCAGCCTCGCGGCTGATTTCTCCATCGAGCAATTCTGCCACCTTACCAAACTTCTAGTGTGGCACGGCCGAAACAGCTATAAGCGGAGTGCTAAGCTCGCCCAATTCGTAATTCATCGTGGTCTCATAATCGCGGTCTGTCAGACCATGTACAGCATCGCCATCAAATTTGAGCCGGAAGGCTTATATAAGGTACGTTGCTCCTATCCCCCATGCTCTAGCCTCAATATCTTACATCTAGTAGGATTGGCTCCTCGTGGGATATGCCACTGTATACACGGCAGCGCCGGTGCTGTCACTCGTCCTTGATAAAGATGTCGATGAAAACCTTGCGAACCTCTACCCTGAGTTGTACAAAGAGTTGACATCAGGCCGCTCCTTATCCTACCGTACCTTTTTCGTCTGGGTTTTTGTGTCGATTTATCAAGGTGGCATGATCCAAGGCCTATCCCAAATCCTCACAGAAGTTGATGGGCCAAGGATGGTGGCTGTCAGCTACACAGTTCTTGTGCTCAACGAGCTTTTGATGGTTGCCATCGAGATCACAACATGGCATCCTGTTATGATCATGTGTATCATTGGGACCTTTCTATTTTATATTGGGTCGATGCCGTTCCTGGGTGGATATTTCGATCTTGATTTCCTTCTCAGTTGGTAAGTACATATCCATCTCAGCGGGCAATATTTTACATCCCTCGTTTTAGTATCTACGTCGACTAATCCGTCTTACTGTAGGGGTTTCGTCTGGCGCGTGCTCGCCATCGGTTCCATCTCTCTAATACCACCGTACGCTGGGAAATTGATTAGGAGAACAATGAAACCACCATCGTACAGAAAGGTTCAAGGCATATGACGATGTGTCTATATGGGGCAATGCACATTGGTTAGGCGTCCGGCGTTTATATTATATATATATATATATATAATCATAAGCCCTCGTCCTCGAGTGGCTTTGGTGAAAATCGTTTATTGCCATTAACCCCCCAGCCATTGTCTTGTAGCTTCAATATCGTAGTGTACCTATGAATATCTAGTGGATCAAAGTAAGGTTTTAAAAAGATTTTGGTTGGATACTGTCGAGGCCTTGCTGTAGCATTTGAAAAATGCCGCCTTTACCACGCCTTCCCGCGTAGCCCGCGTAGCTCGCCTTGTTAAGCCGTCCGGCATATTTTGTCATATTGACTAGTAAGGTGTTTCAACTTAAAATGAGACATACGAGTGAGGCGTACCTATGTACCACCTACCTAGTACATGTATGTAGGTATAGAATAACTTAAAGCCGATAGTCGAAATTAGATATTTCGACCTTAACATATATATAATGAGAAATTTATAAATTAGTGTTCCACGTCCATTACCTAGGTATATTATGTGTTAGGTACATAATCCTATATAGCTTGTGGCCGCCCAGGTACCTCCATATTAGGTTCAACACCTACATATTAAGTCCAGCCTGCCGGTGTCTTCTACTAGTTTTTCCTACTAGTACAAATACAAACGTAATTGGTCAAGTCATCCATACATAGGTACCTATGCATACCTATAGTACATATATAGTACATACAGCCGCTGCGTCATAGCTCACATGCAGCTCTCACGTACATATGCCTGGCACCTCTTTACGCATTGGCGCCAGACTGCGCCCGATCGAAAAGTGGAAATGAATATTGAGCTGATTATACGCATGAAATGTAGACCCGTCTGTTAGGCCTATGTACGCATTTATGCATATAAAATCCATATGTCATCTAACTAACGATAACATGCGTTTAGATGGGTGGTAAACAACCTAAAGTTCTGGGGAACTTTAGAGTTGGGTTGCGGGATTGTGGGACCATGGATAAGGTACCTACATAATAGAACCTACCTAGTAGTAGATATCGCGCAAGAGTTTCCTTAGCCTGTAAAGTTTCGCCTCCACAGACTTTTCTTCTTTTGCGGAGGTCTAACTATGGAGACTTAGTCTAGTCCCCTACCCCCCATTTCACATTCCACATTCCATATTCCATATTCCGCATCTCCACCTGAGAAGTGAAATACCTACATCTTTTCCCTCTCCTCTCCTCTCCTCTCCTCAACTTTAATCTCTATTCCCGTCGTCTCTGTGGACCACTTCAATCTACCAATCTAACATTTAGCATCTAGCATCTTCGAAGGATCACTCAGCTGTTTGGGCTTTGAAATCGTTCGGGTTTGTTCGGCGGTAGGTGAGCCAACCATACAACCATATAACCCATCTCAATCCATTTTTCCCGTTACATTTGGGTGGAGAGCTTCTCTAGGTACGCTAGCTCCCTAGGTATCTTTTAGGTATCTTTATATACATTTCCGAGGTTGGGAGACTTATACGCCCAAGACCTTGATATTTTCTTTCCCATTCCTTCTCTTCCATTCCGTCTCCTATAAAACCCCATCGAACGTGGTCCTTACCTCCCCGTCGTCGGTTTTCCCTATACAGCTAACCCATCATAGTTGTGCCACATACTTAGAACCCTCGACCTTTCTCACCTTCTTGTTTACTTAAGTCCGTCGATTATCGCAGATGGCTACCGAAAACGGGGAGAGAGCTCCTCGCGAAGTGAAGAATCATATCTTATTCGAGGTTGCGACTGAGGTGGCGCATCGCGGTATGTTAGACATATATATATATATATATATATAATATTTAAAATTTAAAGGGCGCGGTCCTCTTTAGACTAACACATATCTCAGTCGGCGGCATTTACTCTGTCATCAAATCCAAGGCGCCCGTCACTACAGCTGAGTATGGCGAGCGGTATACTCTCATTGGCCCTCTCAACCACCAGTCTGTATGTTATATCTTAGACCTAGCGTTTTGTGCGTCTTCCTGACCTATAGAAGGCGGCTGTTGAAGTCGAAGAACTCGAACCAACTACCCCTGAGCTTGCTAAGAGCATCGATGCTATGAAGAACCGGGGCATTGGCATACTTTACGGACGATGGCTTATTGAAGGTGCCCCTAGAGTATTGCTCATCGACACAAAGACTGCGTATAAGTATTTGGACGAATGGAAAGCAGACTTATGGAACGTTGCTAGTATCCCAGCTCCGCCAGGCGACGACGAAACGAACGAGGCTATTGTTTTTGGATACCTGGTCGCATGGTTTCTAGGAGAGGTATGTTGCTTATATATATAGTTGACGTCGCAGATACTAACATTTCGGGTGTGGTTGTAGTTTGTCTGCCACGAGAAGAACAAAGCCGTTATTGCTCATTTCCACGAATGGCTTGCCGGTGTTGCCTTACCGTTGACGAAGAAGAGGCGCATAGACGTCACCACCGTCTTCACTACGCATGCAACTCTTTTAGGCCGATACCTATGCGCTGGTTCCGTTGACTTCTACAATAATTTACAATGGTTTGACGTCGATGCCGAAGCCGGAAAGCGTGGGATCTATCATCGTTACTGTATAGAACGTGCTGCCACACACTCCTGCGATGTTTTCACGACTGTCTCTCACATTACGGCCTTCGAAAGCGAGCACTTGCTTAAACGGAAGCCAGACGGAGTTCTGCCCAACGGGCTTAACGTCACCAAATTCTCTGCGATACACGAATTCCAGAATCTGCACCAGCAGTCTAAGGAGAAGATCCATGATTTTGTCCGCGGACACTTTTACGGGCACTATGACTTCGTTCCCGAAGACACCGTTTACTTCTTCACTGCCGGACGTTACGAGTTCCGGAATAAAGGTGTCGATATGTTCATCGAGTCCCTCGCTCGTCTCAACCATAGATTAAAGAGCTCCGGAGGCAAAACCACCGTTGTAGCATTTATTATTATGCCCGCACAAACTACATCGCTGACGGTAGAAGCTCTAAAGGGCCAGGCAGTAATCAAATCACTCCGCGACACGATTGAGGTGATCGAGCGGGGGATCGGTCGCCGTGTCTTCGAGCGGTCGTTGAAGTGGCATGACGGAGATCCGATGCCAGACGAAAAGGAGCTAATTACGAGCGCTGATAGAGTTGTCCTGCGCCGTCGCCTTTTTGCTATGAAACGACATGGCCTCCCTCCTATCGTTACACACAATATGATCAACGACCAAGACGACCCTATTTTGAACCAGATCCGACGAGTGCAGCTCTTCAACCACCCCACGGACCGTGTCAAGATTATCTTTCACCCCGAGTTCCTAAACTCGTCGAATCCTATTCTGCCATTGGATTACGATGACTTTGTGCGCGGCACGAACTTGGGCGTGTTCGCCTCTTACTACGAACCGTGGGGCTACACCCCTGCCGAGTGTACTGTCATGGGTGTTCCAAGCATCACCACTAACCTGTCTGGGTTTGGTTGCTATATGGAGGAATTGATTGAGAACTCGGCCGACTACGGCATTTACATCGTGGATCGGCGGAATAAAGGCGTCGATGACTCGGTCAATCAGCTAACTTCACATATGTTTGATTTCTGCCAGAAAAGCCGACGTCAAAGAATCAATCAGCGGAACCGGACTGAGAGACTCAGTGACTTGCTAGACTGGAAGAGGATGGGTATGGAATATGTCAAGGCTCGACAGTTAGCTCTGCGACGAGCATACCCGACTTCGTTTTCCGGCGACGAGGAGGATGACTTCATCCCGGGAGTCGAGCAGAAGATCTCTCGGCCCTTCTCAGTCCCGGGTTCACCCCGCGACCGCACTGGGATGATGACCCCCGGAGATTTCGCAAGCCTACAAGAGGGGAGAGAGGGCCTGAGCACAGAAGATTACGTGGCATGGAAGCTGCCGTAAGTGACTTACCGAACCGCCTGCCGGAATTGATGACTGACATAGGATTGTAATGCAGCGAAGAGGAAGATCCCGAGGAATACCCATTCCCCCTGACGTTACGAACAAAGAAAGGAAACTTCTCCGGACCTGCATCTCCTCTTGACGGCCTCCAAATCAACGGGACTCAGTAGGTATAGACGGCCACCGTTGTTCATTGTTTCTTGGCGGTGCAGGTTAAAAATGTTGTGTAGGTAGCTCGAGTGATTGGAACGTTGATCAGGACTGGTAGAGAGGTGTTTTGATGATACGGTAAGTTGTGACGGGAACATAGGCGAAGGTAGTAGTTGCATAGTAGGTATATATCATCTTGGTTGGGGGGAAGGGGGATGGGGGATGGCCCGGCAAACACGGAAAAACCATGGGGGTTTCATTCTACATTTAATCGCATAGCAACGCATTAGCTGGCAGTTATTAGCACTATATTATTATTTTTCAGTTTGCTGTCAAGAGTCGGGCTACTTGCATATGTACCTAAGTCAGAGGGAGGTATCTGGGTATGCAATAATGCATGTACTACCTACTAAGGTGCTACCGAAGTATAGGTAATATCTCGAGGTATGTAGGTGGATACAACTTGGAATAGTTGGTGGGCAAGTTTGAACGATTGGGTGAGGTGCAATACCAGGGTAGTTTATTTTCTATTACCCAAGCCTCTGAACGTCTAAAGGGGGCCAATGAACAATTATGACGTATATATTTAGGTACGAAGTGTACTACAAGAGTACCTACAGAAGTTGTTTTAAGCGCGAATCCCTACAGCGTATAATAGTATTGTACCTAGGTAGTATCTACAGCGTAACATATCTGCCTAGTACATAGTAAGTACTTTACATACCTACCTAGTGGTATGCAAGTGGCTGGGTATCGGGTATCCCTGAACTTCAATCAATTGATTGATTCCCCGCCTTGACCTTCCTTGCCCTTTTTTAAAACAAAGCCCGGAGACGTGAAAGCTTCGACTTATACCTACCTACCTACATACCACCTACCACTTGTCACTTACCACTTGTCACTTACCTCTTGACTTATAGCCGTCGCTCATGGGGAACGCATGTGGCCTGGGCATGTCCATATTGATGCAAACATTGTACGTCTAGTAGGGCAAAATTGGAAAGGTCGCCCTCACGCGTCGCGGTACCGCTTTTCCTTAATTTGGGTTCGCGATGAAATTTACCGGCATGAAGTTCTTTCGGCGCAGCAAGAAGCCTCCCCAACAGCCCAAGCCGTCAAAGAAGTCGGCCCAGGATGAAGTGGAGAGGGATAAATATCGGGTTTACAACCCGCAGCAAAACGACTATTATAATTATGCCGCTCAAAGAGGCAGCGTATTCGCGCCCTGGTTGGAGCTGCCCCCTCCAATATTAGAAAGGGTCTTCTCTTTCGTCTGTCCCCATTGTAGTGATGAGTCGTACGAAACATGCGAGCAGAGCGCACTCGAAAACGCCTGCATGCTTTGCGATCTACGCGACCTCTCCCACGCCGGCCAAGTCTGTAAGCGCTGGAGAAAGGCTGCCGTCAAATTAATGTGAGTCGCTCCTTAAATGGAAGCTACGTGGCCCCAGGACGACGTGTTGCTAAATACTAGGGGCTTTTCCCTCCCGCCATCACAGGTACCATAGCATCCGTATCGATTCTGTACATTACTGCGAGCGCGAGATCGATCTTTCCGAGAGACGAAAGCGCAGGAGTCGCTTCGATCGCAATGGTCTTCCTGAAGACACAGCTAGTGCTCGGCTACAATTGCTATGCCGGTCCCTACGTGAAGACCCGACACGGCTCGGTTCCCTGGTTCAATACTTCAAGACGCCGTACATGTTACGGGAGTCGAGCACGTCCACGCTCGCGCGAACCATCGCCGTTTTACCCAACCTCCGCTACGTCGATTTGCCTGAAGGGCTATTTAGCGATGATCCGGCTTACCATACCCTCAAGCTCGAAGTGCAAGCCCGCTGCCCAGACCTCAGAAAGATGACGTATATTGGCGGCAGCGAGCGGAGCCTGGAGGTGTTAAGCAGGGGTAATGTATGGCCGCACCTCGAAGTGTTGGAGCTGGCTAGAATAAACATGGATCCGGCGATGCTGCGACACGTGCTTGCAATGCTTCATCACCTACGAGCTCTGAAGGTGTCGGACTGTCGAATGTTGGATGACGATATATTCAAATATAACGACACCTTGGCATCTTTTCCAGCCTTGGAGGAAATGATACTGATAGACACACCGAGGCTTACCTCGGACGGCCTGGTGGCATATCTATCCAGAGATGAGACGCAGAGGCAGCTCAAAGTGCTCTCTCTTTCTAACACGGGCGTCCAAGCATCCGCACTACACGACGTGTTAGCCCAGGCGCCGAACCTTACAGCCCTCTCCATCATTAATCAAGTAGATTCCCCATTTCCATCTCACTCGGGGCCTCTCCCGCCACTAAGAAACTGGTCTCTACAAACTCTACGCTTCGAAATTACGGCATCGCCGGCTACTGCTTCCTACGCAAGTATTACGAGCGGCTACTACAACTATCTGGCATCTTCTCTCTTCGCCGGTGGCCTACCGCGTCTATCTGCAGTGTATGTTCGCGACCAGGACTTTGCGGACACCCTCCTAGGCCTCCCGCCGCCTATGCCTGGGTTCGCTGGGGGCCAGCAACGACCTAGCAGTTCCAGTAGCGCCGGCATGTTTGGCATGGGGAACAGTAGCCTTTCACCGATGAATACCAGTCACTTTGGTAACGCACCCCCACGCTTCAGTTCCAACAACCCTTTCGCGGCAACGCTGGGACCGTCTCGCGGATTATCACTCAACCAGACGCTCGAGGTTTTCACAAAAGGGGAAGACGATGTCGACTGGGGTAGCATTAGGAGTAAGTATCTGAAGTATCTGCAATTTGTCCTCGTAGAGCCCCTAGCACCTCCTCACCTGTGCATTTTTATCTTGAAGGAGATCCTTCTAAGCCTCATGGCACGGAATCAGTCTACAATCTTCTACGTGTAGCAGTTACTGACCCCTTGGATTATAGTGGACCCCTTCGACGCTTACGGCGGTGTTGCGGGTAACGACAGCAGAGGTCGCAGTGGTAGTACTTCGAGCGGCCGCCCTCTAAGCAGTTACGGCCTAGCAGATATAGGATCTGGGTGGCAGGCTGGTGGTGGGGCCAGGAAGAGTATAGTTGTGCAAGGAACTGGCGCTGGTAGTTTCCTAGCTGTGCCGGGCGGTAAAAGTCTGGGCGGGCACGGGCGTAGTGGAAGCACGGCAAGCTCGAGCGGCGTTAAGGAGGATCTGTGGCCACGACCCATGAGTAGCTCGGGAGCTAAGGGAGATCGAGACCTGTGGCGGTGATTGGCATGCCCTCTTAAGAGGGCTTAGCCTCGACTGTTAATGGATGACGATGTTATGAGATTCTGGGGTCTGATATTCCAAGGCGATCAGTGTAAGGGGTTAAGACTAGCAAGACTACGGTAATAGGAACCATCAATTGTGCTACCAATCATTTGTGTGTGTGTGTGTGTGTGTGTGTGTCTGTCTGTCTGTTGGGGGAGGGGGGCGCCGACACGAGGGGCGAGGGGTCAATCAATACCTAGTACTTATATCTATCTCATAGCTGAATGTGGAAGCTGACGAGACTAGGTAACCAGAATGAATAGAGAACTGTGCGCACATCTGCTCCAAATTGTGCATTGTAGGATGGTGCGTTTAAGAAATCTTAGTGACGGCTAATTCCCCTTGCATACCGTCTTCGAGCTCTAGGAACCCTCCCGTCTCCAATTTCTTTTTCCATTTCCCACTCTCATACCTCGCCAGGATCATTGTCATGCGAAGCACAGTCCGATGGCTTGAGCTGTGCTCGACCGTCTCAGAGTCGAGAGGGGTAAATGCCCATCTCCCAAATGCCCAATTCAGTATATACCTGCCTGGGCAACCTGACGACATTTCCGGTGCCGACACCTCATCTTCTCCGGAGCTTCGGACCGTTGACGATGTTGTTAATACAGACTTGATCCGGTACACCTCGTCTTTGGGTGCGGCGTTAAGCAAAGACATTAGTTTTGTCGCACTGGTGACGGCACCTGGGTCCCCGGTCAAGGTGATTGAGAGGACCTCAACCTCACTTTGGTGATCGTTGCTGTGATTACGATCATGATCATGATCATGACCATGAATATGAACATGGCCGTCGTGGGGGCGACCGTCACTGTTATTATTTATAGATAATTCATCGGTTAAGGACCTCGCTAGTCCGCCATCGACACCGAAGATGACATCGACGGGGACTCGCCCCCTATCACTCTTTACCCAAGCGACATCAACCTCGAGATCCCCTACTCGGTCGAGACAGTCATCAAATCTACGCTCATCGCAGTTTTCCCACTTGTTAAAGACGATTAGGTCCGTATACCTGGCTTGTATACGAGCGGTATAACTCGTGTCCTCGTATCCCTTCCAATTCTCGACGTCTATAACGCTGACAACGCCATCGAGTGTGTAGTGGCCAGTGTCGCGAGCCAGTCGGTTGACTTCGATGGCTAGAGTAGCAGGGAAGGCGGAGCCGGAGGTCTCGATGACGATGCGATCCGGATTGACGCTGGAGCGCAGCTCAGCGAGAGCAGTGCTCAGCTGGCCAACGAGGTTACAGCATATACAGCCATTAAGAAGCTCTTGGACGCCGGAGACAGCGCTCGACGAGGCGAGCTGCGAGTCGATGGCTACATCACCGAATTCGTTCTTCAATAGGGCTAGACGATATGAAGGATTAACAGCGCGAAGTTGTGGAATGATGTTTAGCAGCAGTGTCGTTTTTCCAGAGCCTAAAAAGCCGGTTATGATGGTTATGGGTATCGGAGCCATTCTTGTGCGTATTAAAGGATGCAGCGTAGAAGCGGCATAAATAAAAATGATAAAAATACCTTTATAAGTGTATATAGTGCCTAGTATGTACCTACCTAGTAGTATGGGCAGCATGGGGTATGAGGGGTACGTATATATTACTAGGTAGGACCTTACCTGGTAGTACATGCTTCTTTATACATATTGTTTATAATAGTTTTAAATATTACTTAGGATATAAGGATATTTTTTAAATTGGGAGGTGAACTTACTTAATATATGTATTATTATTGAAAGGCAAGGAGCCAGGCGGGGTTCAGGTACTGTATATGTAGGTACGTCATTATAAGTGGACTACACCTGGCAATGTACCTACAATCTACATATATGTAGGTAGGAGCGCGCCGCTAAATTCTCCAAAGGCTATGTACCTAGGGGGTGTCCAGGCAGGAGTAGGTGATACATGTAGTCTCACCTAGTACAGTTTCTCTACGTCCTCGCGGTCTAAGACACTGTATACCATACAGCCATATACCTATCACTGTTGGGTGGTACCTACGTACCTAGTATTTGCACTCACCGTGGAATCGGCGTAAACCCGATACTGTAACGAAGCACGGACCACAGACCACGTCTATTCACCACACGCACATGCGGGACACAGGAAGTAAAGCCTATCATCATGTTCATTACTAACTTAAGCCGACTTCATCGATACTCTCTAGCCAGACGTGCAGTTGGCCAAACCAGCTTGAAAGGTCTGGGAGTTTTTGACATATATCGGCAAGTAGTCCCGCGTCGTGAAGCTTTCATCGATGTAGAAAGAAACATCGCTAGAGCTATAGTTGGAGCCAAGGATAGCAAGAAGATCGCTCTCGATGCTTTATGGTATTTGGTAATTTGGTTAGTCGGTCACTACGCAAAGGATACGTGATAGAACTTACAAGTCGACAAATACTACATCAACAACATCAGGTTGAGTACCCTCGTCAAATCCAGCTTTGCCCTGGAAGAAATCGGGAATATCATAATGTGGGATCCCAGTATGCGCAGTGTCGTCCCCATCAGTACCAAAATCGTCCTTAGTCGTGTAGCCCGGAGCCAAATCGACTACTTGACGCTTCGTGATGTTAACCTGACCATGGCTCTCTCCGCCTCGAACCGCAGAGAGGTGAAGGGGAGACGGGTCGACGCAGATATCACGCTCGATAGGCATGACGCCAACGCTGCGCTTCTGGCTGGCACCCGCATTGTTAAGTGACTGAAGCAAAGTACTGGCCAAGCTGTACGGTATTCCTGGTATATATAAGAAGTGATCAAGAAACGGCGAGACGATGAACTGATCGTCATACGTGAAGGGCCCTTTATACATGTCGAATCGGACGCTTCCCGTGTTGGCAATAATAAAGCGCGGTATATCTTGACGCGATTCGTTGACGACAGCCTTAGAGAGCGCGTCAGATAACAAGGGGAATATATTCCCGGTACTATTAAACGGCGTGCACGTCATGCAATAATCCTATTCGCGAGTCAGTCAAGATACACATCGCTTACCGGACCGTAATTGGATAGAAAGTTTTGGTTGCTGACCTTTGGTGTGCATCCATACACGTCCGTAAGGTTAAGCTGCTTCCTGTACTTCGTAATCTCGGAAGAGACAGCTAGCCCGTTGTTGTAATCGAACTTCTCGTCATACCAGGTCGCGGCGTGGTACTCAAACGTCCGACGGTTCCAGTCAAGATAGCGGCGCGAGTATACGAACGGGGAGGTGGAATTCTGCGTTGCCTTGCGAGTTGGGTTGGGAACGCCAGCTGGACCGGGCGCGATTCCATGATAACCGCTGTTTTTACTATCAAACCCAGACATTGAGAACCAACCGAGAGTTTCGCAATAACGACCTAGGAGAATATCAGTACTGGACTAAACAACTAGAAGGCACGACTTCACTTACCCGATTCCATTGCCGTGCTGCTGGCGTCTAAGACAGCAAAGTCTCTGATATGAGTATGACCTCCTATACGGGAATTAGTCGAACAGTCTCCTCTATTAGGGCAGGGATATACTATATATAGAGAGAGAGAAGGAGACGGAGACAGAGACAGAGACAGACAGAGATAAACGAACCCATGAATTGGATAGGGGTATCGGGATATACCGCACGAATGGCGTCGAATACAACTGGAAAGGTGCTGATCGAATCAGTCGGGCGCGCAGGGTTATGGCCCAGGATTATAAAAACGTCTACAGGCTCCGGGGAATGAAGAATATCTAGAAACCATTGCTGCGTGACCATGGTTTTCGCGGGTATGACTTTACTGACATTTGTATTGCCTATCCATTAGATGTCAGTCAAATGTTTTGCCGTAGACAAAGGATTCTTAGAGGACATCTTCTAACCGGTGAAGTCAAATAGCACGCCGAAGGCCATAACTCTAAGGCCATGTTGGGTAGTGAAGTATCGGTGTGTGTTGCCAATATACTGCCACTCGTTCGTCTCTGGGTTGAGTATTTGGACGTTGGATGTTAGATATTTCTCACCCCAGTAGGTAGAGATATTATACATGGCCTGGTAAGCTACGGTGGCAAGATATAATTCATGATTTCCGATAGTGAGTAGGTCATACTCGACCTTGTCGAATACTGTCATCGAGACGGCACCATCTGGTGTTGTGGCATCGCTTAATCCTGCCCCGTCATGAAGATCACCTGTATCCACCAAAAGAATATCAACTCCCATATTGCCAGCCTGGTGCTTGAAGTGAGTAGAGAAGGTGACGAAGTCACCCCAGTCGGCGCCATAATTCCCTTGCTTCAAGTGGCCTTCTAGCCATCCGTGAGTGTCGGTCTTGTAAAAGTTGACCGTTAGCATACGATCTGAAATTCCGAATACCCCTTACTCCGGAATACTCTTCACTCACCGTATGCAAGAAATTCAATTGTCCCCACTACAGCACGTCGAAGTTAGCGTTCGATATTCTCATTCATAGTCTATCGATAAATAAATACAAGAAAAATATCGATATTGGCTAGGTATGTATATAAGATACCTAGTTATACTTGACTGTATAGACTCACCTCTAAAGCTCTCGTAGGTCCATAGGTGGCGTTGATTGCATCTGGCTGCATCCGCTTAACGTGTCGGACATGTTCGACATGATCTACAGGACCGAAGCAACCGGAGCAGGCCAGGGAACCACGGATGAGCGGCAGGAGACTTAGCGCCAGTAGGGTGGGATTGAAGATGCGCATCTCGTCCGTTCTATTGATTCGCCAAGTTACCAACTTGCCAAGGAAATAAGTGCATAAACAGACCTCGAGAGGACGAGAAGGCAAGGTGGTAAATTTATTAAATAGTATCCTAGGTACCTAAGTAGATTATGAGGGAAACGGCACCGCTACACCACGGCATTCGCCGAGATTGTGAGCGCTCCTAATCGCTACCTACATAGGTAGATAGGTAGGGAGCTGGGGAGGCAGGGAGGTAAGCAGTGAGATGGCCGGGATATCGCACGTGGTAGTGATCGCCTTTCTAATAGAGTAAGCACATGTAGATGTATGCAGGACCCAGGATCATGCTAGATAAGACGTACATGTATAGACATCGAGGGAAAAGAAACATCGTCAGTAACATACAAGTTACCTACTTGACACGGGTCACGGCATGGGTAACATAGCGCCGCAAGCCACCCACATCATCAGGCTTTCTCTCACCTCACCTACAACCTGATCTCTTCGACCTCTCTTCTCGTCATATCTTCCATCTCCGATCGTGGTGTGGCCGGACGAGCCGTGTCTCCATCCTCTCCGACCGACACTACTCCCATCTGACTGAGATCTCCTGGAGACAGTCTACCCCGGATTCTGTAAGACTTCGCCGAATATGCGCGGCTAGAGTTGTCCTCGAGGTAGAATGCCAGTCTCTCGGGTTTTTGGTTTGGTGAGAGCCAACTGTCGATATCATTCTCCAACTGTCTGAGTAAACATATAACCCTGTTCTTGCGTATAACGCCATCTATGTATATCGACACCATGGTCCAGGCCTGCGTACCATCGTGGACCATGCAATTATTGAGGTATGTGGTATTGATGCCAAATGCGACAAAATTCCGATCCCTCCTCGAGATGTGCTCATCTAAGAGGTCGCTTAGGTTATCCATCTGCCCTTTTATGTAGGCACTCATTTTTGAATTTCGATTTAGTTGGCACTAGGTTAGTTACCTGTGATGAAGTAGAGTTCTCAGTAGAACGAGTGCGAGAAGACGGAGATTTGGCGCATGCTATTATGATTTAGATTACGATTTAAATTCAGGATACAACTAGGGACAAAGGTATAGTTTGAGCAAAGACTGGACAAAGACAGCCCGGTACCTAGTAACTATTCTGAATAAGTCTTTTACTCGTTCTTGTTATTGTACTTATTGTACTACACAAGTAGTTGTATTACATTCTCATGATCTAATAATGCGTACAAGAAGTGACTTCTGTTTCTCTTATTCGAATACCTCTTTCGTTTATGTCTGATGTTTTGTATACATTGCAGACACCCGCGATTACGAACCAATACTAGGTAGTCACTGTTATTGAGTAATAACGGTAACGAGACCTCAAGGGTATGGAACAACGTTATAACTTATATGGCTAAGAGTCAATGATGTGCTACTTGATAGGACGACTGCTAAGCAGGGATCTGTATCGCTCCTCGTAAGTGTCGGCAACACTAAGCAACATGGAATCAACGACAAATGTTTAAACTTGATAAATATAACATCATTGCGTAAAAGTAAGCAATAATTAACACGTTAGATCCACATGTAAACCCCAGAACCCAAGTATTTCCGTCGTTACCCCCAACGAGATAATAAAAAAAAAGAAAGAAAAGGAGAGAAAATACATGTCATAAGCCATATCCAAGAAATATGAATCAGCACGTCAACCCAACCTCCATGCACCAAAGAAGAACCCCGATCCTAAACCACAGATGCAATCATGCTCCCTTTACAGAATTAGGAAATGTCCGGCTACGAAAGCAAGACCGGAGAAGACAGCGAAGGCATTCTTGAGTGATGCGGCACCAGCAGTTACGACAGCAGGTGGGCTGCTAGTAGTACCATTGGAAGCCATACCGCTGGCATTGCATCGTCCACCCGAGCCGTTGCAGCCAGAGGAAACGCACGAGGGACCAGTGCAGCCAGAGCCAGTGCCGGAACCACCTACTGGCCCTGATACGGAGCCAGGAGACACACATGATGGGCCATGGCAGCTTGGGCCAGATCCGGTACCACTGCCAGACCCCGAACCAGACCCTGAACCAGTACCAGAACCGGATCCAGGGCATGGGCCAGGGCCAGAGCAAGAGCCCACAACAGTGTGTGTAGGGACGGCAGGGACGGTACGGGTATGGGTGGTTGGGGTGCTGGTAGGGTAGGCGGTGATAGTCGCGGTAACGCCGTTGCCGGTAATGCTAACGGTGGGCACCCACGTACCGGTAGGCTGAGCGCCGGGGCAGGTAATCTCGATCTCTGTGGCAGGCTTGCAGGCATGGCAAGCCACGGTGGTGACGACGAATCCGGGAGGCATGGTAGGAGTCACATAGTCCGTAGGTTTACCGATACAGGTTTCGGTGATGGTGTAGGTAGCCAGCCACTGGCTCGTCTCGCATGCCGCCGGCAGGATAGTCTCATATACAGTCGTATACTGAGGCTCCTTCACCGGATAAACGGTGGTGTGAAGTGTCGGGTACGCCGTGTGTACTGCCGGCACGGTGTGGTATAACGAAGCCGCGTGATGAGCGGAGAACCCGGTCTGTACAGTTGCGTTGCTGAAAAAAGGCATCTTGATGATGAATTATTTTAGTTGATTCTTTTTATTTGTTGTTGATGATGTGTTATAATCGGTGTTAGTGATGACGTTACCGTGAGTGAACGACTGTGGTATATATAAAAACGAGTGTGATAGTGGGTGATAATGAATGTGGTGGCCAAGATGGCTATGAACGAATGACTATGATGGTTGAGAGTGAACTGTAAAAGAGTGACTGATGATGGTTCTGTAGAAGAGGAGATAGAAACGAGCAGAGGTCCACGATACTTATATTGAATATTGTAAATAACTTTCTACACATAAGCGCGTCACAGAGCCAGCAGCATACTTGGTGAGAATGAAACCACAACACAATTTCCATCATTGCTGAGGAACCCTACACCAAAAGAATGATTTCCAATTACAGGACATTCCTCTTGTACGCCAGCGTAAGGCTCATGTAATAGGTACCCAGTCAGCCAGTACGACAGATCTGCGACTGTTTGAGACATATAACCAAGACGTGCCATGCTCATGAGGACTCGTGGACATTACCTCCTAGGTACCCCTAGGTAGGTAGGTGGTATACTCATAGAATCGCGTCTCTAATGACAATTAACAATATCCTACATACCACACATACCATACATATCATAAATGTCATACATATCGTATGCTCACCAAAACATTGGTATGCCTAAGATTCCGTACCTAAATTAATACGATTCATATGACGGGATTGCATTTTCGCACTCGCATTCGCATGTTCTTATTATGTCCCCTCGTTTATCGACATCTCCCGCACATAGTCCGAAGACGTTCGGGAGACTTCCTAATAAGGAATTTTGATCTCCAGAGTGATTCTCATGTTGAGAATGGCAACTCATCACTGTAAAGATTTCGAGGTGATGGTCGTGGCTGCTCTGTGAATACTTTTTGATCTGGAGAAAAAAAAGAAGAAGAAAAGAGGAAGAAAATTTTGGATTGCCACTTTTAATATTTATTCAAACTCAGGCATTAGTGGGGTCCTAGCCAATTCCTCACATTCAAGTTGTGCTACTACTAGGTACCTAGTACCTATTCCCAAGCCATTATGTAATCGCTTGAAATTCTTTTCTTTCTTTTTCTCCCTCACCCACCTTCAAACCAATAACCTCCTTATGTACATATAGTGGAGTCACATTGTGTTTATCGGAACTTCGTACATACTGAGACCTAGGGACCGAGGAATCTTGTCTTCTTTCAGAGTATTCAGAATATTACATAAACATACACATCAGGCATTTGACAAGATGCCAGCAGACGATTACGCGTCGGTAGGTGGGGGTGGTCCCCTGAAGCTGAAAGGCGGAAAGGTTCAAAAAAATAAGAAGAAAAAGAAAAGCAAGGCGAACCTCGAGCATTCCCTCGCCACCGTAGACGATTCCACTGCTAAGGAAGCTAAGGAAGCTGATGGAGCCGATGACGTCGAGAAGATGCGGCAAGAGAACGGAGATGATGAGGATATAATCGAGCATAAAACTGAAGCTGAACGCCGCCACGAGGAAGCAAACAGGAAGAAGGTTCGTACCGTACCTTCTATCCTAAGAATGACGGATTGCCAATCAATGCTAACTTTGACTTCACAAATTAGATGCTAAAAATGCTCGAGGACCCCAAGGTGGCTTCTGAGTTTCGCAAGACTCACAAAGAGAGGGTTGAAGGTCTCAACACTTACCTCTCCAAGTTGAGCGAGCACCACGACATGCCTAAGATCGGCCCTGGATAGTCTAATCCTCCTAACGATACGGTGGCAGTGAAGTGAGAGGACTCTGGAGGAGAGAAGGAAAGACTAATCATTACTATAGAGCCTTGATTTCACAGCACCTACGAATATTACCCCCCGTAACACGGCGTTTATAGAGGTTGTTCTCGGTTTGCAAGTACTACTACTATACACTATTTTGATTATTAAGCCGCGTCTGCCTCGATGATGAACAACTTGTCTATAGTAACATCCTTATCATTTAGCAGGCTGTCTTGTTGCCAGGTTATTATATAAAATCTATCTACCACCGGCCCGCAAGGTTTTATAACAGCTGATATTCTTATGTGTATGACCTCTATTATGACCAATCCAAAGCGTATTTACCTGGATATATATGGCCTTCGTTTTTTAATATCCTTCCAATTGAGACTGTGAACACCCAAAAATAAATGACCCGTAACCAATTTCGTTAGATTCGTCAATAGCCGCAAGGCTTTGCGAGCTCTGAGACCGACCTTTTCTCTATTACAGTTCCCTGCTGATCCAAATGAACGTAGATGCCGTTGAAATCCCACGTATGCAACAATGCTCGCCATAATAATGCTACCAACGCCCAAGCCCCGTGTTGTCGAGCCGACAGGAGGGAAATGCCTATTGCAAAAGCTGTTATACCAGAAGTGCTCCGCCAACGATCACACCCATGAAAACCTCCACTATCGGGCTTACCGCAACGGTTCTACCGACGCCAGATTGCAGACTTCCCGAAGTTCCTGATGTTGTACTTGCCGCTTCAGAAGCACCGGGAGTAACAACCTCAACCGAAGTAATCGTGGTCTACAACACTCACGAGTTAGCAATTTATATCGGTTTAAATTAGGTATCGGGTCTAGTTTAGAGACTCTAAGAACCGCTTTCAAGTTCACACTGCCGAAGGAACTAGTTACATGATTCACGTTCGGAAAACTATGACATACCTTGGCACCTCCGGGGAGTGTCGATGTAAACGTCGATGTCCTGGGTGACGCTGTGGTGCTAACGCTGGAAGTAGTCGCCGTTGCCAAAGTCGACCCTAGATACTCAGTTAGCCGAATTCTTGGGGAAATAAAGTACGTCGTTTTCGTTTGAATAGCAAAACTAGGCGTAACATGAATACAGCCGGGGTTAGGCGCTCGGGAAAACGAGAAGCAAGATTGGTGCAGATGCAACAATTTCTTGCTGGACGTACCCCTGGAAGAAGAGCGAGAAGAAGACACGAAAGTGGACACGGTCAAGGGGACAGAAGACGATAACGTCGTTGTCACGATGGCGGTGGACTCAGAAGTCATGTCGGTTGAAGAGCTAGTGAACGTACCGGGAGTACTCGTCGTTTCTGTTGATCCCGAGGATGTCGTTGTCGTAGTCGTCGGCGAGTCGGTTTGCGTGGAACTAGTGGAAGTGACTGTAGACGTTGGGGCATCCGAGGTTGAGGCGGAAGATCGAGTCGTAGAGGACGTCTCTGCAGTAGATTCTTGAGTCGTGGTACTTTGACTTGTGGAAGTAGCGGCACTAGTTTCAGTGGACGTAGAAGTTGTCACGGCGGCAGTTGTATCGTTTCCAGAAGACTGTTGCCTTTTCGCCATTTGGACAATGGAAGTTGCTAATTCCGGGTCATTCGCATGAACAGCCTCCATAGCCGCGTGGTCAGAGTCGTAAACACCATGTTTGTAGGTGGCGGGGAAGTAGGTATGTAGAAAATGGTGAAGAGCCTGCGGCGAAGCTGAGCTTAACAGCCGTGAGAAGGTCGAGTCGTCACGGTGGACAACATGGTCAGGCTTGCTTTCAGCATGGACCTCATTGGAGGGCTGCTGTTTAAGGAGCCCATTTGCGAGCCCGGTCGTGAATAGTAGGCCGAGAAGCAGGGTTAGGAAGAAGTGCCGGGCTGAAGGCATCTTTTTTACTACGTGCTGTGGACGTTGGGTTGTTTGGGTGAGTGGAAGAGTGGCCTTCTCGCCCAAAAAGTTCTGTTCAGAAAGATTCGGTGTCATGTTGAAGGTGGGAGTGGTTTGGAAGATATCACCGTTTAAAGGGAAGCCCACTGGATCAGACCAAAAAGCGAAAAGAGCTAACGCAGACTACTGCAGACTGTGCAGAGTATCCTTAAGAGTGGGCGGCAAAGAGGTCGGGGCGATGACTGAAGTACCGTTCTTCGTACAACTCTAGTAGACCTGCGGGCTCTGTTGCATGATAACCGGCGAGGAGAGAGTTCGTACTGCTGCTGCACGGAACAAAGAGTGGAAAAGGAAAGAGAAGGTAAGCAAGATTCGAGAAGGTGAGGGGCCAAGGGTTAAACAATAGCCTATCGAGCCTGTTAGATGTAGGATGTAGAGGTAAATATGAAAAATGAATCGTTGTGATTTGCTCTCGCCTTATGGATATATGTAATTAATAATAATACGTAGTTGTCCAACTCGGACAACATAAGATATCGTGGCTGATGGCTTGATCTCGAAAATAATATGGTGGAGCCTTTATTATTTACTATCTCCATCCATACGTACATACCTACTCAATAGCCGTACTGTACAGGTCAGGGCCATGAGACACTGTGCGATATCAGTGGTGTATGTATAGGACCTAGGCTGCTAGGTAGGTAGAGTAATGGGTCAGCACCTACTGTACTGTACCTAGACTGCCAGGATGCCAGGGAATTACTATCCGAGCTGATCTGATGCAAGCCTTGGAGTCCGCAGCAAAGCCGATATCAGCTAGATCAGCCTCTCCCAGATCCCAACCAGCTTTACTCTGTACAGCTGCTGAACCACACACTGACTGACCATTTAACCAACCACCCTGATTCCTTCTATTACATCTGTATACGTATTAATATCTCGTGTTAGATTAGAGGAAATGTTCTCTTGTACGGTATTACCTAGCAGCCTAGTACATATGTAAATAAGTATTAGTAGGTAGGTACATCATGGATGTATGTACTCCGTACGATTGAGATTTCTTGGCACCCGTGGGCTTGGTTCGGAACCCGTACTATGATCATGGTGACGTCGCTTCTTGTTGAGAATACGAGGTTTCTGCTGTTTGGTCGAACCAGAGCCAGAGAGACAGAGAGACACCCCACTTTGTAGATACGCATACTGTACGAATACTTAAGTAGCTGATGCGTCGTACTACATACGTACATACCTAGTCTGCCTAGGTACTGTACTACACACAGTACAAAAACCCAGTATTCCATATTGCCGTTTAAGCAGCAGTTTGTCTGAGGAGATTATGTACACTAGAGAGAATGTATCAGACGGATGAACGGGGACAACAGAACAGCGGAGATAAACTGACAAATGTAACAAGACTTTCATAGAATAAACGCCCCCTTGCCCCCCGATTTTCATTATTGGTTTTGTTCATGCATCTGTGTCTTGTCTACTTGTTTATTTTTAGTTTTAGTTTAGTTGTCTCAAACCCGCGCAGCCTCAACCGCTTAACCTGAATCATTCTTAGCGGCTTAACCCAATGGATGTGATCTTCATGAAGTGCTTGGAACTTATCCACCAACGTTATGCTTCTTCATTAAAAAGAAGATGGAAAGAAAGAAGAATAAGAAACCATAAATTGAAATACGAAATGCTGTACATAAATGATATATTACTTGAAATCATTATGTACCTAGATAATGAAACGAGTATTAGGTGATGTTGATAGTACCTACAGAATAGTATGAGTGGTTTTTGCTTGTACCACTCACTGTTTACATATGTAACTGCCACAATCGGCTGGATAAGTGCGTATTATGTTTGTTAGGGCTGAATTCTTGGCATAGTGTCACTACTTACCTAGGTACCTACCTACACGTAGGTAGATACTTCCTTATTCCCTGGATTTGCCATTAACATCCATGATAATTGCTAATTTTCACTCGCGCCCGCCGAAGGTTTGCATTAATAGATTTTAACCTCTTCCGACTCTAGCAACCATACCCGTATTTATGGAGTTACCCGCTGTCTCGGGACCTTTTATTTATTAAGCTTTGCAAGCTTTCCATTAATATTCGCCAACTTATTTTAATCGTGTTATTTTACCTAAGTGCGTAAAACGGTGAAATGTGAATCGCTTAATCATGAATGTTTAATAAATAAAAATTAATATATAATAATATTTATAGGATAATGTATTGAAATTCAACATTCCTAAGTTTGAATGAAGATAAAGATAAAGAATCTTGAGTGTTCAAGTTCACCAAGTTTCGAGGTCATATTAGCTAGGAATTAAGTAAGTGTACGTAAGCCATTACCACCAGCCACACGGTTTGACGTATTTACCTTGTACAACATTAAAAATACAAAGTACATGTCTTGCTTACGACAGGAGCCAAAAAAAGACATGTGAATATCCAATTAACGTTTCGAACTTGATCTGGAACTTGACATTGACATCCGCTACCGCACAGATCATTTAATGGATTTTACCTAGGCACAGATCACAGATCAAGAAAATCTCGAGCCGCCTCTATCCTATCGTAGATCGGATCTCTTACTATTGTCGCAATTCACGATTTCCACCATCATCATCACCGTCACCGTCACCGTCACCGCCGCCGTCAATAGTCTACTGGCATTCCTGCAAAACATGACGGGAAAAGAATGGTCTAAGATTATATGATTTTCTTCAGCTTCGAATCGCGCGCCTTTGGTGCTTTTAAAATTCCGACCGCTGGGTCTCGATAATGCCTGAGCACCCTGAGCACCTCGACCCGTCTGAACATGATACTTTGAGACTGCTCTCACGATCTCCGCATCCATATCATCGCCAGAACTCAGACCTACTCGATCCATCCGATCTATCCGATCCTTTCACATACAAATCCTCCACAAGACACAATCTTGATGCGCCGTCTGCATTGCGCAATACCTCGAGAGAAATCACGCCAAGTAGCGATAGTGGCACCGAGGCCGACGATGAACACTTCCTCAAAGGTTTACCGGCCCCGAAAAGGTTGCGAAAGGGATTGAGAGGATGCAATGAGGCTTTGTCCGGGACTGCCACCCCGATACCCTCCCCCGCTCTCCTCGAGGAAGAAGGTCGAAAATTGTCTTGTAGCTTGAAAAAGGAACCCCATCAAGGCAAAAGGCCCAACAGCCCCGCCGATAGAGTACGGAGGAGAAAGGAGATCATCCGTCGCTCTACTGAGTTTTTCATCATCGTTTTTCTCGGTCTTATGCTTCATACCAATGCCCGTGTTCAGTCTATCCTGCACAAATGGCATCCAGGTAGGCACTTATAGCTCAGACCGTCAACCAATGCCGCTAATTTAAATATAGAACTCTTCACATGGTTAGGTGTGTCCGCCTTTTTAGCATTTCTTTACCCTTTGCGACTAGTGGTATGGGCATACTGCCACCGGACGCCCTCGAAGAAGATACCAATCTATATATCGCCCTCTTTCGACCCAGCACCTCTCTTCTACCCACCTGCTATAACCCTCCTTGTCTCATTGCTTCTTGCGGTTGATAATGAAGCAATACTGTTACCGAACATAATACTCGCCATCTGCTCTTTACCGCCGAGCCTAATACCCACCATTGCAAATATCGACCCAGGGTACGACCCCTTGCATTGGGCACTCTCATGCTTGCCCCTACTTTTAGGGGAAGGTTACAAGAAGTCCAGCACCTTCGGGATGAAGAAAGACGTGCTTAGCTTCTTTCAAGCGTCTATTTCTCTCGAAACTGCGACTTTGTTATACCCCTTACACCGGAGTCTCTGCTCAGTCTTACATTCCCTAACTACCACCAGTCTACTCACAGCCGAGTTACAATTGCTATCCATCTCACTCGTCGGTCTCTTACTTCTGTCCTCTTCTCCGCAGGCGGTGATCCTCAAGTCAATGCTGTGGGTAGGAGGACTTGACATCCTGGTCTCGTGCAGCCATGCGATCAAGTGGGGAATATCTTTAGCCCGTGTACCTAAATGGCGCTTCAGGAGGACAGTCATTCCGTCTAAGCCCGGCTCTACCTTTTTTTCCAACATTATGTCGTGGAGGAGGGTGAAACATGACCTATTCCATGCGCCCGTGGACAGCTCATCTTGCAGTTCGTGCGAAGCCTTTGACGATCATGAAGACAGTGACGGTCCGGGATCTATAGCTTCTAAAGGCCCTCTCCACGTGAACTCTATGCGCGATGGAGCTAACCCTGTTGTAACTGGGGATAATTCGCTTCTCACCGGAAATGCAAGGCATGGGCATAGGACCCCATCCAACATTTCGGAGACGAAGGCCGGACCCGCGCCGCTCCGCCGGCACACATTACCCAGTGTGGACAGCGCATCGCGCAAATCTCACACCCACACTCCATCCGGTCGAAGGAAGCGGACGGCTTCTTATTCCGTCCGCGCCTTCTTCTCACTTACCCAGGAACAGGCCACAGCCCGAAAATGGGTATACGCTGTCTATGTTTACGTCTGTATCATAGGCGCTGTATTCATCCCGTTTCCATATATCGGTATAAAAAGAATCGTCGCAGAAGAAGCGCTCCATGGCTATGAGCCCGTGGGATGGGCATTGGGCTATTTATTCGGGGATATACCGCGGTTTAGGTGGGAGGTCGTCAGCCACAACCTAGAACGATGGATATGTCTTCCTCCGAGACCAACAGATGAGCTCGAATGTTTTGATTCTATGGGTTGGGTTGATCGTCTTCGCCAGCTATATCTTGGACAGGCCAATACCCGGCTCGTTCTAAGCGCGTATTTTCTGGCCATCGTCGGGATTGGATTGATAGTGGTTTTCCGGCTATCGCCCATCTATGAGGTGGACACGCGGCGAAAGGTCTTCCATTTTATGATGGTTGTCATGTTTCTGCCCGCAACTTACATCGATCCAGCGTTTGCGGCGTTATCATTATCCATCGTCCTCGCCGTGTTCCTTCTTCTTGACCTTCTTCGAGCGAGTCAACTTCCACCGTTGTCGAAGCCCCTAGCTTCCTTCCTCGCCCCGTACGTCGACGGGCGAGATCTTCGGGGTCCGGTCGTCATCTCTCATATCTTTCTCCTCATCGGCTGCGCCATTCCCCTGTGGCTTTCGCTAGGTTCGCTCCCGCGAGCTGGAACTAGATTTCTAGAAGGTTGGGAGCTGCCCTCCAGAGAAGTTAGTATGGTATCGGGCGTCGTGTGCGTAGGCCTTGGAGATGCAGCTGCTTCCCTGATTGGAAGACGTTACGGACAAAGGAAATGGCTATGGGGTGGCGGTAAGAGTCTCGAAGGTAGCGCTGCTTTTGCTTTTGCCGTCTTCATCGGGCTCATCGCCGCGCGGTTATGGCTGCTCGCTGGCGGGTGGCCTTCGACAAACGATAATTCGGATTCTTGGGGCACTGCAACTCGGAAGATGGGAACTTGTGCTGCTACCGCCAGCCTCACGGAAGCAGTCCTGACCGGTGGTAACGACAACGTCATCGTGCCTGTGGTCCTGTGGACTTGCGTGAAGAGTCTTGGTATTTAAGTTGCCATCACAACACTGGATGAGTGGCGCTATTTGAATGAGGCGTCTGGTCAGATTTCCGTGTTTGCTGGGGCTTCGGGGGAACCGGTTAGATATCGGATATACCAGTCAGATTCCGTTGACGATTTTGAAGTGCTGCAATGCAGATATGGCGTTATATGATGAATGAAGAAAGGAGAATTGGTGGCAGGATGATCACGTTCCACTAAATAATAATTAATGTGATATACATCGACTAGTCTATCTATACGTGTGATAGCATGCCGCCTATGAATAAACTACCAAGTACCTAGGTGTTAGTCATATGTATATCTATATATATATATAATACGTACCTACTCTCTTTGGTATTATTTCAAGTTGCCGTAAATAATCTACCTTTATACTCGACACGCAGAAAGCAAACCAGTCTACATAATCTCACTTCGATTACAGTCGTTTAATATTGGGATAGTGAGGATACGGTGGTGTATGGTTAGGAAGCGGGTACGTATTAACGCAGATGACGATCAAGTCTTCAAGTCGTTAACACGAGCGAGTGTCAACTTAGTTGTGTAGACAATTAGCTTTTACTATTTTTTCGGACTCTTTTATATACAATGGTAGCCTTGGAGCTCTTATGTCTCTACCAACGAGATCTGGTGCTTAACCCATTTCTCGAGCCCACCGCGGGCAATGATCTCCTGTACATTAGGTGGCAGTTCGCCGACCTTCTGGCTCCACGTTTGGCCACCTTCGCCCTCAACGACTGTAACCTTGCTCCTCCTCACGTCCCAGAGGAACTTCCAGCCGGTGCGCCTCGTCAGCAACTTGTCTTCCTCACTCGCGGCTCGAAACACCTCGCGCAACCTCTTTACTAATTTTGGTACCTCGACACCCATCAAGGCATTGTTGATGCTGTTACGGCTGAATATGTTACCGAAGCTTCCTGCAACAACAATAGGGATCTTCTTCGCGAGGATGGCGGTAGCTGCCTGCTCACGGGAGCTACCACATCCGAAATTAAAGCCCGAAACGAGGATATCCCCGGCACGTGCGATTCCCTGGAAGCCCTTATCGTAGTTCTCCATGCAGACCTCGGCCATCTTCTCGGTAGATACGTTATCTTGGTACGTGTACTTTCCTGGGTAGATGCCGTCGGTGTTGATGTTGTCAGCATCGCAAAAGACGATCTCGCCCTCGACTTTTTCGGGGAAGCCAGGGAGAATGTCGGTAAGTGTCTCTTCGCCGTTGATGGGTTCCGAGGGCTCGCCACCTGACCCGTCTTGCTCAGCCCCCGATATCAATGTATCGGCCTGTGCAATGATCTTCTCTAGCGCATCCTCGATGCTCATAGCTTTGTCCTGCTCAAAGTTGCCATTGCCCTCGCCGATGATTACCTTCTCAACGCCTTCCGGCTTTTGGTACCAACCAGGACCGGCAATCTTGCCCTGCAACGCGCTAGCTGCGACAACTTCGGGACTTGCAAGGTAAGCCTTGGCTTCAGTGGAGCCCATGCGCCCTTTGAAATTACGGTTGCTAGCGCTGATACCGACCTCACCTGGTTCGAGGAGACCGGTACCAAGGCCGATGCAAGGACCACAGCCTGATAGCAGAGGCTGGGCACCGGCGTCCAGGAGGATCTGCCAATCCCCAGCCTCCTCAGCTGCCTTTTGTTCCGTAAGAGACGCGGCAGCGATGTAAAAGTTGACGCCTGGCGCTATCTTCGGCTCGTTTCCGTTGGTGGCAGCCTCCCTAAACACCCTCGCGGCAGCTGCAATATCCGAGGACCTCGAGTTGGTACATGAGACTAGATAGGCCTTGTTGAGTTTAATACTCTTAGCCTCTATATCGCGAAGGGGGGTGGCGACTTTGACGGAGTTCGGCCCCGCAACGAAAGGTGATAGGGTCGACAAGTTCAGATACAAGGATTTGGCGTACGTAGCTCCAGGGTCAGCAGTCAATTTGTTTTGCATTAAGACGTCGATATCCGTGTGGGCGATTTGGTTCAGTGTATAGCCATCGCCACCTAGCACGGCTGATGCGCTAGCTTTGGCTCGTAGCCACTTCGTCAAAACAGTATCTATGGGGAATAGCCCAGTCAGAGCACCCCATTCGGTAGTCATATTGGAGATGGTGAGTCGGTCATCAATCGGGATACTTGACATAGTCTCTTCAGAACCGGTGAACTCGATGGCATGATTTAAGACGTCATCGTTATTGAAGAGACCGCATAAGGCGACGATGACATCTTTTCCAGTGACGCCTGGCGGCAGGATTCCAGTAAATGTCACTTTAGCGATAGGAGGAATTTGCCACCACGTCTTACCAGTAGCCCATATGCTAGCTGCGTCAGTCCGAACCATCGGAGTGCCTAGACATCCCACGCCTCCGTACATGTTGCTATGACTATCCGAAGCAACTGTGACAGTGCCAGGCCAGGCGTAGCCTTCCTCGACCATTATTTGGTGACCGATACCTCTTCCAGCAGGATAGAAATCGATTCCATGCTTTTTGGCGAAGTTTTCGATCTGTTGATACTTCTTTAAGTTGGCCTCGCTTTTGTTTTGCACGTCGTGGTCGAGGGTCATGACGATCTGCTCGTTGTTGTGAATTTTAGAGGCGCCGATGGACATGAATTTCAGAGCAACTGGCCACGAGTTGTCGTGGGTCATGCAGCGATGAGGAGAGAGGGTGACATAGTCGCCCCCTTTTACTTTCTTCCCTGTCGCAAGGCCTACCGAATATCTTTGTACTATCTTCTCTGTTAGGGTTTGTGGTGTCTGGGTAGCTGTTTTGAAAGAGGATATAATGTCCGACGGAGCAGATTCCTCTAACAGGGAGTGAAATGCACTCTGTCGGTGCTGAGAAGTAATGGTAAAGGAGCGGGTCAGTAACCGGCGCGCGATAAGAGACGAGAAGGGCGAGGATGATGCGACATGATGACTACGAGCTGCAAACGCAACTCTAGCCGCTACTGATCTTTCCTGCTTGTAATATTTATGAGTTATTCATAATTTGACGTGCGATTCTGGTATTTATATGAGTTGACTTACTACGCAGCGACGCATTCTGAAGGCGGCTGATCGTTTATCGTCTTGATATCATGACAGCATTCAGATAAAGAACGGCTGTTCTCATCTAGCCTGGACCAAATTGATCCCTCTAGGAGGAGAGTAAACACCGTTTCAATCTCAATGACAGCTCATGAATTGTATATATTCGCGTATTTTTTTTCTTTCGGTTTTTTTTTCCCTTCAACTTTTAGCTTTTGCTAATTGTAAACTCCGACATCGTTCTTGATCTGATTGGCTCCAAGTTTGTCATATTGATTGAGTGAACGTCTATTGGTCAAGACGGAATGATGCCGTAACCTTTAAAATATACCTAGTAGGTTGTGTGGCTGTGTGGCTAGTAAAAGATGGAACTTGGCAGCTTGGAACTTTCAAGGTTACATAAGGATCTGATAGGGCTTATCATATGATCCACAATAGATTATGATAAGCATATACTGTAGGTACATAAAACAGTGGAACCTGAAATGTTCTTATTGTCGTACAGGCAGGAGTCAGGACGCAGCTGCACAGGTACAATACAGGTACCTAGCTAGGTAGGTAGTAGGTAATGAATACGGATACGCAGCGGCTGCGTGGTTGATTCTTCTTGGAAAGTGGAATGCGCGCAAAAGTGCAATGTGATGGAACCATCTAGCAAAACTTTATGATCGGATCAAATCATTCCGTGCTCAAAGCTTACGTCCATCGCCAGTATCCGACAGGATGATCCAAGCAAGTTAGCTATAGTTTACCTGCATCTGCTACATATTCTCAAGATTGAAATTCTCGGATTCTCCATTGGACTGGGCAAATACCCATAGCAGTAAACTAAGTGCACTAAACTACCTAACTAAACCAGACTCTTTCAAAGTTGTTGCATCCAATACATTTCTCTTTTCTTTATCCCCAATCGCCATTCCCCAATCCCTAATCCCCAATTCCCATTCCCAATTTTCATTTTCCACATTCGCAATTCCAAGTTGTCGCGTGTGCTTACAAAGATCAAAGGAACCCAAAAGAATCCTATGCGTCCGGTTTCATCAACCTCTTGGAATCTCTACTCTCAAGCCTCCATCTCATTGTTCTCGGACGCACACTTACCCAGTTAGGTATCTGGCCTGTACGATTCTAAGGAGACCCCCCACCACTTTGAAGGAGGAGTCAGACAGTCCTGGGAGTCACAAGAGTGACAAACTCGGATTTACCTGGTGTTCGCACCGGGGCCGCCGTTCTAGCCCCTACGGTCCCCTACACATGGGCATCTTGACCCTCCCACACTAAAGGACGCGGTGGCTTTAGGCAACCTAGCTACCTCGCATTACCTCATTACCTCATTATTTCATTACTTCATTGCTTCACTACTTCGCTACTTCACCACTCGCTACATCTTGCCTTCGTCTAGCCATATTTGATGGAGAGGATTTTATACAAATTTAACAAAAGATTCAAACCTTTCTCATCAGATTTCTTGGGATCGGCTTAATCATCGCTGGCGTCTCGGAGAGTCAATGATAGGTCTCTATTTATTCAAGGTCCCGCCTCATTTCCGACTCGGGAGACGGAATTAAGACCCAAACCTGCCGGTAGATATGTCGTCCAGTTCGTCAGGAAAACCGCCTCGGGTGCTTGCTTGTGTGAGTCGCCCGCAGTCACCGACTATCTGAACTCCCCGGCCTAACTTTGAATCGTGTTATGAATATATAGGTTTTATGCCAAAGTAGAAAGATCAAATGTGACCGCAAGACTCCCTGTTCTAACTGTATCAAGGTGAGCCTTTTTACTCTTCTTCTTCCTTTTCTTTTCATTAGGTGAGAGAGGCCTCCACGTCTTTTCTTCCCTCTCTTATCCTCTCTCTGTTATCTTATCCCGCCTCTCAGCCTGGTCCTAACAGATCATGTCTAGGCCAACGTCGCATGTACACCAAGCACGCCGGCGCCCGCTCGTAAGAGGAGGAGGCCAAATCAGGATTTACAGCAGAGGTTGGCGCGTTGTGAGGAATTACTTTCCGAATATGCTACCGCGAAGCCTGCCGCTCCATCATCCGCCGACTCGCCCAGCCAAGATGAGGCTTGGAGGCCCCGCGGCGGGAAGCTCATAGTAGACGAAGGCAGCGTCAAATTCATAGATAGTTACTTATGGGCTAACATACACAGCGAAGTAAGTCTGACCTGTTTTTCTCTTTTTTCCTGGGATGTGGTTTATAATCATCAGTGTCAAATGTTATCTCATTGTACCTATATCATATGCGTTTATCAGCCCATTATCCTTTATTTTTTATATTTTTTATATTTTTCTTATCATTGTCATCATCACCACCATCATCGTTATGATTATCTTTTTCTTTTTTTTTTTAAAAAAAAAAAACATCTCTCACGATCATTAGCTCTCGGCAATGCGCGAGATACTCGAAGATGAAGATACCGTAGACGACCCTTGCACCCCCGCAGATTCGCAAGCATCCGATCTCAACGCAGGTCTAATATTATCAGACACTTCTGAGGCTAATCTGGAAGAGCTCCATCCACAACCGGCTCATGTATTTCGGTTGTGGCAAATTTTTCTCGAAAGGGTTAACCCATTAACCAAAGTGATACATGTGCCCACAGTGCAACCTCTTCTCGTCGAAGCGGCCACGAGTAGGGAAAATGTACCTAAAAACGTCGAAGCGCTGTTGTTCTCCATCTATCTAATGGCCACCGTGGCCCTAACCGACGACGAGTGTGTAGAGCGATTCGGGTTCACCAAGATAGAAGCCTATAACCGGTTTTCTAAGGGTTGCCGCTCAGCTTTGATGCGCATCGGCATCTTAAAGAATTACGACCTTGTCGTCCTACAGGCCTTGGTACTATATTTGGTTAGTTCGGGGGATTCCTCCCTCGTTTGACTTCGCTGACAGCAATTTCCTAGTTCTCTCTCCCAGGCCGATACGACCGTCATGCGGCGTGGATTTTGAACGGTGTGATTGTAAGGATTGCGCAGAAGATGGGTCTTCACAGAGATGGCGAATTTCTCGGGCTACTGCCGTTCGAGACCGAAATGCGAAGGCGAATATGGTGGCGGATCCTTTTACTCGATGCAATGTATGCACTCATGTCCGGCCTCGGTCATTCTCTTCTCCCACGTTCATGGGACACCAAACCACCTTTAAACATCAACGATTCCGACCTCTACCCTTCTATGACGACCATACAACCCAAAGATACCCCAACAGATATGATATTTTGCCTCATATGCAGCGAGATCGCCTCCGTCATGATTGATACGCCCGAGATTCATCTGGTCATCTTACAGAACGAGATGGGCTTGGAAACATATGAACCTGATAAGATCGAGAAGGCATCCAGGCGTCTCGAGCAGCTGGACCGAGACATGTCGGAGATCCTAGCTAAGTATAGCGATCTTTCGATGGGTCCTGTTCATGTATTAGCAACGGAGTGTAAGAAATCAATGATTGGAAAGCTACGCGAATTAATCAGCCCGATGGTAACCCAGCCAGAATGGGGCGATGAGGTTCTATCACCTAAAGATCATCTATTCAAGATGTCGGTCACGGCAGGTGAACAAAATTTAAAGATGTATGAGTTATCACCTACGAGAGGGGTTTTCCTATGGTTCAGTAAGTTTTCTATCCAAAGGCTCGGTTGCTTATTGCGCGATTTACTAACACCTGCCAGTGATGTCGCATTTCCAGCTTGAGCTTTTTATATACATGGTTGGGCAATTACGCTGGCGTACGTCTGGGAAGCTAGTAGAAAGGGCGTGGGAGTCGGTCGAACTAGTTTATCGATTTCATACGGAATTGTGGGATCTCTCGGTGAAGGCACATCTAGCGGCCGCCATCTTCACGATCCGGGGTTGGAAAGTGCGGGAAAAGGCGTTGCAAGAGGCCACGGGCGTTATTCCAGGGACGCCCGATTACATATTGAAGCTTCAGGGAATCTTACCAGCGGAGGATGTAAAGCACACGCTCTCCAACGAGTCGCCAGACTTGATGAGTATCAGTAACACGCCGGACGGGGCCCCACCCGGCGTTCCGCAGCCCGTTGCGGATGTCGCTTGGGACCAGATGCTTGGTTTCGTTGACGCGGGAACCATCGATTGGGGCGATATGTTCGCAACACCTAATGGTGGGCAACCACAGGCGAGCTACGGGGGCTTTGGAGGAGTATTTGGCGGAAATGGGATTAATTGGATGTAATTGTCAATGAAATCTTGGAGAGAGTCAAGAGAGTCAAGAGAGTCGCTACTCAGGTTATTGGAGTTCTATATTACGTTGTCGTGCATTCGGAATGTGCATCCTTTCAGACCCGGGTAGTTTTTAGAGACGAAGGGGTGGCCGCTATTAAAGTCTACAGTAACATGGTGGTGCATTGAACAAGGGCCTACACAATTGGTCACCGGTAAGCCAACGAGAGGGGACGTTATGGTCTAAGGCAACAGCCGCAATTGCAACCTCAACAGGAAAATTGATTTAGTTGGATAGTTGGGTATGATCGCCGCCCTTCCACGCATATCATCCCGGTAAACGGACTTGGTGCGAAGACCTATTGCTAGGTATATTAGGTATTATATACCTACCTAGGTATGTAAAAAGACCAGGATATGTAGCCCTGGAGGTCGGTGTTTCGGTCTTTACGTATGACCGACTTCACTCTCCTATATCTCATTCTAAAGATTCAAAGAGAGGAAGACAGAGAGAGAGAGAGAGAGAGAGCAGAGGGAAAGAGAGGGAGATGGAGATGATATAATAATAAAAAATAAAAATAAGATTAGGTAGGTGACTATTAGGTAATATACAAGGGTGAGGGAGAATAAATCAATAAAAGACTAATGTGTTAGTTCAGCTATAGCGTGAAGCTATAACTAGGTAGAATCAACGGGTCTGGATCTCACTTACAGTCTCATTTCAGATTCGTGATATGTAATCATTCGGCACCGAACACCGAATGTGCAAGTACCTATCGGATCTATAACTTTACTCCGAGTATGTACCAAGTATTCATCGAAATATCTTCTTCAACTTACATCTCTTTCTCTCCAACATCCATTTCCTCTTTCAACACCTAACCACATACTCGTATATATATATTTATATATATCTAGTATATATATATATATCTGGTATATCTAGTATATATACCTTTATCAGGCTTGATTATGTGTGTTGTTGGTGTTTGACTTATCCAACTTCGTCGCAGCCATGTTGTTTCGCCGGGATAGAAAAGATCAGCTTCCAGTGACCGTGAATTCGGATTCGGCCACGGCCACGAGCGACGTCCCAACCGAAAAGATAGAAGAGGCAGGAGAAAATACGAATCCGGCCAACGAAGATGTGTCTGAGGAGGAAGAGATCGAATATCCTACTGGCGTTCGGCTCACCTTAGTTCTCGTCTCCGTCTTCGTTTCGATGTTTCTCGTTGCCCTGGACCGACTGATCATCTCAACGGCGATACCTGCTATCACGGATGAGTTCCACTCCCTACCCGACGTCGGATGGTATGGCTCGGCATACCTACTGACTACTTGCGCCTTTCAACTCCTATTTGGAAAGGTTTACACTTTTTTCCCCGTCAGAGCCACCTTCCTGGCGACTATCTTCCTCTTCGAAGCTGGCTCTGCCGTATGTGGCGCCGCACCAAATTCGGTGGCGTTCATCCTTGGACGCGCCATTCAGGGGGTTGGGTCAGCAGGAATATTTGGCGGGAGCGTCAGTATTTTTTATATTATTCCGTCCCATTTTTCTCTGTAAACGATCTCAGAACACTTATACTTCACGCGCACACACACAGATCATCAGCATTGTCTACTCTGTTCCTCTCCATAAAAGGTAGGACGACTCTACCTATTCAGACGTCACGTTTTTTGAAGTTTTTAGTGATTAAGATATAATAGGCCTCTCTATCTAGGTTTCTTCGGCGCCGTCTTTGGTCTCGCCTCTGTTATAGGTCCTCTCGTCGGCGGTGCGTTCACGTCAAATGTCACCTGGCGCTGGTGCTTCTATATCAATCTTCCCTTCGGGGGGATTGCTATGTTGGTGATAGCCTTTCTACTCCACGTACCTGATAGGAAGACGACCAAGATCCCGACGAAGGCGAAGTTCGCTCAGCTAGACGCAATTGGGACCACTCTGCTCATCCCGGCTGTCGTTTGCCTTCTCCTCGCCCTACAGTGGGGAGGTTTGACGTATGCGGTATGTTGTCTCATTTTATGTCTACCTAGTAACCATATCTACCTAGTAAGTAGGTAGCCCTTTTTTACTAACATAGGATAGTGGAGTAATGGTCGTATAATAGCCCTGTTGACCCTTGGGATCGCGCTATTCATTGGTTTCACGGCTGTCCAAGTCATGATGCCGAAGACAGCAACCATCCCCCCACGCATTTTCAATCAACGATCTATCCTTGCCGGAAACTGGGCTACCACCTGTATCGGTGCTAGTATGATGATATTTGGCTAGTTCTCCCTCGCCCAGTTTGTTCACGATAATCATCTAGTTACTGACTGTTTGCCACAGTATACTTTCTACCTATCTGGTTTCAAGCCATCAAAGGAACCACGGCCGTCGATTCCGGTATCCGTCTGCTCCCTATTACTCTTTCTATGGTTGTTGCATCGATCACGAATGGTATATTCGTCGCGAAGCTCGGATATTACACACCATCTATGATCATCGGCACAGCACTGATGTCCGTGGGGGCTGGTCTCCTAACAACGCTACAACAGGACACGCCAACGGGAAAGTGGATTGGTTATCAGATCCTCTTCGGGTATGTGAATTCTGCCCCCCACCCCCCCTAAACTACTAGGTACCTGGGTAAATAGCTAATAAATCAGGTTCGGAATGGGCATGTGTTTCCAAGCTCCAAACCTAGCAGCGCAGACTGTTCTTCCGACGAGGGATGTTCCCATTGGCACGTCTCTGGTCTTTTTCTGCCAGTTATTATCTGGTGCTATTTTTCTTTCCGTCGGGCAAAACGTGCTTGACAACCAACTCCTCAGCCGGCTTTCTGGTCTTCCTGGATTCGAGCCGTCCATGATCGAAGAGAGCGGCGCTACAACGCTGAGTTCATCTCTCACAGCTGAACTCCTCCCCACAGTCCTAGTAGCATATAACGAAGCCTTGCGTCAAGTGTTTAGGCTTGGCTTATGCTTGACATGCCTCACCATGTTAGGCTCAGTATGCATAGAATGGAGAAGTGTAAAAGAGAATAAGCCCAAAGGCCCAACCGTAGCGGACCCAGAGAGCGGTTTGGGAATAGCGGAAGGGGAGAAGTTGGACTCCACGCAAGGGATTAGGTCAGACGGAGAGACATTAGCCGAGCATACCGAAGATCCAGTGAGCGAGGCCCCTATCGCTAGTAGGTCTCCAACTGCTAAAAGCGACTCGTAGTAAATGAGTTGTCTTGCTTCGTTGTTTAGAAATCGTCTACCAGCTGGAACGTAGGATATAGCGGCGTGATGTTAGTCTATGAGGCTGTAATGATAGATACTAGGTACTAAGCTAGACTACACTAGGAATATTCCTCTCATATAAATACCGAACCGTACTAGGTACTCTATATTTCTTTGATCTACCTCCTATATTGTGCTTTGAATGCTTGGTCTACAGTGAAGAACATAAGGCTTTTGACGGTCCGACCAAGTCCGAGAACAAAGCCTTTATACGAATACTTGAACCATACAAAACCAGACCTTTCTTGGAGTAGCCGTTATAAATAGGTAGACATACGCCGCCGCCCACCTGGTGTTCTAGTCAGCATTTCTTTTCGTCTTGGATCGAGCCCCGAATGTTCTACTAGCAGTGAGTTGATCTCACGGAATTATATTATTGCAAATTGCAACATGCCTACGAAAACAACCAGATCCTACGACTCTGTCGACAGCAATTGGACTTTTATGTACGTCGTACTGAGCCTAATCCCAGTAGCATTTGTGGCTGTGGCGGTCCTTTCTACGAGGCGTGACAAGGCGATACAGCGGGAGAAGAGCGATATGGAGATGGCTATCGTGCGTCGACAGACGTGGCCTCCGTGGAGGAAAGCCACCTCCGGCCCCAAGCGATCAGGAGAGCCACATGGGCAGTACCCGTATGTGACATCTCCGCCCCGGGTAGTGACAAACCCTCCCATCCCGCCACGGAATTTCGGCAGGTCCGTTAAGGAGAGTGATGGCGAGGAGATCGATAGGCTCACAAGAGATAGAGACTTCACATAGATCAACACTGCGAGGTCGTCGGGGAGGAGCGGCAATTTCCCCCTAGACCTCGATGAAATATCTCTGAAGATAAGTTCATCCAACATGGATATTCTATCAGTGCTACCCCGTATTCCGCAAGCTTTCATGCGCGTAACTATGCTAACCTAGTGCCTGTGTAAGTTCAATTTGACATGCAGGTTTTGGTGGTAAATAGAACCTTACGACGAAAGCATTTATGATCAGATGCAGATCATACCAAAGTTTTTAACACAGGAGGGTACCCCAATCTTCCTTCGGTATACGAGCTACGGATTGCTTGCGTTTGGGCTTTATATTGTAGTGAGTCGTATAGGGCATCGCATCGAGATGCTGATAGATAATTACCTAGGTACCGAGACAATCAACGATGATGTTGTACCAACGTGGTAAAGTTGAACAAGCATAATTACGACGGAAAAAAAAATACCAAATATGAGCCTGTTTGCAGTCACAGTCCTTCCAGCCATTCGTGTAGATTCTCAATCGTGCTGCGAAGCGTTGGTATCAATTACGCCGGCCCTCTTAATTCTAGCTGAAACGCTATGCCCTCAAGCTCCAATATCAGCTTCACAAAAAACAGGATTCCCTATCGTAACATGCCCACCCGTACTCCGTATGTGACCCCTAACGCCTTTCCATGCCGCAGTCTGGTGAACTTTCATCTCCCTAATTCGAATTGTGGAGAACCAAATTTATACATGATGAATCAGAGTTCAATCGGCATCAATAAGAGTACCGGAGAATATAGACAGTCGAAGGCATATTATAGTTGTGGGACCGATATTCTGGACGAACGCTGGACGTTTACGGCGATTTAAATCTCGGTAGTAGGCTTTGAGAAACAGTGACCGATAGAATAAACCCTTCATGTCCCGGAGCAATACCGTCCACCACGGTGAGAACGTACAATACGTCCCTGATAATGCATATTTCGCCCCTGCTTCGCGAGGGTATATACTCCTCGGATTTTTTTCTCCAGTAGTTGTAGTGTCCAGTGGGAGTAATCAGTGGTTCTTAGGCTGCCAAATACCCGCGCCGAGAGGTTTGCTAATACCAAAACCAACACCAACGGCGACACCGACGATTAAAAACGCGATGAGGACTTTGGCTATAATCCTATTTCGCTGGCTAAGACGAGCCATGCACTGACACGATCGGTTATTGATCTTAGCTGCTCGTGCCTTTTGTCGCCAATGATCTTGACCAGGCCATACAGCGCAGTCCGACTTTGGTCCGGGGTTGCCCGATGCTGTCTTGTTCAGGTGATCGGACGAATGAATGGGCATTATTGCCTCGATGTCCGTATCGAATCCATTAGGGGCGGCGGAGCACGGTGTCGATACGTTCGAATTTCGGCGGATATCTAAGCTCCCTTCCGGACTTCTCTGGCTAGGTGCGAGAAGCTGAGTAGAGACAGTCAATTGGCCCTGCTTGGGGGCTTTCTCCTGAATCGAGATGGTTGCCATTTTCTTGGTGGCGTGGGGGTGGAGGTCAGGGTGTCCTGATGAAGTCGAATTTGAAGAAATGCTAGAATATGTGCGCCACCGTCGTTGGAACCGAGCTTGCGAGAAGACGAGGTATAATTACACGTCAGAAGCGAGGTTTCCAACGGTGACTCTGTTGATTGATTGTCTCGGAGAATAGGTAAATAGATATACGCTGAAAAGAACTGTTAATCGAGAGGTCCAGATATTATTAAATGTGACTGCTAGACTTACTGAAAACTACAGAATGGGGGAGGGCAAGGTTAAACTTGACCAAGATTCAAGATTCAAGAACCAGCCGCTCTTGCGATTTTGCTCTAATCTTTGGTGGGTATGGTCGATAGATAGCTTGGATATCACCAATATTTTAGGGATTAACCACGTTCGTGCTTTCAACGCATTGATGTACTCTTCAGGTCGGTGCTTCAGATTTCAGATTTCAGATTTCAAGACGGATGAGATAGATCAAATAGCCGAACTAAAAACTTCAAGGTTTAAACGGTTTAAAAGAAGGTATGGATTGAAAGAAGAGAACGACGGATGGCTATGTACGTGCGTATCATTGATGCTACACTCCTAGCAGAAAGAGAGAGAAGAAAACGAAACGAATGGGCGAGGTATCGAGGAACGTGAGGAGTCGTACGTTATCATGCAAGGAACAAGAGACCTTGAACATTTGAACTCTTGAAAGTCAAGATGGTGAAAGAGAACGAGCGAATGGGTTGATGGATACGCCCATACTTTCGCCTAATGTTCCAGACCCTATAATAGCTACAAGCCGTTAACCGTAGGCCATCAAGCCATGGCAAGAACGCCTATGGATGCAGGGTCCGGGAGCTATTGGGTCAATCAAAAAGGGGAGGACTGGGGGGTAATTGACCAGATAGGGTATGTGCTACGGACCTACTAGGAGTTTGGCCATTAAAAATTGCTAAAAGCTGGAGTTGTGGAGCTAAACGCTCGCACCCGCCAGAAATACCCCTGGACTCTTAGATTTCATCCAAACTTTCATCTACTAATACTACTGTACATAATACAGGATGTATCCCATGTACGTCCACGGGTACTCATTCCTTGACGTACAATAGTACTCAGGTACTTGAAAAAGAGATGCACTCATTAACTTCCTCTCTTAGAAATATGGCATATTGAACATTGACTTTCTTAGAGCTATTACTAGAAAATAATAATAGCCCATGACTATATGAATAGATATTATACATATCAAATATCACGGATACCGAACCAAAACACGTCGTTTAGGCGGGCGCGAGCTGATCTCATTAGCGTGTTCATGTGGACGTTAGCGTTACCCCCTCGTTAAAAGCTTGGTCCTAACTCAGCATCAGCGCTTGCCTTGGTTTCGACTAGCCCAGAAAGCTAGGTCTAGATCGAGGCCTCCTTAACGACTTTTAACTGTAATACCTAAGTACCTCTATTGATAAGTATCATCATTCTGCTAGTTATTACTAGGTAGGCACACCTCTACGATTTTAGATGATGTAGCTTAATAGCATAAAAATTTTAGTAAAAAAATCGATCATGGATGTTTTTAGCAGTCTTAAAGAAGTTGATCAGATATTATGATATGTATATAAAACCTTCGGTATTCTACAAATACTTCCATAAACACTTCGAAATTAAAATATTTGATCTCGTATGAAGGATCCGATTCCTGGTCTCAGATCTCAGCATGTACCCGACAAACAAGTGGCCTATATACATATATACATACCTACACATGTATCGTGTACATACTACTAGATATGCATGATATGGCACGTTCTGCACGTTACGTTAGATCATTGGGGTTTTACTTAGCTGCTTAGTAGGTCAGTATTAGCGGGTATTTCCGCTTGCGAAGAAATCAGCTCAGCTAGGTATAACCATCATAAGTAGTGTCACTATCATAAGTCGCATTTCTCAAATCATATGTGGAACGTAAAGAAATCGTACTTATTAGGGAAATAATAATCGTTTTTTTGTTCCGAATTTAATCATTCACCTAATAATACCTTAAGGTTAGCTGTTGCGTTGCAGAAATTTGTTTTAATTGTCACGCCAGGCTATCCTAGACAATAGGATTTGTCCAAGTCCTTATATGATCATCGAATGCTGATCAGCCCCTGCTATCCCCAGCACCCCGGTCCTATCTCTGTGTATTAGGTAAGCTGGGGATCTCCAGTGCTGCAACTTCAATTTTGAGCATATTATCAAATCCACCAAATATTACATCATACTCATTAGGAACGTATTGTGGCTGCATCTTCGTCCTTCATAACATTTTATTAATGATTTGTTGGATGAGGCTGAACAACATTATTAAAGAACGCATCGCATCTGTCAAATTTATATCTTATAGAATCAACTGATATGACTACTTACTGCGAATCTTACTCGGTACATAATTTAGCTATCTCAATATATAATAGAGCGTTGCTCCGGTCCGCTAAATATTTCTGTTCCTGGTATCTTGTCCTATATATAAGATACCTCAAATTTTTCGTTACACGTATTCGTTTATGTGTTATGTACATGATGACATTGAAGCTACATACTGGCATCGTAGGTATGGCAAGTGCTCAAAGTACACCGATGGAGAACGTCATTGCCTCCATTACTTGATTGTTTCCCTAGCACTTGCTTCGGTTATCGACATATTACATCAAAAATTTACCTAATCTTCCAACCGACTTACCTACCTACTTAGGTACCTACCTATGGTGTGTATGTTGAGAATTTCAAGGTTCTTCCCCCTGCCTTCCAAGATTCACTCACCTCATCTACTCCTCTTCATATCAATAAATCCCCGGATCTGTCAGTGTATATCTTGCCACAGACTTGAGTACGTATAATTGAGGATTGTTCAAGATCTATCTCCATCAAATTTCCATTTGACTCTTTCATCATGATGATGATAACAGCGATCATGGCGGTTCTCGCCTCTGGTGGCTTCACCCACATGGCTTTAGCAGATGACAACCCCAGCAGTCAATCTATGGTTCCATCTACCACACTTGATGAACCAATTATCGTGCCCGGTACTCTCCAGAAGCGAGATGCATACACTTGCTATGGTGTAGGTGATAGCGATTTCCTAGTCTTGTAGTAGTATGTATCTACCGAGGCTAATCTGTCTATCAGACCACCAATACTTCCGTTGCGGATTGTCAGAAGGTCATCGACACCATTCTTGCCGACAAACAGAAGGACTTCACGCTCTGGCCTAACATATGTGCTGTATGGAACCAGGGCACCTGTAAAGTTCGGTTTTGTGCCCAGCCCTATGTGACAAGACCCGTCAACCGATCTGGAACGTGGTTGGCCACTTACATAACCACGCCAATATTGGATGGATGCATTAGCAAAGGGAATATGGGGGTCTATGGAGACAATGAAAACCTCAATAGTCACGCAGGCACGTACCGAGTATGGGTATCATAGAGCTGGGGAGTGGGATATGGGGGATAAGCAGGAACGCAGTGAGATCGTAGAAACGCAATGGTAACTTTCTATATGTAGCTCAGACAAGAAGATTCTAGCGGGCAGGATTTCTATGGAGATCACGAAGGCCTCTTACACAGAGGCAATCAACATACAACATTTGCTTCAACATCTTGGTCAAGATAACCGTACGAAACTCAACAGAATTAGAATGGCAATTGGAAGTATCATTCTTTGTGCTCTAGACTTTAGGTAGACCATAATATGTAGCATCTTCATCCAGACAGTATTCTTACTTGTTTGTCTTGCTTACTGAGGCATGTGATCATTACTACCTTAACAGTACTTCTTAAGAGATATATGAGGATTCATCAATATTACAAACCTTAGTATGGAATCCAAAAGGTATTCGAGGAGTAATATTTAGTAAATTCTCCTGTAGGTATATATTTTAATATTATTTAGCATGGCTAATGACTGAGGAGATATTGTTCTGTTACCCAGAAGATAGCCTACATAATCCGTAGACTTTGGATCATGATAGTTTTCATCTTAGTATGGATGTGTCATCATCAGTATGTGTTATACTCTATCCATGTTTGACCAAAGGAATCATTTTAAAATTTCAAGTTTTCAACATTGAAGTTCACGTGCGAGTCATCAAATTTCAGCGAGTCGTTCAGGTGGTTCCTTCCCCCTTTAAGCACACAAGTATACCAATTAGTCGTTGTTTCCCATCTGCATATGTAGGTACTTAGTAACCCTGGGGGTCACACCTGAACTACATAGTACGAGCATCGAGGCAAACAATATCACAATTCCTCAACCGAATTCCCAAGACTCGTCATTCACACCGCATACATTAATCACAAGAATCATTCCTGCCTTCAATACCCCATATCGGTTCACGAAATTCACCATGGTTCTAATGCGAATGTCCATCTTGGCCATGGCCACTGCTAGCCTCTTTGACCTAGCCGGCGCTGCTGCTATCGTACCGGTAACCGATCATGGAATTCAACTCTCGGGATCATCCACCCAGCAAGCACGAAAGGATACCATCGCTGAAATGATTGTCAACTCTATTGGCGAGGATCTCATCCAACGCCAAAACGCCGTCCACCGCTGCTACCCGCCCTCTCCCGCCGTTGTTAGTCATAATTTCTAGGCGAACATAAATGCAAACGATATAGATTATTTACTGACACGTATGCTAGGATCCTACCCCCTCGGTTGAGGATTGCCAGGGCTCGATTGCCAAGCTTCAGGCTGTCCAAGGCGATATTGTGGTCAAGCTAGTCGAAGGTTGTTATGAGGCGTGGAACGGAAATTGCACCGCATCTGTCTGCCCTCAGAAGGATGGGACCTCTACCATCTCGCCTTCCGTCGCTGCTCAATTCATGATCGATTCTGTCATGACAGAGTGCATTTCCAACGGCCTCCGAGGATGGTACCTTGACCGCAACTATGGAATTGGTGTCTATCTGACTTAAGCATCATCAAAGTACACAGGTCTAGTTGATGGATGATATGGGAGATAGATTGAAACTGGGTCGTTGAATGGACTCTTACGGCTTTTAGGTTGAGCCTTTGCTACGAAAGGGTCCCCTAACTCCACCAAGGCAACAATACACGGTGAACTTTTTTATGTGCTTCTTTTCAATCTGTGATATTTAATTGTGCAAACTTGGCCTAAAGAATAATTCCATGATAATTTCCCTAATAGGGTTACCTAGGTAGATATAGTATAGGAAGGGCGGAAATTTCAACGGACCGCGTTCCCATGAAACTTATCGTAATTGTCTTGGTGCTAATTGATGGTGCTCCCTAATTTCCGAATAGTATGATTTAGGAATACGTTTGCCTCCGAACTTCGCTAAGGGAGTGCCACAAGGAGCTGTGTGATCGGATGGTGCGGTTTATAGATAATCGATCTACTAGGTTGCAGCGGTAGCAGAATCAGGCATTCGATGAGCAACATCGACCAGCTTGTAAGCCTGGGCTGGAAGGGGGCAAAGACCTGCCTTGAATGTATTATCTGATAGTCTACCAGGTACTCATAGGGAAAGTAGAGGACTTTCAAGATACATATATCTATAGGAATATCAATGTAGCATGCGATGAGTACCTATTAATTTTTGTTGTGTACTCTTCGGAGGTATGTATTACGTATGAAGACGTACATAGATTAGGTATATTGTAACGTATCGCAAACATCGTTTAGTTTTTGAGTAATCATTTGTCTATTATAGATAAGCCGTGATCTTCGACGTGTAGGATATTCTTTGGACTTCCTGCTAAAGAGGATGATCGAATGTGGAAGGAGACATATTGATTATATGAACTTTAAGAAGACGATGAAGGAATGAGTTGAGGTTCAAGATTACCCCTACCCACCCCATCTTTCCCCTGCCGGAGGAAGTAGTACCGGTACCCGCCCGCGCTCGCGCTCCATATATTAGTTTGGCAGAACCCCACCTACTCTGCCACATGCACCAGACTGCTCTAGATTGATCGCCTAAGTTCCTACCTTCATCGATATTTGTACCTATGTATTTTATAGAAAGCTTCCCTTCCTTTCAATGTTATTAGCACCAGCCTTATGATTTATTGCTTTCCGCCTCCCAAGTAAACTAGCTTCGAAGGATACCAGGCTGCTACTAAGGCCTACTGCCACAATGGTATTTCCTCCTACTTAATTGACATACATAAGCATTCTGGCTTGCTTAATTAACCGCCTTCTAGAACAAGGACGGCTGCTACACGTACGTGCACATGCAAAGTCCCCGCGACGCCGACATGTTCGAGGACTTTTGCAAGGACAAGCTGCCCGACGACGAGATATACGTGCCGCCGCACCACCAGCCCATCAACCCCGAGGACGAGGACGATGTAGTGCCCGACCAACACGCCGCCTTTGGCATACAGAAGGCTACCCAGCGTAGCAAAGAGCCTGCCTGGAAAGACCTGGGCCTGGCTGAGCTTATGGGGAAAGGTCCCGTGTCGGGAAAGGCTGGAGGGGCCAATAGAGGCGGCAGTGGAGTCTTTAAGATGTATAAAGGACTTCCACGATGAAGCGATGGGCACATTTGCGGGAAGATATTTATAACTTTGCATTCAGTGGATGGGCGGAATGAATGATAGGCGCATGGAAATATCTATGGGCGGAATAGGAGTTAACACGGCGAATGGGTGTAGTGTCACTCTTTCTGGGTCACATACTGCGAAAGAACCTGGTATTTGCTTGGCAATGCCCATTCTCCTCGTCTCTATCTCGTGATATCGCGCCTCTGTGTGAAATATGAATCTGCCCAAACATCTCCCGTCATCCGTTCCGAACGCCATGCAATGCTATAAAGACTATGCTTCAATGTTTTATCCTCCGTGTCAGATTTAATGATTTAACCCTTTCCTAGGAACCCTTCCCTCTCCATAACCTCTGGCGCGAATTTAACTAAGAAGACCGTCCGACCGGGCCACATCTCGCCCTCCTCCTGCTTACCAACACTATGCGCTGTGACTCTGGCGGGGAAAGCGGAGCCGTCGCACACGCCCTCGATAATACCCGCGACGTAGGCGGCGCAGTTGAGTTGGCTCATGTCTTTCGGCACGCTGATGTAGCGGTTGACGAGCGGCTCGTTGTCGATGATCATGTACTCGTCCGGCTTGGTGGGGTCGGACGACTTCTCGAGGCCGTCAGCCGCCCGCCCGAACAGGTGTTGCCACACGTTGATCTTGATGAAATGTAGTAGCGTGATGATGTTCAAGGGCCGTGTCTGCGACCGCGGCGGCTCGCGGTATAGAAGTAGGTCGAGGAGCTTGAGGCCGATCGGGTGGCCTTGCGCGTTGAGCCTAGATCGAGAGGGTGATCGCGTTAGTGGCCCCGCGCTACCTAGGCAGAGAAGAGATTCTAGAAAACCCGCGCTATAATTACCGCTTTTCTAAGTCCTGGATGCTTTCTATCTTCTTGGATGCGTAGCCTACCATCTCTGAGAAGAGGTAGGCGAAGCTAGAGCCGCTAAGTTCGGAGGTTTTGGTGCGGTTGAGCGGTCGGTGGTAGATTGTCTTGCCGTTCGTCGGGTACCGTAGCCCTGGCTGATCTTTTCCATTGCCCTTTGCGGGCTGGAGATTCGACATGGTTTCGCTGAGGATTGTTTGCACTCTGATATATGGTGAGGTATGAAAAATGTTCTAAGTTAGGTACCTAACCTTGAACGTTTTATTAAAGATTTCCAGGTGCAGCTGGTGGTGGAAGGTTGACGTTTTGAGGTGGGCTCCTTCTGTAGGTGGATTAGGTTAAGTGTGGAGCACACCTAATTCGGGGTACCGATAATACTAGGTATTAATTAATAGGTAGGTACCTTTGGGGTTAAATTTACTTTATAAAAATAATTTTTGGTAAGATTTATTACCAAGTTATTAAACGTATATAGTCAACTATCGGACTAGTATGTACTGCGTATATGGACCCTCCTATAACTTGATTTAAGTATAGGTAAAAGTACTATCTGCATGCATACCTAGGTACCTATAGTATCATTGGCATGACTGGCTATGTATGTACATTATAGCTATGTATTCGGTCTTAAGACCATCTCTTGTTCCTCAGTTTACAACTTGCATCCTTTCCATTATATGCTTATCCTTGAACACTTATCGTATTCATATTTTTCGAATTCTGTCTTCATTTATAAGACATCCGACTTGCCTATATCGTAGCGCCATCCTAATTGTTCGCTTCACTAGAGTAACCGGGTGGTGGTGATACTCCTTGAGCATCGTAGCCCTTGAGGTAGTCCTCCTTCTCACCGATCTGCTTGCCCCCGGCTTCCCATCTCCTCACCTTCTCCGCTTGTTTCTCGGCACATAGCTTCTGTAACGCAGGCCAATACACATCGTGGTTGTACTCAAACTGCAGCTCGCCTCCTGGGAATTCTGACCAAAGTTGTTCTTTTGGTACAAATTGCGTCATGTCCTCGTTGAACTTCAACTTTTCCCTCGTCAACGGGTCGATAAAAGGTGTTATAAGTTTGAAGAAACCCCAAACAACCCATGGAACTGTCATTTCAGATTAGCAAATTCCATATCACACACAGCTCCGATAAAACTGTACCGTTGATAATCATCGCTCTTCCGAGCCTCTCGGGGTAATGGGTCTGAAGAATATGTAGTACCTCGCGACCCTGGCCTATACCCGGAGCGGTATTTGTGCGATTTTTGCCCGACTTGAAATTAATGAGCAGACTGAGTGTTTCTTGTTGCGCTGGCATGAGTTGAATGACGCGCTCAAGCATAAAGACAAGATGCTGAACTTGTCGAGGAGAGACATCCGTGTTTTGGCGGCCTGGATTCAAGTAATGGCAAGGACGGCATTGCTTATCATAACCCAACAGGACTTGTTTCCCAGTCGCATTCTCCGGTCCAATTTGATCTGCATCCAACTCTTCGACTCCGTATTCCCTTCGCCAGGCTAGGGTCTCTTGCAGACGTTTCTCCGATTCCTTCTCATGCCACTTCGTGGCCCTGAGGTATCTCAAAAGACATTCTCTCGTAAGCCACATCTTCTCGCTATCAGCCAAAGCACCGGGCTTTTCCTTAGAGTGAACCTCAGTCCAACCCTGTGCTTGTTTCAAAAGCCAGTCATATTTAGTTTGTTGACTGGCAGTAAGAGCCGGCTTCTCCGGTGCATTGCTGGCTGAAGAAGGGGTTGAAAGCGGTGTCTGCAGTGTGCCAGACTCGGTTTTCTCTTCAAGAATTGAGGGCTCTGCGCTTTTAGACGCTACTGCCATCTTTGAAGTAGACATCCTGATACGTAATGAGCAACCAAAATAAACGGGCTATGATAATGAATAAAATTTCTAAGAAAAGCAGAAGGAAAGCGTATTAGGTATTGTAGGTAGAGAATCTGCGGTGTACCTGAATATTGAGAAGGCGGTGCTGGCTGGTTGTTGGCTTGGCCTTGGCCTATCTAAGTAAGTACTAGGTACATAATCTTAGGAACACGGCAGGTGGGGCCCGGGCTGCCGGGTCATGTAAAGTGTAGATCTTTTGGCAAGTGCTGCTGCAAGTAACATGTATCTATGTATCTAGGTACATATGAGCACATTCACCTTCTAGTGGTCAATTAGAACCTCTAGGTCGGGACCGGGGTACGTTTCCTCATTTAGAAAATAAACCACTTAACACGAGCAATCCTTAGACGCGTCTGGGCGCGTCTAACTTGTCTAATATTGAAAAAGCGCGCCCTCGGACCTTCAAATTATCCACTTAGGTCATGTGCGAAGACCAAGAAGAAGAGAGTTCAACATTCATCATTGTTTGACTGAGATTCTGATTTAATTGCTTACCTAAAGCTTAAGCCGTTGGTTTTAGCAGCATGGCAGAAGTAGACTTACAAGAATTGAACGAACAGTTCGGCGTGCCGAACAAGGATCTCGAGCCTGATGTCGTCTCTGAGTTGCGATCTATTATGCGGATGCATTCACTGTCCGCTCAGGACTTATACTTCAAATGGGAGTCCTACTGTATCAAAATGGATATGGATGGAAACAGCCTGTCAGTGGAAAGCTTACGAGCCCTCAAACAAGATATCCAAGATGCCTTAGAACGAAGCAATCGGGCGCACCAAGTTCATATCAAGACAGAGAAGCGCTCAAGCGGGACACCACGTAATGCTGTCAAGAGTACCGGTGATGTCTATGGCATGTAAGTATTCATGTTTATTATATCGGTAACGCAATAAAGTTGAGACTGACATTGTGTAGGTTGGAAGGGATGGTTCCAAATACCCCAGCTGCGGGAAAGCTCAACAAAAGTGCTTCCAAGAGGCGGATTCCGCACGACACCCCCTCTATAACAAGGGTGAAGGGTGATATTCTTAGCAGCTCACCTGATTACAAAAATCAAAGCCCATTAAAAATAGAGAGCCAACTAGACTCTATGAATATTGTCTCGTAGGTTTCGTTTAACCGAATTTCTGGCACGCTCAAACATACTAAGAAGTTATAGTGCGGCTTCCTTTAACGATCGCCCCAATCCTGGAGAGGTAATAGAAATTCTGAACGAGCACCTCAAACCACCAGAGCCCGTAATAGTACCCTATGCAGAGTCTCGAGTCAAATTGAATGCAGCATCGGATCTCAAGAAACTGGGCTATAAAACTCTTGCTATGAAATCCTCAGAAGCCTCCGAGATTTTGGATGATCGGATAGATGAATTTTCAGGTCTCGTGAGGGATCAATACAATATAGATGAGGCTGAATTCGGTAGTGCAGCTAGCCAAAGCACCACGGAAATCGTTGCCGTTGGCCGAATTGCGTCGGATTCCTCGGAAGGTAAACTCAATGCGGCATCTCTCGTCTTGGAGACTTCGAGGCGGACTGGGGGAGGCCTAAGAATTCCCCTGAACTTACAAAAACTTAGTGGCCGTTACCAATTTTTCCCGGGACAAATCACTGCGTTTAGGGGTATTAACTCGTCTGGCAAAGAATTTGCCGTCCGGGAGGTGCTTGAAATGCCTTTGCTTCCTAACGCTGCATCCTCCCCAATGGCTATCGAAGCTCATCGGGAGAGACTTCGGGGTGGACCAGATGCGATGGAGTCGGACGACGAACCGGCGCCATTGAACGTGATTATTGGCTCGGGTCCTTATTCGGCTGATGATAACCTCGACTTCGAGCCCCTTCATACTCTCTGCAGCCAAGCAGCAGATACATGCGCTGACGCTTTAATTTTGACGGGGCCATTCATCGATGTCGACCATCCCTTAATTGCCACAGGCGACTTTGATCTCCCAGAGGAAGCGGGAGACCTTGACTCTGCGACGATGTCTACTGTTTTCAAGTACATGATTTCCCCGGCCTTGAACCGACTCGTTGCATCTAACCCCACTATTACCATCCTCTTGATACCATCTGTACGCGACGTGGTCGATAGACATGTTTCTTGGCCGCAAGATCTTATCCTCAGGAAAGACCTGGGATTGGCTAAGGCGGCACGTATAGTAGGTAACCCGATGACCCTATTTATTAACGAGATGCTTCTTGGGATCTCGTCCCAAGATGTTCTCTGGGATTTACGTCACGAAGAACTTGTTGGTGGCCGAGCCGAAGAATCCAACTTTTCTTCGAGGGCCCCACGATACCTAATCGAGCAACGGCATTACTTCCCAATATTCCCCCCGGTAGACCGGCAGAAGCTACCTAAGGCAGGCACCGAAGATGGACTACCCACCGGTGCTATGCTTGATTTGAGTTACCTAAAACTCGGCGAGATGATGGATGTCAGACCAGACGTCATGATTGTGCCGAGCGCTCTGCCTCCCTTTGCAAAGGTAAGAAACCTAGAGCGTTTCCTACAAATATCAGACTTGGCAGCTAACAAAAAAAAAACACAGGTTGTGGAGAGCGTTCTAGTGATCAACCCAGGATATTTGTCGAAAAGGAGAGGTGCAGGCACGTATGCTCGGATGACATTATTTCCGCCGAAGTTAACAGATGAAGAATTGGATAAGGGAGGCATGGTACATCACAAGGTCTTTGAAAGGGCTAGGGTTGAGATCACGAGGATATGAGTATCCCTATAGAATTCACTGCATTATACCGAATCCCAAGTAATAAGAGAGAGTGAGAGTAGCGAGATACCACTAGGCATTAGTCTGTTCTGCATGTATGCGTTTCCAACAAAGTACCTAGTCTCCTCGGGAGGATAGAAGTGTGACAAATAGACGAAACTGTCTATCTGGTATCCGTCTTTCGCCTCTTGTCACTTTCGTAGCGATCCGCATCCCGTGATGAATCCCTCTTTCTCCGGCTACCGTAACCGTCCCGATCAGGCCCGTCTCTATCTCTACGGTCATCCCTTGGTCGGTAGCTATTCCGATCTTGATTTTGTCGTCGCTCGAAATTGCGAGGCCCTTGCGGCGCACCCGGAATAGGCTTTTTCCTCTCGCCGAGGGGAATCGCGTTGGCTCCTCCTGGCCCAGACTTATCTCTACCGTAATCAGATTTAAACCTGTCGTCGACGTTATACTGGTCAAAATCCTTGCCTGGTCTTGTGTCGCGGAAGTTCCCCCATTGGCCAGTGTCTTCGGACCTGAGGTCCTTGTACTTGGACGCCCCTTTCTTGCCTAATTTTGTCATGTCGCGCATTTGGAGCGCCTTTGGAAGCAAATCGCGGTTCTTAACGTCGTCCATGATCCGCGTGCCCATGATGTCCCGGTTGGCTAAGCCCTCGGTTTCGGCCTCGTCCCGGTAGAATGCACCCTTGTGAAAGTACTTTTGCATATACGACATCTTTCCCTTCGAATCTTTTTCGTCTTTCTGCTTAGCTAGGAAGTCATCATCCTCAGCTTTGCGTTCCTCTTCTGTCAAGTTTCGTCTGCGTTCAACTTCTTCTCTTTCTTTCTCGCGCTTTTCGATAGTCTCGCGTTCCCGTTTGATGCGCTTTAGCTCCCGCACTTTCCATGCTGCATATTCAGCCTCAGGTTCTACGTCATCTTCGGTGTCAACGTCCTCTTCCTCGTCCACGTTATCGTTCCAGTGCCCTTTCCTAGTCGCGCGGGCGGCAGCGTCTTTACGCATTTGCTCTTCAACCATATCATCCATGGCCTTCTTTCTCTTTGCTTCTTCCTCGGCTCGACTAGACGCTTCATCTTGCTCCTGGGTGGATATCTTGTTCCGTTGATTTTTGGGTACGAACTTCGGCTTCAACATCAACCGTCGAGGTGCCTCTTCTTCGCTACTCTCTTCATCTTCACTATTATCTTCCCCACTTTGATCTTCACTCTCTTCCTCGTCCTCGCTTTCCTCCGTAACGAACCCTTCCTCGGCTGCCAGGCGAGCGGCTTTTACAGCCTCCACGCGTCTGATCTCAGTCTCTTGATCTTGTTTTTTGCGCTCATCTAGATTGACTCTACTGAGGTTGCTAATGATTTTGCCTGCACTTGGGGCTTTTGGTGGTGGCGGAATTTTGCGCTTCGCCCGCTGTTTCTGCTCGGCTTCGGCTTCACTGGTGTCTGATTCTGATTCGGATGATGATACACCTGTTGCTTTTCCTGCGCGATATCGTGTGGGTCGCGCGGGATTCGCTGTCATGCGTTTTGACTTCGTTGCGGGTGGCATTATGAAAGAATCATTAAGAAAGACTATTGTAGAACTTGAAGGCGTAAATGGTAGTTTTCGACTCTGGATTTTCCAATGCGAGGAAATTCTACTGTCCTAGGAAGATGAATCAACTAGGTATTAGGTAGGTATTAAACAAATCGTTCTGCGTACCTAGTACCTAAGAGGATACGCTGTAAACGCGAAGGTATGCACATACCTGGGTGGAGTCGATTTTTTAATCGATAACGATAAATCTTTTTAGTGGGGTCCTCAAGCCTTGGAACTCAATTTCAATGGGCACAACATTGAATACTAGTGCTGGCTACACTAAAGTTCGCCTGGCACCCCTTCGGGGTGCTGCGCTTTAATTAGCAAAAATACCAGTAATTAGCAAAGTACCCTTATAGAAAACTTTCTATACGATTTACATATAAGAATACTTGCCAAGACTCCCATGTTAATAAAGTACTCATAATTAAGAGAGAATCTCTCGTAATGGAAAGTATTTTGCTAATACCTGGTCTTTTTGCTAATTAAAGCGCAGCACCCCGAAGGGGTGCCAGGCGAACTTTAGTGTAGCCAGCACTAGTACAGGAGGTATTGAAATAGGAAAATATTTAGGTACAATACCTAGGTACCTACCTAGGTATGCATCAAACTTCAAATTATTCAAAGTTGATAAAGTATTGGTTTAAAGTGTGAAATCAATCTTGCTGAAGAACATCCCGAGGCGGAGAAAACGATTAAAATTATTGGGTTGTATCTCCATACACCGAGAATGCCCAAATATTTATTAAGAGGTAACCCTAAAAATCATAGGATCTCATCGTCTTGTTCTTCTTCCATAGCCTCCCGATTCTCTTGTATGGGATTCGTGTCTATGGCTGATGTATTTTGGGGGGTTTCCTCGATTTGTGCGTCGTCCATTCCATCGTCCAACTCAGAAGCTCCCTGGTCATCTTCCTCCTCTACCTCTGCTTGAGATTTCTTCATCGTAGGTATTTGGTTGTTGACTTCGTCCCATGTCTTTCGTCTTGTCTGTATTGTCCGAGCTTGTCCTTTACTCTTAGTAATTTTCTGTTCTGTCCTATCCATGACTGCGGCCGCTCGATCCTGTCCTTTCTCGTATCTTCTTCGCGCTTTGAAGCTTATGTTCCTACTCTTCTTTGTCTTTTTTGTGACGCCAGCTCCTTGGTGTATGGAGAGAATCGAAGGGCGATGATCGACTGATTCAGCAGGTGGTTGGACATTCTTCAGCGATTTGTCAGTGTCGATGCCTGGAGAGGTAGCGCGCCTTGCGGCTCGGGAATGAATCGAAGGACCTATTTATAAAGAATCGTTAATTATTTTAAAAATCGCATTGCTAAGGAATCATGGGATTATAATTGCGTACCCTTCTTCTTCTTTGTGATTGCGCCTTTACCCATGACTGTCGTTATTCTGATTTTGACGAAAACTAATCTAAACTTTTGAGGTTTCGATAATGATGCGCATGTCGCAGTTTTAGGACTATTTTCTAAAAATCTGCCCCGCAAAATTACCCGATAACGATTTCTTTTTCTTTGTTATAGGGAAGGACCTGCGTAGCAACTGTAAATACCTAATAAATCAGCCAATGATAGATCACACTAACAATTTAGGATCGGCATTCATTCTTCTATATGAGGCTAGAGCTGTTATATAATTCGCAAGATTCATCTGACCAGACATCTCATGATCCACTAAAAATAAACTGTCGCATCAGCCCTGTCAACCTATTTCTTACGCTGTACTTCCTTCAATTGACAGAAACCCATCTTTCATATCGCAATACGTACACGTACATACAGAAAAGGCAGAAAGAGAACGCGCGACGTGACAACACCTTCTCTTTGCCATGGCGACTTTAGTCTTGATTAATTTCGCAAAAATTACTCTGCCTTAATACTGGATATTTGATAATTCGACGGCTTGACACCGATTTCACATCATCACATGCTTAACTAGGCCAGCGCGCGATAACTTTTTTTTTTCGCAAACACCAGGATGCACTCCCATCACCTAGAGACACATCTCGACCCTCCTGGTAATTTCTATTCTCAGTATCTCAAAGGAGCTTTATTCGATCGATTACAACAACCTAGTGTTATTGTTCCTTTGCTACTTCTTCTCTTTTCTATCATCTATCAGTCTCTACATTCTTCTCCCTTTTCCAGACCTCGACATCCTGGAGAACTTCTTAGGCACTTTTTTATAGTCATCATTCCCTCGAACATACTCTATGCTCTCGATAACTGGCTCCATCCGCCCTCCTTCCCGATCCCGGAATCTTTGCGACCGGCCCGATCTCGATCATACACTGCTAAGAGCGAACTGCTTAGAAGAATACTGGGGATGGATGGGACGGGCGGCATCATCACATCTGTTGCCGATGCTGGTAGAAGAAGTCTTTCTAGTTTATCCAACAGCACCCTCATCAAGCACAAAACCGATCAACCTCCCGGCTTAGGAAATTACGACAACTCCTGCTTTCAGAACAGCATCCTCCAGGGACTATCGTCGCTGAAGCCATTTCCGTCTTACCTTGCCAGGGGCTTAGAGCAGGACAATTCCGAGAGCGGGGAAGAATCAGGCTCAGCAACTTCCTTGCGGGACCTCATATCAAAGTTGACGGATGCCAGTTATAATGGAAAGACCTTGTGGACACCGAAGAAGCTAAAATCTTTAGATACTTGGCAGCAGCAAGATGCGCAAGAATACTTCTCCAAAATACTAGACGAGGTCGAAAAAGAAATGTCGAAGGCGACAAAACCTAAACGCCGTTCATCCGGGTTTGAATTGGTAAGCATAAGAGACGATACCGAAGACAGTCAACATAGTGACGATAGCGGTTACCAGTCACTACCGGTACTCTCTAAAGCGGTGTCGGATGCGAGAATTTTGAGGAATCCCCTTGAAGGTTTAGTAGCGCAAAGAGTCGCATGCGTTCTATGCGGTCATTCAGATGGGCTTTCTATGATCCCATTCAACTGTCTAACTCTTAGTCTTGGGCGCGAGCAAACAGAGCACGATCTTTTCGAACGATTAGATTCATACACGGATCTCGAAACCATCGAGGGGGTTGAGTGCGCCAAGTGTACGCTGCTGAAGCTTCAAAGGCTTCTGAAACTGCTCATATCTCGCGGAAAAGAAAACAACAAAGCCGAAGATGAACTACGGGGGCCTATTTCACGACTAGAGGCCGTAGAGCTTGCTCTTGAAGAAGACGACTTCGGAGAGACAGCCGTAAGAGATAAGTGCCAGGTACAGAAGCGAGTCAGCTCTGCCAAAACCAAACAAGTCGCCATAGCACGACCACCTCAAAGCCTTGCAATCCATATGAATCGGTCAGTATTTGACGAGAGCACGGGACGTATGTTCAAGAACCTCGCTGCGGTACGCTTTCCGAAGACCCTCGACCTCGGTCCGTGGTGCATAGGAAGCGCCGATGATGTTGTTAGCTCCGTTGACAGCGACAAGGCCGCTTCTATCAACACACTAGGCGACGAAGAGCATTGGGTTACGGATCCAATGTCTTCTATGGTTTCAGGCGATCTAAAGCCGTCCAAGATTAGTGGGCCTATCTATGAACTACGCGCAGTTATTACTCATCAGGGACGGCACGAAAATGGCCATTATATCTGTTATCGAAAACATCCTTGCGAACCGTCGAAGTTTAATGATAATGTCAACCAAGAGACCGAGTCGCTTAATGATGCAGATGATATCGACGGAAATGATAGTAATGACGATCAAGACCCGGACGCGAAATGGTGGCGATTGAGTGACGAAAGCGTGTGGGAGGTGGCCGAAGAGACTGTGCTAGCACAGGGTGGAGTTTTCATGCTTTTCTACGATTGCGTCGACCCACACCCGGTTCTTGTTCCTACAATTCGACACGAAACGAAGTTAAACAACGATACCACAAGCTTTCTTAACGAAGGGAACAAGGTCGATAATTTAAAAACGACTAGTACGGAAGGAGGGCTGATAAATATTTCATCTGAGAACAATGAACAATTTGGTAATACGACAACCCTCGAACAGCTTCAGAGGCAGGTTCAGGCAGCGGCCGTACCAGACGACAACGCTAGCCAGATGAGCGATGTTGCCGGTGAAATAGAGGCTGCTAATACCCAATTACAGAAGAGGGAGATTATATGGTCAAGCCTTACACCTCCCCTTGCGGATGGGGAGATGGTGGATTCTATTATTCCACTTCATCGTCCTAATCGTTGATTACAAGTAGAAATGATGAAAGGGGCTCCTTACCTAGGCGTCCAGGTTATCTTCTTGCAACGGTTGAATTGCAATTGGGACAGTTGGATGTATTATAAGGGTTTGCTTCTTTGCATGGCCACGGCGTACGGAGGGATTGATGGGGTTCAGTTTTATCTAGGTATGTAGATATGTACATCTACAACCTATCCCATGAATGGACATATTTAAATATACGTGCACTCCTAGTAGCATCTATTCAGAGTGACATATGCCAGCTTCTAGAACTGGTTATTAGTAATATAGATGATTACCTAAGAAAATTAAGGATTAAAGGCGGTGGTCCGTGCATGAACTATGACCTGTAAGGGTTTAGCCGAACTATATCCGATTGGCTCAAATAATCATTATTCTTTGATCAAAGTGAGAACGTACATGTAACATTTAGGCGGCTGGCATTCATTTATTTGTTCATGTTCTTGATCTTGTAAACATCCATTTAGAACATCGCAAATTCGATTTCCACACAGAGACCCCAACTTCTACTTTGGATTTGATTTGAACTTGATTTGGACTTGAATAGATAATTATTATCTTGATTGTCTCCCGATCAGACTCACGATGAACGCTCCCGACCGGTCAGTAATATTCGTAAACTTTATTGTTCGATTTCACATTCCCCTTTCCCTTTCTGGTTTACCACGGCAGGATGGAGGAGGTACGATGAGAGAGCATGTCATGTATTTTCTGGAGAGAAGGTGCATGTTTCTCTATCCCGTCTAAGGCAAATGGATAGTCTCCCAAAGCTGGGCTTAACTTCTTTCAATTCCCACGTCTTGTCCTCTCTACATACCCTGAAAACTCGTTGTCGTCATCGCCATCAACATGCCTCACTCAAACATAAACGGAGATCTGCTTTGCTTGGGCAACAATACCTCGGAATTTCATAGGTGACTCAATCTGCCTCCTCCCCATCATCATCATCGTTGTCCTTTTTGCCCTTCTCCCAAATCCCAACGTCTACGTTACATATTACTTTGCTATTTAGTATAAATCAACATGGGCTCTAAAGAGAGTGGTGGACCAAACCCCAACTCCAACTCCATCAAAACGGCATATTTTTGATATAATTATGAGCTAACAGTTTCTTAGTTTCGAGCTTTTCATCCTTAACGATGGAGAGAAGAAAATCACTGAGAAGCCGTTCGCAGGTAAGTATATGCATTTGGCAAGTGGAAGTTGTCGCTTGATACTGACGGGCCTAGGCATGTCTAATACTTCGGACTTCATCATCCTGAAGGAAGACCATACCATTGGCAACCTACTTGCCGAGCACTTCAAGCAGCATCCCCACGCGATGATGGCTGGCTACAAAGGTAGGGATCAAGTTCACGTCTGCATCGAGAGCGAATATTCTAATCTTTGCATAGTTGCCCATCCGAATGTACCCGAGGTCCTGATTCGCCTTCAGACCGACGGTACTATCACTCCCCGTGAGTTGTTCATCGAGGTATGCAAGCAGCTTGTCGCCTCTCTTGGACAGCTAGCGCAGAATTTCACCCGAGAGTACGAGCTTCGCCGTATGGCCGGTGCTGGAGATGACCACACCTCTGGCGGTGGTGCCAACAGCAAATAAGTTCCTTGTTATTATGGCATGGCATTCTCAGGCGTGGCGTTCTCACGATGAATAATGGACAAGGGCATGGGCAGATACCTGGCGTTATGGTTGAGAGTTGCTTCTATTGCACTGCATTTCACTTTATTTCGGATACTTTTGGTTCGTCTAGTGGCAAATTTTGCCTATAAAATGGTGTTGGCCTCTTATCAGGTCGTCTTTATCATGATAACCTCATGTCTCTAGTTCCATGGTCAACGTAGTTCATGACATATTTGCCTCCTCATAACTGATAAGATGCAATGTTGACATTTAGTTATGCGTCGTCGTCGATAGTATCTCCTAGTTGGCCGTGGAATTGCTGAATTGGTTTCGGGCGCAATCATGTATCTACAGGACCCTCTCCTCCCGGTATTAACTATAATAGATGGTGAGTTTATTACCGCTAGATATGCCGAATTCTAGAACGTACCATGCAGATGTTATTGCCGTTCAGTAGTATCTTGGAGAGCTTCGTGTGATTTCCAGAGTAGTCGCTGCATGCTGTTAGAAATTGTGTAGACGTCCTATAGGTAGTAAATAACCACACAATTCGGTGACATCTTCTAGAACCATGTCTGGCAATTGTTAGCTTGCGGCATGTGACCAGAGAGGCCTTATAATTCTACTTACTGACGTAGTCGTCAAAACCAAGGAGTGTTCCGCTGAATTCTGGCAAAATATTGTTAGTTACTAGACTATAATGTTTCTTTTGGAGAACCTAGGTAGGCAGATATTTTATACCCTTGTCACCCTTCATAATGACCCATATCCTTGAGCCGACACACTTGTCGATGAGTTCTGTTGCCGCATATAAGTTACACTGTGTTATTTTTACGTTCATGATAGAAATTCAACTACCTAAAGGTAAAAGTTGGGATGCCATCTCGGAAGACGGGACTGTCTTTGTGGATATTTTGGTTGGAGACTCAGAGTAATCGGGCAAGTATTATATCGTCTTGAGCATACCAGCTTTGAGAAATGTTCGTAAGTGTAAGTACCTTTGATTAGGTCCGCTCAGACCCCGAACAAAATTTGGTCACCTGATAGCGAGTGGTGGACGCGTTAGGTACATATGTAGGCACTGTACATACATGTAGGTATGTATGTACTCATGTACTTCAATGGTACTTGAAGTTACCTAGTACTTAATGTGTACCTACTAGGTAGTACTAGGTACATGATTAGATGACTAAGCTAGACTTGGCAAATAAAGTACCTAGTACTACTTCATACTAGTAATGAGTTCCCCCCACTGTGGACTGGTCACTAATTTACTTCGGATTCTCGAAATTTAATATAACCCGCTTCCACAAGTCCACGACGCGTCTGCCTAAGAAGAAGCAGTGCGACTTGTACTATTATATACATACCTTGTAGTATTAGTAGTAGTAGTCATTATGGATCAGTGCTCTGATTCAAAACTCGTTTATCACCAATGACGTCCCTTGCAGGTTCAGAGATCGTCAGCAATGCTCTGAGATCTCGTAACGTTTTGCGCGCGTCTCTCACACTGCGGTTCGTCTGCCATCTAGGAACACTTATAAGAGGCGAAGGCATGGAATTTATTAACAGTTAACTATTCATTACAGTAATTGGGTTATACGGAATACTAAAATGGCTATAACGCCACCCAAGTATCAGTTATGGCATCCTACACGGGGTATCTCGTTCTCGCCTATTACGCGGTCTCCGGTCTTGACCCCTGAAGACGCGCAAACTTCGAATGAGGCAGCAGCAGCAGCGGACAGAACCCGCTCTGCCGCGTCTCATCCAGGTGATTTGGATGATTCCTTTTTATATCCAAAGTTGGAAGGGCTATCATTGTCGACGCCAAAGCGTAATACGCAAGAGATAACCAAGACCGTTGGTGAAGGTGCATATATCATTTCTTTAGACAAGCAGGCGAACTTATCAGAGACAACGATCCCAGATGGACCTCCTATATCTGAATTGCCGTTCAAGATGATGGATGACTTGTTCTATGCCGCTAAGAAGGCACCTGCTGGATCTACCGGTTCGTTTTGGTCTTACAATCAATATCGAGCGATCTCGGATGATGGCACAAAACAGAAGGTGAAAGTGCATTACTGTCGAAGCACCCATACAATGGAGAAAGTTTGCCAGGAATTTTTCAAAGACGAGAAAGTACTTGGCTTCGATTTAGAATGGGCCGCGGACTCGACGAAGGCATCAGGCTTTAGAAGGAATGTTTCATTAATCCAACTGGCAAGCCCAAGTCGTATTGGACTTTTCCATGTCGCTCTTTTCGCTAACAAAGACGACATACTGGGACCTACGTTCAAGGCTATTATGGAAGACTCGAACATCACTAAAGTCGGCGTTGCTATAAAAGGCGACGCAACTCGGCTCCGTAATTTCTTCAGTGTCGATTCGAAGGGGTTACTAGAGCTCAGCCATCTGTATAAGCTCGTTACCCATTCGGCCACGGGTCGATACAGCGAAATCAACAAGAGACTCGTGACGTTAGCATCTCAGGTAGAGCAATATTTGCATCTACCCCTATACAAGGGCCAGGACGTCCGATCAAGTGACTGGACTAAGCCTCTACGTATGGACCAGGTCATATGTGAGTCTTTTCCTCCCTTAAACTTGCCATGCTTGATCTCATGCCGGTATAGATTCGTCGTCGGATGCATATGCTGGATTACAACTTTATGCTACTCTTGAATATCATAGGAAGCAACTCGATCCCTGCCCGCCCACCCCATACCATGCGGAGCGCGATCTCCCCATTCGCCTGGCTTATGGTGCGTTGCTGGCCATCAACGATGATCCGGTGGTAGACGCGACCGAGGAAATGGAATTAGAGGCTACAGCTCCCACCAAGCCGAAAAGGACATCATCCAAATTACCACCAGGTACGAAAGACTCCCGCGTCGAGATCGCCGAAGACCGTGTGGCCCGTTATAAGAGCTCTCATCTTAATACGCGGGCGACTTTTGTGCAGCTTCGCGCTTACTACATGTGGCACGAGCAGGGCCTCGATCCTCAAACAATAGCGGCGCTGCTACGGGATCCTCCCCTGAAGTTAGCTACGGTTACCAGCTATATACTCACGGCAATCCAGACCGAGAGATTTCCCGCAGATATGGAGAGGCTGGGCGCGGAGATTTTGAGTACGATGTTAGAAGACACGTTGCAATCCCGATGGCCTTATATCGCTGCTCTTGTCTCGAAACCGAGTCTATAACGCTCCTCTCGAACCCGTTAATGACCTTGCGGTTGTACTCTTCTAGATAGGGGAAAAGAACCCTGTCAGCTCCTAAGGTGGCTATCTTAGGGATGATTATTCGGGAGATCGATTGACTATCTACAATGGGATAAATTAAACGGCTCAATATTACTGATTTAATCGACTGATACCAAGTCGCTGATTCTAGCTTAGTATACAACCCGTTAGAGGGTGTATTCTAAGCTTGTTGTATGTAAGGGTATAACCGTAATTATCATGCCGCGTACGATAACACTAATGCAAGAGGAGAATTCGATGGCCCCTTGACAATTTCCTCCGCTGCATTGGCGCTATTCTCTAATTTTGGTTATGTACCAATCTTCTATTTATATCACGGTTATGGACAAAATATGATTTTGAATGGCCGAGGGATATAGGTATAGACTAGACATTAAATATCTAATTACTTGGGTATATTCACCATGCCTTTGTTTTTCTCTATACAGAAATCACCACACCATAAATAACCTCTATACCACCAAGAGTGCTAATCCACCGCCAACAAACCCCTCCCCGCATTTATCTGCACCATCTTATCCTCACCACCGCTCACGATCCCCCAGCTCTTATCCCATGCCACACCAAACACTTTAGCCCCACGCCCAGGGACGTCGCTCTTACCACTGCCATTCTTCTGCGCCTTCTGGCTCTCTCGTTCGATCACGTACACGGCCTCGCTCACGCTACCACCGCCTTCGACTCTGGTGCCTGCGCGCACACTACGAAGATCCCAGATCCGACAGGTGCCGTCGTGGGATCCCGAAACGAGGCTATACTCGTTGTCGGGCGATGCGGATAGGGTGCTAACCATGTTCCGGTGTCCGCGTAGCGTCATAACGGACGTCGTGGATGCGTCGGCGCGGGGGTCCGCGAGCGTGATGTGGCGCGCCGAAGTACCGGCCGCAAGGAGCCCGCGCTTGAGCCAGATGAGAGAGAGGAGCGGGTGAGAGGTCGTGATCACATTTTCGGTTTTCGAGGTTGTTAAGTCGAGAGTCCGGATCGTGTGGTCTTGCGATGCGGAGTATGCGATCGTGGGGTCGGTTGGGGAGAACAGAACGGCGGAGGCGGAAGAAGTATGCGGTTGTAGGAGAGAGAGAGCACCGCGCTGGGGCGCGGTGGAGGGGGCGAGCTTGCGCTTTTTGGAAGTGGTGGTGGCGCCGGGGAGGAGGGATGCCGGGGCTGCAGGAGCAGATGACTTGGAGGTTGTCCAGAGCCCGATGCTGCCGTCGCTAGACGAGCTGAGGATGCGCCCTGTTGGGCCGTGGACATCGAGGGACTCGACACATGCTTTATGTCCGTATAGCTCGAGTGAAGGTTTCAGGGTGCCGGAGAAGTGGTCGTCTGCTTCGGTGTACTTCCATATTCGGACAGTACGATCAAGTCCTGCCGATGCGACTAGCGACGCAGATAGGAATTTGGCGGATTTGACGGTGGCGTTGTGGCCTCCCAAGCTTCCTGAAAGTGAGGTTGCAATTACATTCCCCGAGCCGTCCCATACTCTTAATAACCCGTCGTAAGACGCAGATAAAATTCTATCTTGGCCTGTAGAAAACTTGTCGCCGCTCCATACACCCGCACGAGAGCTCTCGGATAAGATGTCAATGTCGCTAACCCAATCGTCATGCTCGAAGCCTGCCTGGTACACGGGTGGTATCAAGCTGCGCACGTACTGTAGTGTAACTGTGCTCTCGGAGGATAGACCGTTGGCCTTCAGGTAGTCTTCGAGTGAGGTCCGTAGGAAGGCGCCGTTGATGAGGAAGTCGAAAGGAATGGGCGATGGGGTGTTGAGCATGGACTCGGAGTTGAGGACGCGGGATAGGCCATATCGCTTTATGTCTGAGGGGACGAGTAATTGTGTTCGTCCCTCTGGGAGTTGTAGATCGGGTGATGTCGTCGTGAAGTTGACGCGGATTTGCTGGGGTTCGAGGGACTCGGGTTGAGGTATGGACGGATCCATGACGCTTTTTGATACAGAACACCTCGGAATCCCCGGATAGCGCCAATTCTTCAGCCTGAGGGAATGATTAGTATGATAGATTATACTATCAATTTTCCATGTTGGAGTTTTAATTTTGCTGATTATCGATACCTACCTAGTTATCTAGGTACATAGCAACTTTTTTTTCTCTTATCGATAGTACTAGCCAGTATAAAATCCGCATAATTCCTTATAACATTCACACTGTACTGACTTATTCAAGTACCTATGTACCTAGTAGCCGTACCCCTCCATACAGGGGTTTAAACCAATCATGGTGTTGGTGTTCCAGGATACCACTAAGCAAAAGTACTATGTTAAGCCACAAGATAGACAGCCACGATCAATTAACGCCAAAAACGCGTCGTCAATTTTGTGAGCGCGTCTTTTCGATACACTCTTTCGGAATTGTATACCGCTCTAAATTTCTTGTTCTTACACTCTAACATGTATGCTGGTGACATTACTTCAAAATGACTTCACTAGATGAGATTCCTGGTAATTTGCTCCGGAAGCCTTCGTATGTTCAATTTACTTGGTTCGTTCTACATGACCGTATTAACCATTCACAGGGGCGAACCGGAAAATGAACTTGAAAGAATACCTTCAGACTACAAGCCTCTGCACTCATTTAGGCTCGACAAGGATAAGCCATATAAGCAGCAGTTTGCCGACATGTACTTCCTGAGACTCACCAAGATCAAGCCTGCCGTTGAGCAGCTAGCATTTGATGCATGGGAAGGCAAGGTCATCGGAGATGAGCCTGTCAAGCAAGCTGACCGAGTACTTGATATTCGACAGGGTGAGCTATGTTGGGTTGTCGGCACTGTCTACATGGACATGCCACTAAAGCCTAATATTCTCGATGATGTCTCTAAGGATGTACGTGTTTAAGCGGGTTAAATTATATTTGATTTATCTAATTTTCTCTTCCATTTTATAGCGATGGCTTTCGGCGCCTATCTCGAATAAAAAATACTACTCTGAAGATGGCTCTGATGCTGTCATGCTTGAAGACGAGTCTGGCCGCGTACGCCTTGTGGGGGATGTTCTAAATTCTGTTATTCTGGTTACCGGTTGCATTGTAGCTGCCATGGGCACAGAGAATTCAAACGGCGAACTAGAAGTGATTGACCTAAAATTCCCCGACCTACCGCCACAGCCGGATCGCTGGGCCTTAAACAACCCGCCAGCCACGAAAGGCAGCATAGAAGAGGAGAAAGTCAAGCCAAAGGATGAGGATACCAAGATGACCGACGCCCGATCCAAAGGCAGTGGGAAAAAAATAGCGATTGTTTCTGGCTTGGGGTTTTCTGGAAGTGACGCATCACATGCCATCGAGCTGAATTTACTACTAGAATATCTATTAGGGGAGTCTTTGGACCCGGCAGCACAACAAGAACTATCACAGATAAGCCGATTAATTATCGCCGGGAATTCGATATCTCTCGAAGAAAGAGAAGCAATAGACGAGGATATGAGCGAGAAAAAGGCTCACAAGAAGTACGGATACGATAGCAGCTCATATAACGCCCAGCCATCGCAACTACTAGACGAATTCCTTTCAACATTATTACCTACGATGCCAATTACCTTGCTACCCGGTGCGCAGGATCCTGCAAATGCTAGCTATCCGCAACAATCGATACATCCAGCTATGTTCCCCTATTCAAGGCCTTACACGGCTCAGCCGACGTCCTCGGAAGTAGGTTGGTTTGACACGGTAACAAACCCGTGGGAAGGTGAGATCGAAGGTTGGAGAGTCTTAGGAACTGGTGGCCAAAATGTAGACGATATTTTCAAATATGTTGGCAGCGATGACCGGTTAGGTATGATGGAAGCTATGTGTAGGTGGCGATGCTGTGCCCCAACAGCACCGGACACACTCTGTAAGTCAACAAACCCTTATTCCTACCATGCTCTACTAACAATAGAAACAGGGAGCTATCCATTTCAGGACGATGACCCATTTGTTATGCAGACATGTCCACACCTCTACTTTGTGGGTTGCCAGCCCGAGTTTGGTACTAAGGTTATCCAGGGTCCGGACGGACAAGTCGTAAGGCTTGTTGCCGTACCATCTTTTTCAGCTACACAAGAGGTGGTGCTGATAGATACAGAAACCTTAGATGTTTCGAAAGTCAAGATTGTTGCGGTTTAAAGCTGTGCAATGAGGAAACGGCTGGGTGAGTTAGCATATCATAGGAGTTGAAAAGGCTTACCAGATGAGATAATACTACCAATATATTTGCACGAATAATTGAAGACTGGGGCGGTAATCCTATTCATAAGGTTATCGGAGGTGTGCAATTGTTAACCATATTTTGACAAAATACCTAGGACCCCCTTTAAATGTAATAACCGTGAGAAAATAATAATACTAAAATACTACTGAAATACTCCACTGCCAGTCTGCCAGTGTAGAGTGGGCACTACATTATATAAGAAGGTTCCATTTAACCGATATTTAGCCAAAAATATATTACAACTGGTTGCAGCCGCCGATTTTTTAGGTTTGCCAGCCAGTAATCCTTCAAGGTTTCAAGGTGCTATGTACTATGTACAAATCTACCCCACAAATTTCCCAACTTCCCCATCTCCCCTCACTGAAAAATCAATCTCACTTCCATTCTCAATTTAGAACCAAACATCTTGCGCATTTGCAAGTTAAACCCCTGTAGCACTTCCGTTCGATCCTTTTAGCGCCTAAATTTTTGTCGCCAATTTCAACCCTTTCTTCATTTCCAATTATTCATTCCAACATCCATCTTGAATATCAGTTTCCAGTATGGAACTGGACGTGGATATTGAAGAATTGATCGATGCACTCTTAATTGAAATCGCCTTCTCTGGCGTTCGAGGTAAGTTTAATTCAATTAATTCGATAATCTTCTAGGTACCAATCGATGTGTAATTATATCTTACTTATTCATTCTCTAGGATGTTCCGTCTCTGCCTTGTTAAAAAAGATAGGATCTTTTTACAACGTTGGTCCAAGTAAGACTGGAAATCCTCCTGGAGAGCGCCGTGGTGAGGGCGATGAGTTGAATGGCGTTGACGGGAACACTACCATCTCCAACCACGAATCTCATATTCAACAAAATCCTAGCAACTATGACATTTCTATTGGTTCGGAGGTTTGGGGTTGGTTGGTAGTAAGGTCAGACGTCTCTGTAGGTTCTAACAGGAGATTCAATCATCTATCACTAGATGAGATCCTAGCTCTTCCAGAAGAGCAAGATCCTGAACCTTCTACAGATGATATCAAATCAACCAGTAATCAAACTTCCACTCCCGTCAAGGATAAACGCCGCGCACCAAAGAACTCGCGAGACGTAGAAGAAACTACTGGGAAGTTTAGACCTCGCCTTTATGTTTCAGAGGAGCGTCAATGGAAGACGCTTGCTGGACATGGACCGGATAGCAAGAGAATTCCATTATTTGAATGGAAGGCTCTTGTTGATATCGCATCTACAAGGGAAAATGGTATCCTTCAAGGAGATTTAGTTAGATTATCCGGCCAGGATAAGCGCTCTCTCCCGACTCGAACCGACTCCCTTGCTAAAAAAGGGTATATCATCAAACAACCTATAATTCTTCGAGGATGTCGCTCCAGCAAGTTATGGCTTGCTAAGTTTTCCGAGAGTGCGAAGATGGGTCGTGATGGCCTTAACTTTAACAAGGTCGATCTATCAAAGGAGGCCTTGACTAAAGACCTTGCTCCGGTCCCGTTTAGTGCTTGTTGGAATGGCGAAAGACTTGATTACATAGCCGTCGCTCAAGCTTTCAATGCTGTCCTCAAGGCATGGGAGATTATGCGGTACTGCGACATGCGAACCAAATTAGACACCCGAGGCGTGCCCCAGATGAGAGCATTAGCAAAGACGTCGCGCTGGTTCACGAACATTGGAGCGGCGACGTTTGTGGCCGCACGCTTCGCTAATGGCCAGAGGCTATTCAAAGACTGTATCAAGTTTATAAGGGAGCCGACAGCCGAGGAATGGAGAGTATTTAGGACTACACCAAGTGCTCATATAAAAGTCCCATCGGCGCGCCTTGGGAAGCGAGGCCAGGCATCCCGAGCTAGATACAGCAAAGGCAAAGGGGCCCAGCCCAGCCCTCATTCACAGGCGAAAATGAAGAAGACCCCTAAAACTGAACGACCGGCGGAACTCATGAGCCACGAGGAGCCAATATCATTATTATGGAATCCATATGAGCCGATGGTTAACACAGCATTCAAAATAATCGAGAGGGCTGGTTCGAACGGATCCTCAAATGCCAAGGTCGGTCGTATTACATTAGGACACACTTATCGCAAATATGTCGCTGCACTCACGGCGGTATTGTCACAATCCAATTCACAACCTAGCCATCTACAACATTTAGATGTCATCTCGCAGCTTACTCGTCTGGGGAAGACGATGACCTACCAATTTTTCTCTAGTAATAACCAGATTGGTGGTCCTTCTTCGGGACTTGAAAAAGATGACGAAGCTCAAAATCAGGAAACTGGGGCATCTAAACAAACTGTTGATGGGAATATCTCGCGGCAGGACTTGGTTGTTCCGCTGAATAAATTCGAGTTTTCAAAGCCTCTGTTCTCTAGGATTGCAAAGACACCCAAATCCTCGTTCTACCACATTAATCGTACCATACGAAAATCGACTCCGAAGTGGGGAGGAAAGCGGAAAAGGCTCCTGACTGAAGAACTTGGTAAGGAAACGAGCACGGATAACCAGAAGCCTCCTAGCAAGATGCCGAGGGTAGAAGAATCCCCTTCAATAATTGAGGGAGATGAGGAAAGGGAAAGGCCTGCACATGATCAGGAAACAGATTTTCGTATAGATGAGTTTGAGGTGGTTCCCATGGGAAGCTTACGAGAGCAATCCCATGACTCGGAATTGCCATCCCCCTCAGTTTCCCTTCCTACTCCACCACGTCGGCCTTCTCGACCGCCTGGTGTTTATCGTGAACCGGACAATATGTTGGATCCTCCTGGGAAGAAGGGGAGACGAAAGAAATCACTCGTCATCGCATTCAGACACGATGCTCTCAAAAACCCATCCTTTTTAAAACGGCACGCAGGCAATGAAGACGATTCTGTACCTCAAACTGGGTTAGCACATCCCGCAGACTCAAGTCAAAGTGCGTCCGCGTCTCTAGCTCAAGGCGATTCTACCATATCAGGAGTACTGCCTGCAGAACCCAAACGGAAGGCAGGACGTGGTGGTAAACCAGAATATCGGTGTGATAAGTGCGGCAACAGTTGGAAAAACTCGAACGGTTTAGAATATCACCTCAACAGATCTCGATCTACTTGCAATCCTACTTTCGTCCCGCCACCTATAGTGCCTCCCAAACCCCCTCGGCAACTCCCAAAGCCTAAGCCGGTACCTCGGGCCGAATCATCAGCTATATCCGACAATCAGAACCAAGCTCGAACTCGAAACTCGCTACAAAGACAGAGTTTAGATCTCAATGTGCCCCAGGATACCCCTGATGTTGGGAACCGTCGCGTCTTGCCTTCCAAACGTACTCGTCCTCATGAATCCCTCACGCTTAACCTATTTACCGAGGATTTATCTGGGATGACGTCTGTTAGAGGATCTGTTACCTTGCAGAACTTGGAGGCGTATGATATTATAGATCATCGAAGACGCCGAGGAAACGGCGGCCAGGTTGCAACGCCCAGTGCATCTGCTATGGCTTCTCAGTTACGCCAAGCAAGTCAAGCGTCGCCGCAGGTGAAGGAAAAAAGGCCCTTTAGGACTAACGAACAAGGCTCCATACTCAGCTCAATTCCGGGAGAACATGTAAATGTTGTCCCTAAGCCAAAACCCGATTCAATAGCCTCTTCACTGAAGCCCACGGTATCTGGAAGCCTAGAAAAGGGTGTTCGATCTTCGACCACCAATCATTCCGTCGCCGCGTGTACCACGGGAGACGGCCAAGGTAGTACGACAATCGTTAATCAATCGAGCCAAGACATACAATATAATCAGAAATATACCCCAAAGAAAACTCCCAAGCGATCTAACCCTACTGTTGGCACACTACGCAGGGAGCGTACCAACCATATTATCCTGCATTTGCTTGATAACAATGATGGCGTATTTCCCGGACAACGCTCTGTATACCAGGCTATGGTGTCTATTTGGGCAAAAAGACATCATGACATAGAACCTCCTGACTGGAAGGTCTGTCAAAACGTGGTCAACAGAATGGAGAAAGCTGGCACATTGATACAGATGCACTTCTGCTTCCTCAATGAAAAAGGGAAGCTTGAAGAATGTGTTGTACTTGGAAAGAGTATTCCTGGAGAGACTGATGCGGTGAAATTAGCCGCTGAGCCCAAAGTAGTTATCATGAAAGAGAAAATGCGAGAGATGTTTCCGGAGCCGTATATCCCAGAAGCATTTTCGTTATCGCAGGAGGAAGGCGAACTATTTGACGCACTCGCATCACGGCATAAAGATAATTCGCAATCAAACGATGTCCAAAACCTGCCCCGAAAGTCAAGCATTACTGAGGACGTCGAAGTCCTACAATACCCGGCACATGTCATGGTTGACGTCGCCGCAAATGCAACTAGCTTGAAGAGGCCAATGAACGACGACGTAATGGCAGACACTTCCCCTACCAAAAGAATCCGCATTGACGCCTCCATTACGTCTAAACCCCCAAGTGCATTCAAAATTCAGAATCGACATGACCGCCGTGACCACCGGGAGTATTGGGAAGCTGGGAAAGTTGCAAAATATATCTGGAACCAGAGCCAGATCGAGAAATGGAGCTACAAAACTGCCTGCCTTCAAGACTTTTCGACCGGAGCATGGTCGGTCTTGCCCCAAGGGGCTCCTTCATTGCAGTTCGACATTAATAAGGCATTATCCTCATCCGATATTTCTCGCGAAAATGGACTCATTTCCAAGTTGCGTGGTCGTAACACGCTGAAGGCTACTGGTAAAGTATCGAGGGCGAAGCCTAAGAAACAATCAGGTTCAGCCACTCAAAATTCTAGATCTCCAGGAGGGGGCGATCAGGAATTCGGTAATGAAGCGATAATTGGTGGTGCATCTGAACATCGTAAACTGGCGGAAGTAGATCGATTTGTGAAGCCGTCAATTTCTACGTCATTTGTACCTGATGACTCGATATCTGACGATGAGGACGAGGATACGATCATGGTGGATGCGCAGCATGACGGCATTGCGGACGAGGATTTGAATGCCATCTCGAATGAAGCTAGTACAAAGTTTGCGAAGCATAAAGCAATCCAGAGCAACGGATCGGGTTATTGGCCTTCGTTATCATCCAGCTTTTTCGAGAAGAACTCAAGCTTCGCGTTGCTTGGGAATATGCCAAGCACTAAGTGGTTCATACGAGAGAACTTACCGCAATGTGCCGGTGATATTATCAAAACTTTCCGGGGGAAGTTTCAGTTCAACTCTTGGGCAGATCCCCTGTACGGAAAATTTTTGCGAGAAGTGAGCATCATCGAGGAATGGGAGAAGTCGCCTGATGGATCTCAAATCCTTTTACACGGATCGATCATACCCGACTTTGATTGTATATTCATATCCCTTTCCCCCGATATATCAAGAGCGAGCATGCAGCCTATTGCTCGCACTCTCGAATGGCCGCGCAAGACTCAGTATACTGCGGAAAATCTTCCAGACGACATCAAAGACTCGCCGCCCGATGATGAAAATGCCGGGGTGTCAATCCCTATCCGTCGCAATAGGGGTAGACCAAGAAAGGATTCAAATGTGTCTCCGTCTAGAGAAAAGGTCAAACCCAGAGTACCCAAAACACCAAGGAAGGTCCAGCCGGAAATAATACCCCGGGTTGAAATACAATACAAGACAAGACAGTTCGGACCAATTCCCGTTTTACACCGAGGACGTGTGAACAGACCAGCACCCAGCGAGGATAAACTTGGTCTTAATGGCGAGACCGACTTGATAGCCGCATTTGTGGTCTTCAAGACTCTTCTGGGAGGCGTGGAGAAGAAGGTAGATATTGGTTTAATCCTGAAGACATTCCCTCAGTACTCTCACTCGTTCCTGAGGAAATTCTGGCCTAGGGTTAGTAAGGAACGCAAGACGTATATCGATGCTTTGACGAAAAAGTTCCAATCATCGTTTATAGAGGCGTATGAAAAAGGAGAAGTCAAGCCTCTTAATTATGACGACCTCGACTCATATGATTGGAGATCGCTAGTTATCTGGGCAACGAAACTCGAGACACACGAGAACGTGAACCTTCCCGAATCCCGCCGAGCCTTAGAAGGAACGTACTGGTTGGAAGACCAAGTTAATGAGATTCGAGATTGGAGGGAGACATGGTTTCAAAGTTTAGCTTCCATATACTCTCGCGTCGAAGCAACCGCTAGCAAGCCTGTTTCCATTCCCCTCGGTCGCAGAGCCACAGCGGAAGAAGAACTCATAAGTCGCGCAAGATCGTGGGTTCGCTCTCTGTGTATTACCCCGATAACACATTCCAAGATGCCAGAAGAAATACGCGCGAAGCTCCTCAAACTGATTGATAGAAACGAGGCTGAAGCAAATAAGCTGCTCAAGAAGGTTGTTGACCAACTCACGTCAGAACGAATAGCGGCAAGAAGCAAGGGCAAGATATTTGGCCAAGCCTTAAGACTACACGGAGTCTTTGCGAAGCAACTTGAGAAGGCTCCTACAGTCGAGAAATTTTACCAGGCTATCAACTTCAAAGCATCCCTTGACCAAGCGTTTCGCAACGGCGAAGAGTATATTGTACCGTATCTTGCCAATGACGGTACGATTTTGGCAATCATTAATCTGCAAGCCCATGGCCGTGTTCGTGTGGAATCCATTGGTGCCCCCAATATCCCTTTTGGATTCGAGCCTGGCAACTACGATGGTAGAACATTCCCGAAGACGTACTATCACTTCAGCGTAAAATTATTGCCTACAGAGACCTATTTGTTTGATGATGATCTCCCTGTCCTCCACCTGGCAATGCGTATGGAGCCGCCTAAGGAAGGGCCTCGAGATGAGATACCCATCTGGGTCGACTTCTTCGGAAACCTTAACAAAGGTCGATGGATTACGTATCTTGGCATGATGGTTTTGGGAATGGCGACCAAAGGCCCCTTAACTCCAGAAACTGCAAGCGTGCTTATGAAGCCGTTTGTCGAACCGTTCGAAGCGAAGCTGATTATGGATTGGTCCGATAGGCTAGGTATCTTGCAGCGCCTCGAGTCGGATAATAGTGCCACGGTGGGCGAGTGGTGGTGGTTGGTGGTTGGGAAGCTAGCGCAAGGATATCGCGAGGAAGTTAATTTTTCAGAGCTTAGGGAGTGAGAAATTGTCACTTGTATTTTTATTGCATGGTACAGCAAGGAGCATAACGAGGCGTTTGGAAGGCTACGATATCCCATGGGCCTTACTTTAAGACTTTACTTGATCTTTTCAAGATACTGTAAGCCATTTTTAATCCAGGTACCTACGTAGGTAGTTATCAGGAACTATTCCACTGGATTGTGCTTCGTACGAAGCTTCTGTTCTACAATAATTAATTTTATTATGCTAATCATGCTAACTTTTGACATTTTTCGCCCTAATAATGATTTTAATGATTTTCTTCATATATTCTGCGTGTTGCCCCATATGCCATTTTGATATTATTACGTACTGCTCATAGTGTATGTACTGTCCGGCGTGCCTACTACTGCGGGTCAGTCCCGTCGCAAAGGTTCTAGGGTCAGAGACCTAGCGCGTAAGCCAGAAACAGATATTCTTTTGATATAATCTTTGATTACAGTGTGAGTTTCCATCATCCGTCCCGTATACTACCATTATAAGGTGCTATCGTCTAGTGGTAGGACAATACGTTGTGGTTTGTAGGCTAGATACAGCCTAAGGCAACATCCGTGTAAACGGCGGTTCGATCCCGTCTGGCGCCATGAGTATTTCATTTTTTCTTCTTCTAGTTACCTGAAGAAAGCTATTTTTGTACCAAAACTTGTTTTAGCTTTCATAAGTCCATATCATGAGTTTCATTATAAGATTGAAGGGAAATTGGTTACTTGGTACCTATCCAAGTAGATAGGACATGAGGGCTTGATTCATCATCTCTCAGCAGATACGTGGAATTCATGTTGTACACAACGACACCTACTGGTCCGGTAATGAGATACTAGTCACAAGAATCTTCACTATTGACATGTTAGTCTGTTGGTGATTTAGAATCTAATTCAGTTCTTGGTATCAATTGTCATGAAACGCGAATAATAACAACATCAGCTACGCCTGTATCCTGCCAGCCAGTAGTAACGCCAAATCCCGGTGCCTGTTCTGAATTGTTGAATTCAACTCATTAAAACTTTGAGAAGCATGGCGATTAACATGATCACCAGCGACACGATAGCGTAATCGATCCAAGGCGGCACTCCCGCGTGTGGGCTCATCTGTGTCGTGATCGGCGTCGATGTGCCCTGGTCTACCAGAGCCGGCAATGGTATTCGACCGGTAGGCGGCGGAACTCCTTGCGTGGGCTGAGCGACAGGTGGTGCCGCTGTCGTAGGCGTAGGTCTCAATACTTCTTGATCAGGTACCGTCTGCACGAATCCCTCCGCCAACTCGGCGCTCTCTGCATCCCCTTTAGCGTCTCCCTCGTTCGCAGCCTTCGCCTTCTCCATCTCGTCCCGGAATCCCATCTTCAGCTCGGCGGGAATCTCGACCTCCTTTCTCTTACCCGCCTCGGCGTTTTCGGTATCGAGTTCTTTACATCGCTGCTCGCACTCGGTGATGATCTCGTTATTCGTTTTAGCACAAGTCGTGCAGCGCCAGGCTCCACTCTCGGAAGCTAGCTTGCGCCGCACAGCGTCGCTGGTGTCGAGGCCGCCGAGCTGGCCGCGCGCGTCGGTCTCCATGAAGGAGCGTAGCGCGACTAGCGCGGTGCGTACCCCCCATGCGGGTTGCCAGGTTTCTTCATGGTGCCCACTGATGCTTAGGCAGATCTCGCGGTTCGCTTCGAAACGTCCGCTTGGGGTTGTAAAGCGGAAGGAGGGTGGGCGCAGGGGGTAGGTAGGAGGGAGAACGATACGGCCATGATATAAACCGTCGGCGAACGAGGAGTTAGGGGGGCCACGGAGAGTGAAATGCCATTCGAAGAGGTCGGATTCGAGGGGGGATGCTGTGTAGTCAGGCGATGGAGAGGTAGAGAGTTCGGCGGCTTCTTTTACTATGGTGCTTGAGTGGTTAGTTTATTGAAAGGTGGGATGAGGCATTTGAAAGGATTAAAGCTAACATATGCGCCTGATGGTGGGAGACTTGGTGTTGAATTTTGGGGTGGCCATGTTGGCTAATGGTTGGTAATTCACGATGTCGAGTGTGGCGTTCTATTGGCGGGGTGGTGATTGATGACGGTAGGTCATGGTGAGGTGAATAGAATAGAATATAATAAAAGGATAGTAAGGGTACGAAGGATTCTAGTATCGGTTCATAGTTCGGCCAGGTAAGACAACGGCGTTAAAATTATGAAATTCCTTGTGTTCTGTGTTCTAGGAGACAAGGCCAGGCTGTCTTGATGTGGTTTAGTATTCTAGAATTGATGCGACACGATAACAAAAGAACAATCTTGGAACCTTGAAGCTTAAATAATAGCCGCATACGTAAGCAGCTCGTGGCAATGACGACAAGTACATCACGTGATTTTTGGGCAAAACTGAAAGTCACGTGTAAATATTCAATTCCCTTACAGACGCCCTTTCCTTCCATCCTACATAGGTACCTGTATACCGTCACCCCCCGTGGACTAGAGAATGTAACCCAGAAGTCCAACCAAAGGGAACACCCCCATTTGTGAATTGACTTGCAATACTCAATCGTAAAGATGATATTCCACAAACCTAAAACCTCTTTCATAAGATCATTTTTCAATGGGGGACTTCGTCCCACGAGACTAATCCTGCTCAAAGATATTTTCTATCATTCAATCTATCAAGGTTTAGTAGTTGCCTTGTAAATATATTTTTATAGATAGGATTTCCCTTAAACATCCTCAACGAATTCTTTCCTTGCTAATGGTCCAATGACAGGTGCAGCTTGCTACTAGCTTAAATCCCCTCATACATGCTTACCTAATATAACAGTACTAATAGTACATTCAAGGTAATCGCACCTACCTTCAGACATTGAAGAGGTGGTGAAATAGCAGTTTGAATCGGAAGGCACGCTAAATATAGTGACTACATGAAGGGAAAGTTTGCTGTTTTGATGAATGGTATGAGAAGGTGCCATAGACCCCTCTGCTTCCCCTTTTCTCTAGCATAAATTTTCTTTGTAAATTACCTGGGAAAACTTATTTCTCTAAAACTTCCACAACCTAGGTATCATAGATCTTATAAATGTCCCTCTATCTCTTCAATATCTAGAGTCTCACTCACACACGTCTACTCTATCAAGTCAGATCTTCAGCTAGTCATTTGTCCTCCTTCTTCAATAGTACTTCATCCAGCCAAATATCCTAATACTGAGGAACAATGTCAGGTCAACCCAACTCTTCCTACACTCCTCCTATGCCACGGTGCCCAAAATGTAGGGCTACCTTCCTTGATGGCGAGTTTCTCCGTTCTCATCAGCACCAAGCAGGCCACTTAATGTGTGGCTCATGCGAGGCGTCGTTCCACACAATCGACGCCTTGTTCACCCATCGTAAGAATGTTAGTATTCATCTTTATATATCACTATCTTATAGTGCCCCAACTTACTTTGAATTTGGATAGGATCACAAGGCCGCCCAAGACCTGACATGTCCTGGCTGTACTAAGAAATTCACGAATACCAGCAGATGGATATATCACATCGAGTCAGGTCAATGTTGTTCAATTTTTCCCTCTGATATATCTCAAGGGATTGCCACGGTCATGGAAGCTATCACAAAGAATTTGATAAAGAATCAGCTCCAGGGCGAAGGGAATGTCGACTTTTCCGGCCCTTCTCATATCACCGATGCTTGGGGTGATGGATGGACGAATGCCCAGAATTTAGATGCCCAGAAGCACCCAAAAGACTTCCCCAAGGTTGGGAAGGAGGATTTCTATCAGGAAGGTTCAAAAAATATCGACCTGGCCGCCAGTGCAGGTGCCAACAATCTTGAGCAGAAGACGGGAAACGTCTGGGCTCAGAAGAAGAATCTTTTCCCAGAGAAAAAAATGGGTTCAATTGCAACACCAACACCTCAGTCATCTTCTTTTGAGAATCCGGAAGAACCTGCTCTCTTAGGTCAACCCACTGGAAAGCACATCATCGACCCAACCCACGAATACTTTAATGTGGCAGTGTTCTGGAACCCCATCTTAGAGACATACATTTGTCCTCACAGGAATTGCAAGTGAGTTTCAACCTATCGACTCATGTTCATGTATCATGTCTCACATTTCCATAGTTCAAAGTTCGACAATTCGAATAAATTAGTAAGACATCTAAAGTCCTCTACACATTCTGGTGTTCGGTTCAATTGCCCCGGCTGTAGAGCCATGTACACGTCCGCTTCTTCATGGGTCCAGCACGTTGAAACTGTTAGCTTATCGAAATGCCGCATTAGAGAGTCGCGTGAAATCTATGGATACGCATTGAAGGAAATTACTCATGGCGCTCTAGACGTTGATACTATTGTCGAGCTTCCCAATGCTACGGCCAAGGTGAAGGTCGTGGAAGACTGGGCTAAGGCAAAAAAGCCTGTCAAGAATGATTTCGTGCCAGGAACCAACGAATATGCTAACGCCAAACAAGCCGAGGCATTGAAGAGACGCGCTTAATGGAATCTGGGGCGGAATCAAGGACCTGAGCGAGTTATGAACTATTATGCTACTTTTGAGGAAGTGGTTTTTTCCCCCGATCTGACATCCATGGATAATCGCTGGTATTTGCGCTTAGTGCTTCTATCATGCGCTCGCAATTTCTTCATTTCTCTAGAAATCATGCGTATTTAGAGTAGTGACGCAATATTTATTCTAGCTTGAGATAGATTGCTAATAAATCGATATATTTCCCCAATTCTTGAAGTTAAGGTTAAATACCTCCAGGGCTATCCTTATGATGTGTAACTAGGTACATGAGGTGGTTATTTAGCCAATGAAGCCATGTAGGTAGGTACCAAGGAGCTACCTATCTAGAGTATATTCCAAGCCATTTTATCCGCGAACGGATTATAATTGGATTGCCTGCGTACATATCTACGCAATTCAGCCGCCAGGTTTCAAAGGATGGAGGTTATTGCTAAAGTACCTAGGTAGGTAGCTTTCCCACCTTCACGGTATATCCATGATTTGAACAAGCTCTCTGCACTGCATAATATGTACATATATAGATGGATATTCACGTTGTAGTTTCTCACCACTCTAGAATGCTCGATAGTTACCCACAATACTTTTAAGAGTAAGTACTGATCTGAATCTTTGCTCTCAGCACTAAGCTGTCTCTCAGAAACCTTTTTGATGTCGGGCTTTATTAATGTAGTAGCTAGGCTCTCCGCCATCCCCATTTTTATGCAAGGCAATCTACTGTAACGACAGACATTGGTGTGGAATCGAACCCTGCATATTCATATATTGCCTAGTCGGCTGGTGATCGTCGTCGCTGAGAAGGGACCCGGCAGATGTACCGCCTTGGGCGAGCGGTTCTGTTATTATCAGATGCATTCCATGATAATGGATAATGGCTGGACCTGGCATGGATCGATGGTCTTATATAACATCCTTATTTGGACACTCCCTCGTATCTATCTAGAACTTAACATTTTTCTCGGTACCCTCTGCGACGATCATGCACCTATGCGTAGTAGTAACGGCGTGGCTTCTCGCGAAACGGACGGCAGCGCAGGGTGTAGGGAAAGCAGAGACGCATCCTAAGCTTACAACAGAGAGGTGTACGATTAAAGATGGCTGTATCACACAGAATACCTCCGTCGTACTCGATGCCAGTTTCCACGGACTTAGACAGGTGAATGGCACAGGTAGCTGTGGGGGATACCGTGGTGGGTTGAGCAAAGAACTGTGTCCGAACCACGAGGCATGCGCGAAAAATTGTGTTTTCGACGGCGCGGACTACGAGGGCAGCGGGGTGGTGGCGAACGGCAGTGCTCTAACGTTGAATATGTACACACAACATGACGGCAACGTGACTTCGGTGAGCCCGCGCGTATACTTGTTGGACGAGAGCGAAGAAAACTACGAGATATTGTTTTTGAAACATGGAGAAATCAGCTTCGATGTAGACGTGTCGAAGCTGGTCTGTGGCATGAACGGCGCGTTATACCTGACCGAGATGAACAAGACGGGAGCCCGCAGCGCTCTCAATCCGGCGGGAGCAAGGTATGGGACAGGATACTGCGACGCACAGTGCTCCACGTTGCCGTTTATCAATGGGGTGGTAAGTTTTCTGTAATGAAAATTACGGATTTACTTACATTTCTGCCCATCTGTTTACCTGCCTAGACGTATTAGTAAAACTGACCAAAGACTTCACAATCTACAGGCGAATATCGACTCTAGAGGATCATGCTGCAACGAGATGGACATCTGGGAGGCCAACTCGCTAGCATCGGCATTCACTGCACATCCTTGCAGCAACGCGGGAGTATTCGAGTGTAAAGGAGCTCAGTGTGGTAGCCTCGGCGTCTGCGAGAAGTCCGGGTGTGAGTACAACACATGGAAGCTGGGAAACACGTCGTACTACGGACCCAACCTAGCAGCGCCCGCATCGGGCAACACGACCAAGTTCACGGTAGATACGACGCGCCCGTTCACGGTAACCACGCAATTTCTAACCTCGGACAACCCGTCGCCGATTAGCAACGGCGCGCTGAACGAGGTACGGCGGCTGTACGTGCAAGACGGGGTCGTGATCGACAACGCGTACGTCACGGACCCGATGATGCCGCCGGGAGACTCCTTGCGCATGTCGCACTGTCAGGCTAGCGGGGCGCTGTTCGAGGATCTGGGCGGCCTGACTACGACGGGACATGCGCTGGATAGGGGAATGGTGCTTGCGTTTAGCATCTGGAACGACGGCAAGCAGTTTATGAACTGGTTGGACGCGGGAAAGGCCGGACCGTGTACGTTGCAGGAGGGAGATCCCGAGGTTATTAGACGGCAGAGCCCTGGGACGAGTGTGACGTTTAAGAATATTAGGTGGGGGGAGCTTGGGAGTACATATGGGAATGGGACGATGGCTGGTGTATGAATGAAGATTGAAACTTGAAAGGGAATGTTTATGAAGAAGGTATTATTTTAAAGCTTTGCATATTATTACTCATATTTTATTCATCCTTTCATTATATAATCAATTATGATGACATAAATTGTGAAACCTCGCTGTCCACTTGAGAAAATGCAAATTATGTAATCATAGAGATTTACGTAAACATTCATAATTACATAATCACGGTCTATTGATATAGCACAGCCACACAGCCAAGGATCTAAGCCATGCTCACATCCGTGGACTTATCCTTGTCTTTTGTCACGTCAGCTTCTGTTCGGAAAGGTTGGAACCTGTTCAGTCAGGGGATTTGCCCAACTAGTAGGATCCAACTGTCGTTAACAATAATTTGTTTCACGATGTGATGCTTGCTTTTTACTTGACAGAAATTTGTCAAATTTCCTTTCGCTATTTTAATATTTCCGCCCAAGTCAAGGTTTGCGCATGTATTCGTCTGAATCATCGTTTCCACCTCCGTCTTCTACCTAATGGATAGAACCTCATCGCCCTCGCTACGATCACCGAATATGGCTCGTAGATGGGCTAGGAGGTTAGAGCGCTATTGCTGCAACTGCCTTACATATTTCCCTTTAGCATTCGTCTACAGCCTTTCCACGTGGGCAGTATGGGTTGTCGTTAGTATAGGGTCAAGCGCAACACAGAAGCCGGGCTGGATAGGTTCGTGTCCTGCGTCTATTTCTAGGAGATTATGCGACAACTACAATGGTCTTCCATTGTCAAAAGCGAAATAATGAAAGCTTGTGGAAAGATTAGAGCTGACGCATACGTGTACTCATAGGAACGAAATCATCCATCGGCGGCGTCTTTCTTTACCTCATGCTCAACTGGTGTTATACAACCGCCGTCTTTACGAATCCCGGTAGTACAACTAATTCTACCGGCTACTCAACCCTGCCTACCAATAACCCTCCACAAGCTACCTCCTTCACCGTCAAGTCCAATGGCGAAATGCGCTTCTGCAAGAAATGTCAGGCCCGGAAGCCCGACCGCGCGCATCACTGCTCAACCTGCCGGCGCTGCGTGCTTAAGATGGACCACCACTGTCCCTGGCTAGCTACCTGTATCGGACTGCGCAACCATAAGGCTTTTCTGTTGTTCCTCATCTACAACACCCTCTTCTGCTTCTACTGCTTTGCCGTCTCCGGGTCATGGGTCTACGATGAGATGCTAACACAGACTCAATATAACAATACCTTGATGCCGGTTAATTTTATCATGCTCGCCGTCGTTTCCGGAATCATCGGCTTGGTTGTTGGCGCTTTCACCAGTTGGCACATACTTCTCGCAAGTCGGAATCAAACAACGATCGAATGCCTTGAGAAGACCCGCTACCTCAGTCCCCTACGAAAGACGCTGCAAAATCGATTTATCGCACAGCACAACGGCGAGGGTATCCAGCTACCGAGATATGGCCAGCAACTGCTGGATATCCACGCCAATGCACTCCCAGGTGTCACAAGACCCGAGGAAGGCGAGGTAAGGACAAGCATGGATGGAAGTGACGTACCTCAGCAGCTGTCATACGAGGATATGGAGCGCGTTCGAGCCCAGAAGCGATACGAGGAGTATATGGACGAGCAAGATTCGGAGAAGTTGCCCAACGCTTTCGATCTCGGCGCCAAGAGAAACTTGCTGCACCTATTCGGCCCCACACCGGGACTTTGGTTCTTCCCTATTGTCAACACTACCGGCGATGGATGGAGCTGGGAAGCTAGTCCGAAGTGGATCGCCGCGCGGGATCGGATCGCGATGGAGAGAGACGATCAAAGACGAAGGGAACGCGCCGCCGGATGGGGTGATCCGGATCCTTCATTTGTCCCTATCACTACTACCGTTGCACGACCGAATGGAGCTGGTCCAGTGAGGAATTATGTTGGGGCACCAAACCCAAAGCTACAGCTTTCCGGTAATGGTGGCCGACGTACGCCATCAAAAGCAGACCGCATTTTGGGTCGGGACCCGAATCTATACGTTGATCAACCGGCTGGATCCATGTCGATGCGGACTTTGAATAAGCAGGGTATGGATATCGAAAATGAGTTTGACGATAGTAGCGAGGAAGAAGAGGAAGATCAAGAAGACCCGGAAACTAAGGCGTTGAATCTGGTTACAAACGGCGGATGGGCAAAAAGTGGTGCTAGCGGATTACTAAAGCCGTCACCGAAGAATAGTAATACCAGACGATTCACACCACCGAAGAGTTTTGCAAAACAACAAGCTCACGACGAGAACGACGAGGTGGACTGAGCGAACCGAAGGGGCGCTGGACCGACCTATTAAAAACGTAGTGTGGGTAGGGATACGAGAGGGCGAGGGAATGAATAAGGAACGGAATGGGTAACTGATAGCTTCGACTTGATACTATAGGTTAAGTTGTGGTTGGTGTTTTACTAAGGGATATATCACTGCATGGCATGGCTCAGGCGTTTGAGCTGTTATAGGGTGTACTACATATGATTGTTTCGGTCTACTTTACGGGGATTGCTATCACCGGTGGTATTTGGCTTGGTGTTGTCGCTTCTTATTTTTCAGGGCAGAAAATGAATTTGTATAATGGAGTCAACCTCTCCTGGCGATTAGGAAACGAGGAAGTAAAGGAGTAAATGAATTACGGTGATTCTTTCGTATATTGGCCTCTTGCTTTCTAGTTTTGATTCATTCGACATGGGTGAGGAGGGGCCGTATGAGTGTTGTGGTTAAGCGAGAATTCCGCTCAATATCATGGATATGAATGGTTAGTATTTACCTACACTCTTGTCCGCTATGTTGTTTTAGGGATTTAATTTGACGTCCAATATCTACCTAGTATTATTTCTACTATTTATTCTTCCTCGTCAACAGCAGCCTAGGCTATCCAAAGGTTGTCTAGGTGTTTGCCATGCGGAGAGTGAATTTTAGCCTCATGGTTTCTAGGATGAGCGATTCTTCAACAAATCTTTAAGATGTTTGGTCTAGATTCCTATCGGCAACTGAACTGATGAGTATCGAAGAACACGATCTGACAAGATAACCGAATTTTTTAAGTTCATACATGTGCATTTTCTTCTGTCACGATTTAGACCTGCTCCATTCTGACGAAACTAAGCCTCTCTGCGAATATTTTAAGGCTCGTTCTTACCATCGTCATCGTCGCTCCAATTGGCTCTCTCGGAACTATTTCCATAAGATGCACGGCAGATCACTGATCGAGATCGTGTGCTTGCTGGGAAAGGGCTGTTGTTACATCTTCGTTGCACACTTATGAACAGAACCAAATTTGTTCTCCTGAGTTTGATGCTCTCAGGGGAACCCGGCATTCCTTGAAGAATGCCGCTCTAGCCCATCCTTGGCTATGGTTAGATGATTTTGCAATGACTTCTAACTCGACCCTTGTTTCTCTGGGAGGGCATAGTCCGCTTGTTGGTCTTCCGGACCATGTCGTTGTCTTTAGGTCTCTGCTCTTATTCCATAAAGGACACAATACGCCTTCAACGTATTACGTACTTCATTGACGAAACGTAGGTAGGTATAAGTGAAGAATAGCTTTTTTTAGGGTTGCGTAGAATATACCACGATCATAACGATTATCTTTTCCCATCTGCTCTTTTGCGAGTGTTGGTTCTGGGTCCCTCCTGCTCACAGAGCTCAATTCAGAGTATCTATCGTGGGATTTCTCAACATAAACTGTCTGATGCTCTTCTGTGAGTTTTCCCGTGCAACTGTTATTTACCCAAAGTTTCTAGCAATTCGGGATATTTGGAGTTCCCGAGCTATGGAACGGAATAGCATCAAGGTTATATCTGGTAGCTTGTCTCAGCCAGCTGAGATGTGGTTCATAACCCGGAGGTCCTCCGATTGAAACGGAGCCGAAGAATATAAAAAACATCGAGTTTGAATTGACTCGTCTCTTTATAATGAACCGGTAAGAGATTGGAGTTATGTGCTAACAGTCGTTAGGTGCCTATCTCTCCATGGACTTTCGCAGACTAGACATAACTATCACCGTTAGATAATTAATTAGAATAGATAAAGGATTTTGGAATAGATGATGTAAAATAGGAGAAGGAAATTGACTTAATGGTACTATCTACACTTACATTGGACCTATTATGGCCTGATCATCTATACCTAGGAGGTAGGTAGGTATGTGACCTTAAGTAGGTAGATTTACCCAATTATCGTGTACGTATAAAGTCTATAATGTGCTCATTGAAAGGGAATCTACCCACCTACCTACCTAGTATTGACTATGATGGGATTCCTCGTCTTATTTCTTCTTATTATAGGTAAACTTGGAGATATTTAGAGCAAGTTTGAGCATCACCATACCTACATAGTACCATACATACTACTATGAAGGGTCAAGGTACATGTGTACTTATTAATGACATCTGGATGTATAGATACGCCCACCGTGCATTTCCCTGATTCTGTAGAGAGTTTAGAGAGCCGTGTAACCTAGGTACTAGGTAGCTTTCGTTCCAGGAACCCTCGTTACTTAACAGTGTTGTCGCTTCCCATGGACGTGGTCTACATGATCCCAAAGTTTAATAAGCGATGTTATTAGGTACTAGTTATATCTTAAGGTTCTATGATGGGGGATAGTACTTGCCTACCTACCAGCCTACCTACCTAGATACTTACATGTAGCCTAGAAATGTTCGCAATTTCATGTTATGTAACTACCTAGTAGGAATGTGCGTTACAAGAATACCTACCTAGTAGTGATCCATGGTTTGTCGCAACTTAAAGCTCCTCTAACATTTCTTTCACTGTCATCTCTCTTCCTCACCCTCCACGTCCCGGGTGAGCCGGCCTGTCTTGAAAACATCAGAGGTCTACTCTTCTGCTGGAATAGAGAAGACTTTTACCTGGGCATCTGTGAGAGTTCTGCACGGATTGTATGTGCGCTTCTTGTCCGAGTAAGCCGGTTGGGGTCCCCGTCGTCCCAGTTAATGCAGGTTGACCTGACGTCTGTTGGAGTAGCTGAGTAGCGAGATGGTAGAGAATGGCCCGAGCAGGGTTTCTCATATACCTACCTAGCTAGGAAACTTGGGTAAAGAGCCAAGAGATACACGTACGCATACACGTCTATCAATAGATCGAACTATGCGGTGCTGGCTACTAATCTTTTCACGTCTTAACGTGTACTAATCTATACTACCTAGTAGGTACCTACGATTTGAAGCTGCAGACCTCGATTACCAAGTTGCTTCCGACAGGCCTGACGATGACGAGCACTGGGTTGTAGATTGACGAATAGTACTTGGTAAAGAACTATTAAACGTCAAAGAATCATCAGTAATGCACTTAGGCTTACACTCCAGGACCTGATTTTCACTCATGATCATCATGCCCGTCCCTCCATCGGCAGGGTCCCCCCGGTCATCTTTGATTGGAAGCCATCTGAGATCGACAGGCGGGTTGTTGAGATTCGTGCCGCCTGTGCCACCGGAGAGTTTTCGCGCAGGATCATGCTGCGTAGGTGGCTTATTAACTACTAACCTGACAGCCTGGACAACCTGGCGACTCCTCCTTGAATCAAGTTATAAAAAAAACAAAAAAAAAAGCAAAAACGGCATTTGGAGTGTTGCATAGTCTCCAAATCCCAAGTTTCATTCCCTGCCATAGGCTCGCAACCGCCGGTAGCGAAAAAAACGCACGAGTTGCCGTACCATGATGGGCGTGGAGAAGAGCAAAAAGAGGCTTGCATATACGTATGTATAATACCGTGAGGTACTTATTTGCGAGCTAGGTTTCCAGACTTATTTGACTTATTCCAATGACATGACCGCAAAAGTTCCCGGTTTCTATTAACTTACGTGCATTCTTCAGCCCCCGACGATCGCCTCCCTTGTCCCTACCTACCTAGTTATGCCGTGGAGTGCAGTTCCTCCACGGGGATAGGGCTTCAAAAATAACGCCGATGCGAAGCGACGCAGCATAGGATAGGCCAGAGTTAGGATCAAGATCAAGGTCAGGGGGGCATGAGAGCATCAAATACCTACCAACCAAACAAACACTTTACGCAACATATCTGCATATTTCGTGCATGTAGGTCAAAGAGGTCCTGAATATGTAAATCGTCATCCCGCGCAAACCAAAAGCCGCATATACTAAGTATGTGCTACCTACGGCTGCCACGGCTGATCGATCATGCAGCTTCTTCTACAAACGAACGGCTCTAGCAGCACCAACAGACAGCCAGCTAGCCACGCGATGCAATAGCGCGAACTGTTTGTGAACCACTGTGCCCCCATGTGGTAACCTCAAAGGCGCTCGTTTAAACTTCTACCCCCGCGTCCCAAGGGCTCACGTCATCCTCGCCAACGCCAGGGGAGAGTGATGAGTATAGCAGGGGGGAGCCGGTTAGGAGGAGAGGGTGTAGGGGAAGGGTAGTTATGGAGGAAGAAGCGATGGAAAACTTGGGACGCATCAACCGGGCTGCAGGACCCGACAGCATGGTACGGTAGCTCACGAGGATTTTGCAGGGCTGGGACCGTGCGCCATTGGTTCGCCCACCTGTTCGTAAGCGGCTCGTCATCACGCAACCCGCATGCGCAGCCCTGGCCCTAGCTATCCAGTGGGATGGGACGAGGGGGCAACAAGACGGGGGGAGGACCGTAAGCCCGCGCCCCTACCCAATAAGGTAAGGGAGTCAGTCTCGTTTGGGTAAGAAGGAATGTGATGAGAGCGCAGCGCAGTAAGTTCTTGCATTGCATGAAGCAGAAGCAAGCAGCAAGTAGTAGTAGTAGCAGCAGCAGCAGCAGCAGTATCACCAGAACCAGAACCAGCACCAGCGCCGGCACTAGCACCGCCAGCCAGGTGCAGTTCTACACATGGAAAGTGTAGGTATTGGATGTACCTAGCCAAGTAGATAGGTACCTACGGGTAGGTATAGAAAGGTCTTTTTGGATTGGGTTGCAGCCAAGCACGGTTCTTTTCTCTTTCCCCCTCGGTTTTCCCTTGTTCCTTTTTTTTTTTTTTTTTTTTTCAAACCCCTTGTCCTTCTCTTCCTCGCTTCCACTGCTATGGGATTGATTCCAGGTGCTGGGTGCTGGGTGCTGGGACCTAGGTGAACAAAAGCTGAAATCGCCCAAACGCCATTTATTTCCCGTTTTACCTTTTCCCCCTGTCTACCCCAGTCGCCCAGTCGCCCTTCTCGTTACCACCCAAATCACCCAAACCACGTTAGGCAGTATAATTCAATGCAGATAATCCGTCGCCCCGAAAGTTACCTAGGTGTGCGAGGCGGCCGACCGTAATCGTTCCGTTCTGGGTATCGTACACACCCACTTCACCCACTTGTACGCCTATCCACGCCTATCCACGCCTAGTCCGCACCATCCGTATCTTCCTACATGGGGCGGTGAGTAAGGCCTGGTTTCCCTAAACAGCTGTCGTCGAAGTCTCTGGGCGTCAGCAACTGGAAGGCTGAGCTGACGGTCGACTTACTGACTTACCGTATTGAGAGGCCTCGCCCGGTAATAACGCCGCCGGTACATGCTAATTCGCGCCTCAACTAACCAGACGCCTACGCGTCATGTATTTCCACTGAAAACGAGATGGGGCAGCGGATGCGCTGCCTGGCTTTTCGTTATGGGGAATCATAACTGCCGTGCCAGCGTGAGCACATTTGATATTAATAATATCCCGCAGCTCGGGCGGCCTACCTAGTATGGCAGATACGCATATAGGGCTACCTCGACGTCAGATCATATCATTCCAACGGAGCTACCAGGTTTGCGATCGACACGAGACGGTGCGTTATGGTTATGCCCTAGGTAACATGTCAGACCAGAGGTTGCATACATATGTAGGTGCCTATATAGATAGGTAGGTACATTACCAAATATACCTACTGACATACCTACTAGCATACCTACTGACCTACCTACATACATACATGCATACAAGCCTACCTACCTAGCATACAACACGCGTTGCTGGGTCCCGGGGATGGGGTTCACCCAAAAAGGGAAATAAAACAGGTCGAGGCTGAACATGGGACATCTCCTTCGTACAGTAGCTATCAATCATTCCCGAATGCCCGAATCCGAGCTCCCCAGGTCCACGGTCTCGGCAAGCCGGCCACTTACGCTTGTGTTTCTACTTTAGGTCGTCGGTTAGAATTAGATAAGCAGCCATTTTTCGAAGCTTTACCTACCTAGTACCTATACGATCTATCGACTCTAATTGGCGGTCGGCGATGAGTAAGCTATGATATACAAAGCTGTTCTTGCTTGGTGATGTGTCGATAATTAGCTATCATATATGAAACATGATGAACGACAGAAGCAGTTAGGTCACAAAAAAAAAAAACCAATAAAAAGACACGCAAGGGAAACAGTATGTAAGGCTTGTTGTGTAATGCGGAATCGCTATTGGATTCAGTACTAGTGTGCAGCGTGAGCCACCAGGTATTGTTTATCCGAGTTCATGCAAATGCGAGCCGACATGCCTATGCTATGTAGTTAAAGAAGAACCTGCTGGGGGAGAAATGGTGTGTCGAAGTGAAAACTTGATGCATATCGTCGAGATATCAAGAACCGCCCGCCAACCAAACCCCAACCATATGCGAGCCCAGTGAGATGATTTTTATGACTTTCACCCGAATCTGATCCTTCATGTGCTGCTGCTCAATCGCGACCCTGCGCCTCCAGCTTGCACCTTAAGTCCTGCTCGTAAAAGCGAATACAAATAAATGTGAATGGCCCAATAAATGCTCTGAATAATGTCCTCATCGCTAGGAAATTCGTGATATGACCCCTTTGCCAGTAAACACCGTAGCCTCCCATATGCCACCGTCCCATGAAAACAAATGAGATGATTTTTTTGTCATTTCCCAAATCTATCAATGTTTCCCTTCAACACCAATGTTATGCCTTAGCTCGCCGTTCCTTTGTGCTTCCCAGATGTTGCTCGTAGGTAGTGTCGAGAGTGGACGACTGCTGTCGAACGCCCTCGAATTAAAAAAAAAAAAAGCATTAAAACAACCCGTAAAAATCGCTTGTGGCCGTGCTGCGCCGTCTCCCTTTTGATAATGTGATCCGATTTGGGGGTATTCGCTGCAGATTCAAACCAGGTTGGAAAATCATCGCAGCTCGACTGTTAACTCAAATAAAATATGTACTGGTACAAGGTAATTCGTAATAGAATCTGAGAGAATACTAGCGTACGAATCAAATAAAGGGTTGCTGCGATGAGTCGGAATAGCCGCCGTCGACGCTACTCTTGTCGAAGCTTGACTTGGTACTGTTGGCGGTAGATCTGTTGAACACGTTCCGACTGATGTTCTTCAACTTACCAACGGCCTCGCCGCCATTGTTTTCGCGAGCCTTTGGTACGTAAACGCTTGTGGTCGGGTCCACTTTTATATGACAGAACAAGGTTGAGAATAGATATTGATCGCCGTTGGAGTCCAGCAACGGCAGAGTTCGATAGCCTTGCTTTAGAACATTGAGCTTGGCCATATAAGTAGCGATGGTGGTGTTTCGACCGGTGTTCTCGCCGTCGCTGGAAAGCTTAACGCTGAACCTGACGAAAACTAGCTCGGGGTGCTTAGTCGTCACGACGAACCTAGCATCATGGCCAAATACAGGATTAAAGCCGTTCTCCTTCACAACCGGTGTGGCCGCCTTAAGCGGAGTATCCGTAAGGATGGAGACGCCGGCCATGCTGTCATGCTTGTCTCTTTTATCGTTGGTGTGGAAGATCTCGATCTCGACGTACGGATCGAGGGTGCGGTTAGAAGGCAGGGATGATGGACGGATAAGTTGCTGTGCCGAGATAATATTGATATGGAATGACATGTTTTGACGTTCCAGTTTGCCGATAGCCTCCGCAGGCAAGCCGTCGGGGAGTATTCGTATCTCACGCATCGATTCAGGTTTTAGGACATATCCTGACTGATCGGTGCCTCCATCAAACATAGCTTGATTCAACTGCATACCGAGGTCAAAGGTCTGCCAGTTGAGCGCGGCCATTTGCACGCCTCTCCGCCAGTACATCATAGGATTGAAATTGTCGGAAGATAGACGGGAATATTGGGGATATACGCGCATCATGTAGCGCATATTGTGACGCGTCAAGGCCAGCTTCGAATCCGATGCTTTAGAGTGCTTCCTAAATGTACCTTCCATAAAGGACAAGATATGGTTGCTCTTCTTGCATTCAGCCGACTCGAAACCGTGAAACTTGACACCGCTACAGTAGACGCCGAGCTCACCCAAACTCTGAACTATCTTGCTCGTCCGCCGCTTCCCCCGCTTCTCCTCTTCGCTATCGCATTCGCTCGTGCTGCTGCTGACCGTATCGTGTACCTGGCCTTCGTTAATAGTGTCTACGCGCTCGCCCACTACGCCACGTCGAGTAGGTCTGGGAGTAGGACCTAATAGCGGGCTTGATAGATACCGAGCCGGGATGGAAGCATTGTCGGAAGATACCGGCTTCATGAAAGGGGATGTCAGGCTATTTCCGCGTCGACGACCTGCCGAAGCATCTCCTCCAGTGCGCTGTGGCTCGTGTGCTTGATGCGTACCCTTCACTTTGATTAAGATCCGGTCTTTGAGTTCCGAAGGCGTTGGAAGCTTTGTTGAATATGGGTCTAATGGCTCCGTGACAAGACGGGGACCGAAGATGTCCCTCATGATTTCCGCCATGACCTCTTGCTGCGAAGCACCGCAGTGGACTTCGAGCGAAACCCAGAGTGGGAAACGGCTAGCGACAAAAGCATATTTGTTGACGGTGTTGATAACCTCACGGAACGAGATAGCATTCGTCATAGCATATCCGTGCTTGACTATCGGCTGACCATCTGACCCATCCCAACAATCAATCTCAACACTACGACAACCTCGGACGAGAGTTGAGATGTAGCCTTCGATGGAAGCGACATCTGCGATTTGACGGCCGACTAAGTAGGTATTGTGCGAGCTAGAGATGAAGTATTCGTTGAAAGGTCGATCGAGCGAGTACTCGGCGGGCGACGCACGTACAAGAGGGCAATTGTCCTTCGACGTAAGATAGGCCACAAGTGCGTGCTCATTCATCGTGATCGAGTCCTTGTCGAGGCGCTGAAAGGTCGTATCTGTCCCGTGCTTTCCGCCCCTACGAGCGTAACGGATAAACCTGTTCTCCCATAAGCTGGGATTGCTATCGACGTCTTCACCTTGCTCGTCCCGGAGGAACCGCATAAACTGGTGAAAGCTTATGCCCCTCTCCGGGTCCGTGGCTAACTTCTCAAACACTTTCCGAATGTCTTCTCTTTGTTTCATCTCGCGGACAAATATCTGGAATTCGGAGAAATTTAGCCGGCCGGATCTGGTCTGGTCAGCAACATTGAACTTTGCACGGAGCTGCTTCTGGGCCATATGGATATGGAGATTTCTGCAAACACGCTCGACGCCAGGAAAATCCATCCTCTCTTCGCCGGGGGAGTGCTGTCGATTTTCGAACTGCTTGGTCATCTCGCCATTCCAATATCCACGGATAGCGCTGTCATTAAATGCCATTAGTGACGCCATGTGTACTTCTCGATGCTTCGATATCGTGTCTAGGGCATTAACCCAGTGCGCGAACGTCTCTTCATCGTCGGCAATTAAATGCATCGTCTTGCTCCTTGATTTATCTGGCACAGCATAAAAGATTGTGAAGAAGCGGCCCTCCTCCGATTCTGGAACTCCGTAGTCGATACGGTACTGGCGAATATCGGAGCCTATCCTGACCTCTTTAATATCGTCGATGTAGATGCACTTAGTTGATCGGCCCTTCTCCCATGTGACCTTGCCGGCATCTGCCTCGAGGATAAAGAGCAATCGCTTCGATTTCTTCTTCTTGGATATCTTATGTAGATAAGTACCCTTGACCAATGCCATGGGAACGACTGGCCCAGTGGGGACGTCCACAAACGACGCAGAGGCTAAAGATGGAGCAGCGCTGCCTGAAGAGAAATCTCGGGCCATGCTTTCCGCGCCGTAGATCGAGCCAAATTCGTTCACCTCGTCAGGATGGAACTCGTCGTCGGAATCCGTCAGCAAGACGGTCTCCGCCGCAGGTGCCGTGTTGGTACTGTCACTCCTGCGTCGAAGGATTCCTGGACCTACGCTTCCTTCCCGGCTCATGGGAGCTGCTGCCGACTGGCGCCGAGTCCTGCTGGCAAACTTCGTCGCCCGGTTAGAAAGTCGTCTAATCAAACCCTTCCCAGAGGAGTGACTGTTGTTTAAGGCCTCGGCCATGGAACCACCAGTTGTGGAAGGGTTGGCGGGGTTAGTCGAGTTGCCGCAGCCAGGCTTGTAAGTGAGAAGGGGGTCGCCAAGTTGGAGGGGTGGAGGAGGGAACTGCTCAGCGTCATGGCTTTGGCTACGGTAAGGATCTGGCGAAGGTTGGATAGAGCTGCTTGTGTTGGTTAACACCGCGTGATCAGGGGACATGATGGGAGAATCATGCTGCGAGGAGCCAGAAGCTGCAGTGGAAGCACTTATGGCGGAGGTAGGCATCGAAGTGGGTTGCGCGCTGACTTGGTGGGTGGTCTGAACTTGACTTGGGCGTGGCCGCCGCAATAGAGAACCCTGAGCGGCCATGATCGGTGTGCTAGAAGAAGGATGCCGGGATTCGATGCTGGTGCGGGAAGGGTTGTTGATGTTGGGGGTTGCAGTCATGATATATAAGGTCGAAAAGGGGGGGCGAGATATTGCCCGTTGCCCACGCGTGAATCGTCGTTAGTACGTGTAGTACAAGCAGTATATGAGACAGTGTCTATATGAGGAGGGCTGAGCTTGTGGGCCTCATTTTTCCGGATATGTCTTTCATAGAAGCACGTCCCAGTAATAGGAGAAGATTGGGGAAGGAGACGGGGGGAGTGAGCGTAAGTAGATATGTAGATAAGTAGACGAGTGTATGTATGTTGTATGGGGCCGTGAACCGTGGACCGTGATCCCTGGGACGGGGTGGTGAGAATGTATACACCGGGGGAAGGCTACTTATTAAAATTTGAGGCCAAGTTCGAGGCTGCAGGACCCTCGGCGCCTTCCCACGATGTATGTATATGTAGATTGCGGTCCGGAACGCAAGGATGCGCCCGAGTAGATGTAGTATTAGTATAAGAAAGTACAGGCCTGTCACTGGTACGGCCTTCTGACACAGGTACGTCGAGGTACGGGGCCTACAGATAGAACCAGCTGCCCTCGGCGCGCGTGCTGTGCTCTGGGCTCGCCCTAGGTGATAAACCAGGACGTGAACAGGGCGGGTATGGGGGACTGATGTTGCAATAGCTCACGGTAAAAGTGGTGAGGTGGCAGGCCGCATGCAGGTCGCTGATTTGGGTTATTCCTAAGTTGGGGGAAATGGGTTTTTTTCTCAGGCGTGAGATTTTCGAAGTGAGATAGTGTCTCCACGAGGGATTGATATTGATCTGGTCCAGCCCCTGCAAGTTTCACTAAGACGGGAACCTCTATCGTGTTTCCCTTCCAGCTTGCGATTGACTTGAAATGAGAAGGATTGGAAGGGAAATATAGGGTTATATATATCTCGTACAATAGGATATGGACTCTCTGCAAATCCTAGTCGCCTAAGTTGGGCTTCTTCTGGCGGGTAACTTGCCCAGAAATAAATAAAAATTCGTCTTGCTGTTCGCTCCTTAAGAGTAAAAGGTGGACCCCCCTGCGGTGTGGTGATGACTCCCTCTCGATTCCTCTTAGTAATTTTTGCGCTGGTGGTACAGCAGAAATGTGCGTGATGACGTCCAGCGGAATAGTGGCCCAGTGAGGCTCAGTATAGTGCAGCAGGATGGCCGGCAGAATGCAAGTGTCCAGTAAATTGTTACCTGGGTACGCTGTGTATGCTAGGTAGGTAAGCTACAAAGAGAAGACCGCGTTATCCCTTGTGCGACGTGAATCCTTATGTATGGGCACTTGGGAAGTATCCAGGTAAGATTTAAGGTACTGACTGGATGTTTTTTTTTTAATGTGAGTGACGGTGAAGTGAATTGCGAAGGTAAGGCGGTTCGTTTAAGTGTGTGAATTGGACTGGCCAGACGGACGATATTTGAATTGGTCGACAAGGGAAAAGAACGAACAAAATATAAACTACAAAATAAAATATAATAATAAAATAATAATAATACCAAACTTTTTTTTTCTCCTACAAATTTGATGAGGTGTACAGCTAAATATTCTGCTTGCCCTTCTTCGTCAGGTGGAGAGATGGGGTCGGGAAATTATTAAGTGACGGAGCGGAAAGGAAGGGATTAAGGCATGGCAAAAGACAGGGAAGGGGTCAGAAAAGAATACAGGAAGTACAGGTAGGCGGTCCCCTAAAATAAAATAAAAGTACGTACTGTGCCTGCCCTATTCCTACTAAGTAGTTCAGATGCTCAATTTTTACCTGGGCAAGATACTTAAGATACCTAATACATTCTAATGCGTGTACTTAACTCGCACGTATGTACCGTACCTACCGCACTTGCCTTAAGTGCCCGGGTACTGGGATGCTAAGTTGCTAGGTTGGTTGGTGCTTAGGTGCTTTGGTGCTTGGATGCCTGGCTTAGATGCTCAAAGATGCTTGGGTACTTTTAGAAGGTGTGCTTGTGTCTAGCGCATTTCGGGTGCTAAGCAATTGAAGGGGAAGGAGAAGGGGGGCTAATTGCAATTGGCAACGGTACTAGGTACATACCTATGTATGTAGGTACTTACCTACAATAGATACATACATCCATACATTCATACATTCATAGTAGGACTTTCCACCTCCATCTCTCATCAGAACCTAACCTACCTTAGTTTTCGTTAGGGGATCATTTAGGTTGGCGTTATGGGATCGTAATTCTGGGTCTGGTACAGTAAGATACGGGGCCGCTATGTTGGTTGGTAGGCACAGCTTTCCACCAGAATTAGAACGTGCATGTATAGTTGTACCTCTACCCTATCCCATCGAAATGCTATTGTTGTACGTACCGATAGTATCCACTGTCAATCCCATCAATGGCAAGCACATCGATGGGGGCAGTTGGACTTGGGATTGGGATTGGGATCGATTGCTGGGACGAGGAAACCCCGAAAAGTCAATCAACTACAACAATGTGGGACCAAATTATTATCATTATACCTCGTAGTTTATTCCATTAGGAGGAGGGACATCCAGTGCATGTGGTTATGTGCAATGCTATTAATGCACGTATTTAAATATATGTGTATAATTACATGACTTTATCTACCTACCTAGGTATGTGTGTATAATGGGTGATAAGTAAATGCATACATATAACATAGCTATGTGTAGTTATATCCGAAGTTCAATCCTCAATGATGGATTCCTTTTCCTTTCGTAATGACAGGCATGTGAGTCACTATAAAAATGTTTCAACATTTCAATGTACATACACAAAATAATATGACACAAGCGCACAAGCACGTTGTGAATTTCTTATTAGAGCAATCCAGGGGAAAGGGGAAAAAGGCCACCCATTGCGTGATGGGAATTGGATGCTGGGCTGTGATGGGCTTGTGCAACTTAGATTGATGTACGATGTACGATGGTACAAGACATCATATCCCATCTCATCCCAGCCTGTCCTATCCAGACTTGGAATGGAGTCAGGTGGCCTCCCGTTATGTGCCTACGTCTGTGTGTCTCGAGGACAAAAAGAAAAGGATTTCAGGTACACGCGTTTAATCGGTTATCTGTCAACGGAACTCAACATTATCAAACTCAACTAAACCTTACCTACCTCCCAGCCTACCAGCCTACCTACTACTAGGTACTGGGTAAGTATTGATGAAAGGCCTTGCCAAGAACAATAAACAAAAAAGAAAAGAATTGATTCCGAGTACCTTACTTGGCCTAAAGCTTAAGTGATACCCCCAAGACCTGTATGTCTGAGACAATAGAACTCGAGAACCTTCCAGTTTCCCCAACGAACTTCAATTGTTTAACCTGCATTGCATGGGATTCACTAGGTACATACTATAATAGGCACATACCTCTATACGCTGTATGTGATACTAGCGTGATGTCAGTGAGGCAAGAAAACAGATGCTTCGTGAGGGATTGATAGTCATAACCCTATTGTGATGAGCGATTCTACAGCTGATTTTCAAAGATGAAACAAACACCTCTCGATGTGGATTCCTAGAAGCGGTCATGAGATTCGGGACGAAAAGTCGACAGTATGCTGGGCGTCCTGGGCGTCTAAGTGAGGGAACAATTGCCAATACTCTCTCTTTTTCCTACTATCATCATCATCCTATCCATCTTATCACCAATGAAACTTTAGGAACAAGGGAGTTGGCCATGCCCGTTGCCCGTTATCCGTTGCCCATTTACTAGGACTAGAAAAAGAGAAAGAACAATTGACGGTATGTTTCCTGTCGGTAAACTATCCACATAGAAGAACGGACCAAAGGCAAAGGGCTAAAGAGAAAGACAAAAAAAAAAGACCAGGCACTACTACGGAATAGGCAATTAAAAATTGAGTCCAGCTGGACTAGGACTGCTAGTAGCTAGACTGCTAGGGCCAGGATAGGGCAGAAAGAGACAGGGCGCAAAGGTGGGTGCTGAGCCAGGTGGCAGATGCGGTGGTCCCATAACTACATCATCGACCATCTAAGCCTGATCCGCGCCCGGCTTCCCCAAGATGAGAAAGAAGAAAAAAAGAGCAGCGACAGGCATTATTTTTGGCAGGGGTCCGGGATGGTACCAAAGACCTGGGTGGGAGGAGGTGGAAGGAAGAGAAGATGAAAAACTACGATAAATTCAAATCAAAACGTTCGGTTACCTGGTTACTTGGTTACCTCTTCAAGCGCTTCGGCTATATTAGATACCTACCTATGTACATACATGCCTACCTGAGACGAATGTAAATCGGTACTCAGTACTTTCTGGTGCATGTTGCATCTAAATGTATTTTGTAGTTTTTGTAACATATTGCTTAGAGTCACTAGTCTTAGCTCCCTTTTCTTCTCGTTTAGGTACTGTCAATAACCATTATTCCATTATCCTATTTACTAACGTGTTCTACTAGAAGCAGATCTGGTACGAGATGTTCATATTTTGTTTCAGCTGTTCTTGGCTTTGATATGACCTCATTTGGAAGTTATTGTGCAAGCATAAGTCATAAGTAAAAGGGGATCCGAGAACAACTAAGAAGATTAAACTCGAAAAAGAGAAAACCAGAGTTTGGTTTTTTTTTTATAAAAAAAACGGAAAATGATAGCCAATCGTGAAAATCAGGAGTGTCAGG